CATTCTGGGGTACTTGCTGCGCAACAAAATTTGATCGTATTTTCAGACTTCAAAAAAGAGCAGTTCGATATTTATTGGGACTGAACAGTACCAAACGAAACCAAACCAAACTCACTGCCAGGATTTCTTTAAAAATTTCATAATACTGACTCTTCTTTCTTTATTCATTTTAGAATCTGTTTGCTTAATCCGCAAGCACATATCTGCTATTCCCGAAAGGCCATCTCATAACTATCCACTCAGGAATGCGGAGCACGATCTTTATCTGCCAACCCCGAGCACAGAACTAGTTAAAAGTTCAATACTGTAAAATGCCAAAAAAATGTACAATCGTCTGCCTTTGACTATCAAGTCGATTTCATCCCTATATGCGGTGAGAGACTTTTTTGTTGATGTTTAATCATGAACACTTTTGAATTTTAAAATTTTGATCATCTCGCACACTGGTCAAAGGTCAAGTATTTAATATTTTATAATTCTTAAAATTGTATCTATTTACAATCTTCCTGTTGTAAAATTTTATTAATACGCCTGTTTTTGTGTTCTGAAATAATTGTCCATGTATATACAGTGGTGGCCAAAAGTATGGAAACTTTTTACTTTTTAAAATATCACAGAAAATATTGCTATGCTTAAACTCTCAGGAATATAAATGAACAGCTTATCAACAAATAAAAGTATTCCAAAAATTACACAGCGAAAAAAATCTGTTTAGCAGTTTTGTAGGAGAACAATAGATTTCTTGTGGCCAAAAGTATGGAAACCATAAATAAATACATTAAAATTATTTAGTTTAAGCTGATAAACGGTACGATTTGCTTCAGATAAATATAAACATCATGCCCAAGTCTAAATATTTCTCTACGGATTTAAAAAATAAAATAGTTGAATTATACAAGAGTGGTTATAAACAAATTCAAATAGTAAAAATTTAAACATTTTAAAAAGCACCGTTTCGAAAATAATTCGTTAATTTAATAAAACAGGGAACGTTTCAACAGCTTTTAACTCAGGAAGACCAAGAAAGTTGTGCAACAGGACAATGAAAGTAATGAAGAGAATATCAATGGGAGATTCAAGAAAAACATCCACAGACATTTCTCGAGAAATGGGTGAAAGGGGAATATCGGTATCTGCACGCACGGTGAGAAGAAGGTTGGATGACATGGGACTTTTTGGAAGAGTTGCGGTGAAGAAACCACTAATATCAAAGAATAATAGGATGGCCCGCTTTAAATTTGCTCAAGATCATCTCACCTGGTCTTATTAGAAATGGAATACTGTACTGTTTAGCGACGAAAGCAAGTTTCAACTGTTTGGTAGTGACGGGAGACGTTATGTTCGAAGACCAAAAGGTACACGGTACAGCCAGATGCCCACAGTAAAACATGGGGGTGGGAGTATAATGGTATGGGGGTGTTTTTCTCGCTCAGGTGTTGGTTCTCTTGTTAAAATTGATGGGATAATGGACCGTTTTTTTGTACAAAGACATATTGGAGAATAATATACTGCCTCATGCTGATGAAGAAATGCCACTCAGATGGTTGTTCGAGCAAGACAATGATCCCAAGCACAAATCTCGGTTTGTTCAAAATTGGTTAAATGAACATAATGTTCCACTAATGGATTGGCCCTCACAGTCTCCGGATCTTAACCCCATAGAAAATTTATGGGATCATTTGGATAGCAAAATTCGAAGCCATTCTATTTCAAATAAAAATGAATTATGGGAAGTGCTAACAACTGAATGGGCGGGCATTTCCAGTAAAGATTGTACGAGATTGATCGATTCGATGCCACGAAGATGTAGAGAAGTAATTAATTCAAAAGGGATATATAAAAAAAGGGATATTCCACTAAATATTAGTAATTTTTACATTATCTTGAATTTTAATAAACATTCTTCTTAAGTTTCCATACTTTTGACCAAGAAAATATTCATAATTTTTTATATATTTTTTGATATGTATTAGGTTTTGTAGGAAATTATTTGTAGGTCACGATTATATAAGTCGTTTTATTTCATATTTTAATTTCTCAGCATAAATGACAAATTAAAAAAGTTTCCATACTTTTGGCCCCCACTGTATATGTTCTATTTGTAATTTTGATGACTTAATTTTTTTTTGAATTGTATGATTTGTATTGTGTATTTTTTATTATTTGTATGTTTTTTCTGCTTTTGTTTGTTGTGTAAATGCTTTGTCGATGAAGCTATTTTGGCTTTTTGCACAATAAAGCGTTATTTATTATTATTATTATTATTAATCTTGAATATCTGATTAAATTTTAAATAATTGAATTTAAAGGTCTGTGCACATTATCATATACGTCTGGAACGTATCGTATCATACATTTGACAATGATTAGAATAGTCATTGACGGAAACAGAACTGGGAAAATTGTCAACACAGGAGCTTGGAACACCCTCAAAAGGAAAATACCACTCCTCCAACTACCAATGGATGACATACCAAGAATGTACAATTTTAAAAATCATCTCACTGTAGTACTGGGCAATAAAAAAGATTGGAAGGAAGAAACGTTTGCTTAGCAGGTAAAAAACCATGTAGAATGTAGAATATGTTTAAGAGTGGACCACCGCGACCTTACAAATCTATTGTGTGTTCCCCTTTCTTGAGTTATAACGAGTTATAACTCATCATACAGTCTCAGGGCTTTAACAAAAGCCAGTATCTAAGAAGGCCAACTCTCCATCCTCGAAATCAGCCGTACCAAAACTCATGGCACGAATCTCAGTAAAGTCTCGGCGCACTCAGTGATAAGGTGTTCTTGTATTTCCCCATAGAATTTGCATTCGCCGTTGTATCTCAGCTTCAGCCTACTGAAGTGTTCGTTGAGGAAACAATGTCGTGTTAGAAACCCCGTGACAATCCGAAGATTGTTTTTACTTAAATCAGAGATAACAGATGTTGTCTCTGCTTAAATCAAAAAAAAACTTTGATTTTTCTCGGTCGTAAAAATCCATACCATAACGTAGTATACTGCCTATATTGGTGCTTCCAGAATCTAAAGAGGGATAGAAGTTCCGTATGATCGAATAAAAACGGCGTCAGCGATGGCTATGAAATGAAAATCGCCGTCATTTAATATGTAAAATTATATGGGAAATGTCATCGATTGTCATTTCACAGCCATCGCTGACGCCGTTTTTATTCGATCATACGGTAGTTTGGGCCGAAAACTAAATACTCCGAACCAATGGGATGCTGAGGTAGGTGATCCTTCAAATAGAGGTGTGTACGAACTAGTTAGTAGTAAGTAGTTAGTGAACGAACTAGTTACAATGAACTATTCCGACTTCGGAATGAAAGGATCTAGTTCCCGCTTTTTCCTCAGGACCTATTCCTCCCAAGTAACTAGAATTCCCATCTCTATTATCATTCAGACAGAAATCTACGCTATCGAAAGATGCGTACATTTATCTTCGATAGGAACTATCGAAAACAAGAAATAGTCGTATTATCAAGCGGCATTAAAAGCAATCAACTCAGTAACAATCATTTAAAGTTAGTCAAAGAATGCCTAGAGAAGAAGTGTGAGCCCACCAAAAAGCTAGAAAAGTAGCAAAAAATCCACTGACTGGATCAGAACCGTTCTGCTTCCCAAGTGGAAACCAACTTAAACCGGAACTCAAGAACCTGGAAGACTCCATCCATAACCTGGAATGGGAATCCTCGACAGGTCTAAGACATATCAAGAAATTTCTCAAGACTTACGACCGGGAAAAATCAATCAAATCAAAAGATTTTCCTTGATTTAAGTAAGAACAATCTTCGGGTTGTCACGGGGTTTTCAACAGGACACTGTCTCTTCAATGAACACCTCAGTAGACTGAAGCTAAGAAACAACGACTAATGCAGATTCTGTAGGGAAAATGGGGAAATACCAGAACACTTCATCACTGAGACGGCAACATTACAAAACTAAAAAAAATCTATTTCATTAGTGTGTTGGTGAGGACCAAAACCAAAGGCAATTTTTATTATTAATCTTTACAGTCTTCTTCAAAAGCGAATATTGCCAATAAAAACAAAGGTATTGAGATGAATCAAAAACAAACTAACGAGAAAAGATGCATCTTAATGATAACAAAGTAGTTTTTAAATTCTTTACTTTGTAAAACCATTTTACAGGGTGTTTCTAACTTTCTCCAAAAAAACATTTTGTTTCCTCGTAAAATATTGACAGATTGGAACTATAAATTTTAATTTAGAAAATTATTACTAAAAACTCAAATAAATTAGCTACAAATTGCTTAAAAAGTTATCAAAATCGGACCACCAAAATAAAATATATTAACCTTTAAATTTTTATCAATTATTATATTTATTATCTTAGTCAACTTTATTTCTGTAAACACAGACCTGAATTTATTATAGCATTTTTAAAAGCTTAAGACCTCTCTCTTACCTATTACCACTTTTTTTGATTGCAACATTAAATAATTATATCGCTAAAACATCACAAACATAATTTCTATTTTCATCTTGACGTAGGAATTTTTGTTTGTTCTTAAAATAATTAATTGATATTTTCTTATAACGTATATCATTTCATGCGTTTTTAACTATTAAACCCTATTTTTTACATCATATTATGATTAATTAAATATCTAATTATTAATGAACTTGTATATATTCTACACAGGCTCTGCGAAATTACAAATTATGAGGACATAAGGTTATCCCAGCGCATTCGCCATTTTATAGATAAAAAGAAAACTCATTTCCTTTTTTAGCACTGGCGCTTAGGGAAATTGACAGATTATGTTATTCCCATGAGTCCTAAATAATTTCCTTTAACATAAAACAAAATAACCACGCTTGAGAATATCCAGGTAATGGTTTTTTTTTCAATTTTCTGATTCCCCCATTTCTTTAGCGCCTTAGCTCCCCCCAGGGGGACTCCCTATATTATAATTAAAACAAAATGTGTAATATTTTAAACACTATATATTTATTATTGTATACGCAACATACTATATTTCTTATCAAAACCTTCACAAATCAATTTAAAACATTTATAAACAAGAATTATTTATCCTTTAATCTCTAAAACAGCTCCTAAATTTTCTCCCTTCCCAAAAGGCTTATACTCAACATCCCACAAACTGCTAAACAAAATAAACTCATTCTCATACAACGGTACTTCGAGTACCGCACAAATTTCTTTGCAATTTTTTCGAGGTATTAATTTCAGTACTATACCTCCAAAAATCTGACCAATCATAGTGTACTTCTCTACTAAATCGATTGGTTTAAACTTGGAAACATTGTAGTTTTTGCTCCACAATAACCAATTCAATGTGACTGGGCTCATAACATCCGGTACAATATCAGGTCTTGATGTGATATTTCGAAAAACTCTGACAGCGCGTTTTTCACAGTTTTGAAAATGCAGAAAAAAGGATTCAAAAAACGATGTTTTAAAGATCAGACTTTTGGCTTCTGTTGAGTCTTCTCTAGAGCTGAATATATTGCTGCTTAATTTGCAAGGGACTGATGTAGAAAAATCTACGTCAGATGTCAAAATATTCACAAAATCTTCGGGGGAGTGCTGAGTCCAGTGTTCTATACCTCCTCGTATCAAGATTGGGCGATCTAATTTTAATAATCTTTCAATAAAATCACTATCTATATCTTCATAATTATACACGATTTCATCTAGATTCTGTACTGATTCACATAGATCACATTCAAAAGCCAGTTCTTGTTGAAATATAGCTTTATTTTGAAATAGATTTTTATCTATTAAGCACATTTCGTTTTTTAAATATCTCCAGTCATACAAATTTAGTATTTTTATCAAAAAAATTCTTGTTAACGCTGTTAAGTTCCAATAAAATTTGTCCCAATAAGTGAAAAAATAAATTACAGCAAGTACCAGAAAAAATATTAAACAACTATGAAGAATCTTTAGTAATGTTTTGTTTTCTTCTGTTAGTTTGGAAGTTAATGGTAACATAAGGTTTTTAATTTCTTTTTCCGTATATTTTTCTTTTTTTAAATATACATACAGGTCATTAAGATCTTTATTTAAATCCGTAAATGTATAGGTGGGTTTCCTGTTCAAAGTCATTATTCTAAAATAAAAGAGTAAAATATAATTCCATATGGAACTTAAAATCGTTCAAGAATAGTTAACTAAAATCATAATTATTTACCTTTTTAAACGGCGCTTCTCAAGTGAATATATCGCACAAATGTAGATATGAAACTTAAATTAAATTCTACAGGTTGTTATTCTAAAATAACAACGAAAATTTTAATATATCTTGAAGTATCTGGCAAAATTTGAGTAAAAAACGCATGCTCCTAGAAGGAAATCGATTTTTAAATGCATTTTGTTTTGCCGCCACAAAACAAAAATTAAAGACACGCCAATCCGGGCCAATGACCGTACAGCTTTACTCGACGTTGCCGGTTTGAAAGAAATTAATTTCCTCAACAGTTAGTGCTCCTAAATTTTAAAAAGCCTTTTCAGAATTTCGAAATTGAATTTAGTGGAATAAACTTACTAAATACTTTATACTTAAAGGTTTACGATCATTCACAATGTTTAAATAACACAATTAGAATTAATAGAATATCTTAGCGGCAGCTTGCGGTAGTCATCATTTGTATTCATAAAGAAAGCCAAATAATTAGCTTGTAAAACAATAAACCCTTTGTTTATAACAGCAATTTTGGTATACCGCAATTTCTCTTGACGGATGATAATTAAAGGCCAAAATTACATTATTCGCAAATTCTGAAGTATAATTAGTGGCAAAAGTTAAAAGTTTATAAACTTTTTCTACTAATTGAAAATTACTATTACTAATTTTGACGTTTTACATTCTTACATTGAAATTCTAAAGTTCTAATAATAAATTATAAATTAAAATATTAATATCTAATAAAAGGAGAATGAGAAATTGTTGGATAAAAGAAATTATTTAAACATTGGCAACATTGTGGACTCCACAGCGCATGTTCATTGCGATTCTGGCAATCTGTCAGTTAGTCTGACAGACATTTCTACCAGCTACTGGTTAGAAACAGTTTGTTAACCAATTACAAGCATTTTTTAACACTTTTACGTGTACTCTGTGCTAATATATGAAAATAAATAGTTTTCAGTATTTATCTAAAAAGTTATTGCCGCTGTTCGATCGCCCGGACAGCCGAAAATCGCCGTGTTACGTCACGCAGGCAAAGCCATTTTGATTCCCGTTCGCCGTCGTCTCGGGGGTTATTAAGTTTGTGTTATTAAATTCGGGATCAATTCTCGAAGTCGATCTGATTTTTGTGCAAAGGCGATAAGAGAAAATTTATCAAAATTCCGGTGCCCACGAGTACCACAGATACCGTGAACGGTAGCGGTGACATGAGTGCACACAAGAGAAAAAACAGGGGAGGCTCTGTAAGGTACCTATCAAAACAATATTTCATTTTATATTTATTTTGATTCCTGCTTTATTTTCTACCTTTTTGTTTATGAATATTGATATGTAGTTTGTTACTATAGGTAAACATAATATTTTGGTTACAAAACAAAGAGTTTTTATTACTGTTCTGGAAACAATAATATTGCAGGTAGGGTTTCCATACAAGTATTTGGAAACTCCGGTCAAGTGAGCTCTGGAATCCGGAAAAAATAAGTTATCAATTTGTTTACAAGTAAAGTTTGTCTGATGAGAAAATACCTGACAGTGAGAGTTGGTGTCTGTCATTTTAATTCACAGGTAAATTCTATTTTCTGTCATTGTTTTTGATGTCGTCTGACGATAATCTTCCTCGACTCGTTGGACAGATGGACAGGCTTTAAAAAAATAAAGACAAAAGAATTCACGTTTCACATCCATGAGTGCACTGAAAACCAAAAAATTGACCAGATAGATATGGGTACTTTTGAACAATGTCAGTTTAGGAGATACGTGACAACATAATGAATAAAATATTCAACAAAGTAAAGTTGTAATAACGTAACACCCAACTGGTAATAAAGTAAAGTTGTTTTTACACCTTAACCCAGGCTTGTCTGAGTAACTCTGGACTTATGGAAACCCTACTTCTAGGTACAGTATGATATTCAACTAAGTAAAGTTGTTTTTACACCTTAACTCGGGCATGTCTGGGTAACTCTGGACTTATAGAAACCCCCCTTCTAGGTACAGTACGATCGAAAAAAAAACGGCGTCAGCGATGGCTTTGAAATGAAGATTACTGTCATTTTATATTTATGTATATGTAAAATTATATGGAAAATATCATCAATGTATTCATTTCCAAGCCAACTGGATGCCATTTTTTTTGATCATACAGTATTTTACATTGAATATTCTACCGTATGATCGAATAAAAACGGCGTCAACGATGGCTATGAAATGAAGATCGCTGTCATTTTATATGTAAAATTGTATGGGAAATGTCATCGATCGTCATTTCCAAGCCAACTGGACGCCGTTTTTTTTTCGATCATACGGTACTAAAAGTAGGTATATAAATTGTTTTAAAACAATGACAGCTGTGCCTGTCATTTTAATTTGCAGGTAATTGTATTTTCTCTTGTTATTTTTAATGTCGTCTGTCCAAACCTTTCATGACTCGTTGGACAGAATATAGGTGGTACTTTATATTGAATATTCTACTGAAAATATCTTGAAACTCTTTTTAGAATACAGGGTGGTCCGAATTGTATTCGGAAAACTTCGGCAGCATATTCTGCAGATAAAAATAAGTTAAAAAGTTCGTATAAATGTATGTCCTAAAATACTTTGTTTCAGAGATACAGGGTGTAAATGTTTCATTTTTATTTCGGGTTTTTCCAAATAATTTCTTAACTACCTTTGATATTTCGATAAAAATGGGTGTCTGGGTGTATTTTGACATGAGAAATTTCATTTCGACGTCAATATGACTCCTACTTGTAGGAGGCGCCACCTAAATGTTTATATTGACGTTACTTCATACATTATTTGGAAAAAATTGAAATAAAAATGAAACTTCTACACCCTGTATCTTTGAAACGAAGAGTTTTAGGGCATATATTTATACCAACTTTTATATCTATTTTAATCTGCAGAATATGCTGGTGAAGTTTCCCGAATACAATTCGGACCACCCTGTATATAGGGTGTTTCTGAATAAGTGTCCGATATCTCATAAGGTGATTTTACAAGTATTTTTAAAGCAAAAAGTTCATATAAACATGTGTTCCAAATTGCTTTCTTTTTGAGATACAGGATGTCAAAGTTTTAAGAAAAAAATATTTTTTCTATATCTTTGGAGCCCAACTCGATATTTTTATGAAATTTGGTACACGTGTTTTCACCATTAAGGAGCATTTTTCGATGAAAAAGATTTTCTAAAATTTTTCCCAGTGGCGTTCGTAGGGGCTATCGACTGAATATTTTTGAAGAAAAAAAATGGTACGCCATGATTTTTCTTAAAAAGAAATTATCTTTAGAGTACTTATTCAATTTAGAACAAATTATGTCTCTTGGCTTTTATCAGACCGCACGGTTTTTGCATAAATAAATAAAAACCATTTTAATGCATGGCGAAATTGCGAAGATCTGATAAGTAAAATTTCTTTAATAAATAGTCTTTTTTCGTACGAACGCCACTGGGGAAAATTTGAGAAAATATTTTTCATCGAAAAATGCCCCTTAATGGTGAAAAGACTTGTACGAAATTTTATAGAAATATCTGGAATGGCTCGGAGATATTAGGAAAAAACGATTTTTTTCTCAAAACTTTCACACCCTGTGTCTCGAAAACGAAGCATTTTAGAACACAGGTTTATTTTGTATTAAAAATACTACTTGAAAAATCGTCCTGTTCTAAATACTTACATTGAAATTAGAAAAACAAACTTCTTCGAGGTTCTGTAACTGTAGATATTATTAAATAAACTTGGATTCTTATAACTAGTATTATATTATAATTAATTTACTATTTGAATAATTGTTAGAGCCCAAAGACAAAGATCTATTGTGACCGATGGGGTGTACAATAATCCGGCTTTTATGCACGCCGCTGCTTCCCAAGTTGGCAATCCCGCAAGAATTACAACTGCTTCCGGACAAGTTTGGGAAGGTATAGCTCTAATTTAAAGCATCCCATACTCTTACGGTTATTTTGCCCGGTATTGACTCGATATAGGTATATAGGGGTATCGCGAGTATCGCCCCTCCCCTAATCTCACGCGAGTTCTTTCAAAATATGTATTTTGAATATAACTACCTACCGAAAATAAAAACCGAAGTGTATGGATTCTACATTTTATCTATTTTTTTTCATTTTTTTTTGAAAATATATACTTATATTTTTTATATAAGGATTCTTGCCACTTAACTGCTGATATAGAAATTTAATTCTACGCTGTGTTTGTCATAATGTGGATCAACCTGCTCTCACTACCGGTTTCGGAGCCCTACCACAGATTAGGTATCCTATAAGTATACAGATAAAAATCTTGTCCCTAATTCGTGGTACGAAAATTGTTTTTTATGACGATGTGCAAACGAGTCAGATTTCCTGTGCGCAAAAATAAACTCGCGTAAAATAACAATAAACAGCGTAATAGAGAGATATCGCTAAACCGAATAGCGTGCATGGACGTTAATAAGGCCAGGTGTTATTTCCTTTACGTGAGGTGGTATTAACTCTCTTCATTTATAGTTATCGGATCGGAAAGAATTCTGATCGCGTCGCGTCCGCTATTTAAACTTAACCTAACTTTGAATTTAAAACTTTGAAATTGTTTTGTTTTAGGTATTTTAAAACTAAAGGGCTAAAGTGCTTATTTCCAGTGCTTTATTGTTCAACGTCTGCCAATGGGTTTAGGGCAATAAGCAACAAATTCTCTTAGAAGGGCTAAGTCGTCATCTGCTGTAAACCTAAGACTCTTTATAGGTTCTTTAGTATTGGAAGAGGTGGAATCGATATTTTGGGCCATATTTATTTAATTAAAACTAATCCCAGCTACTTAAATATCAAATTACCTAATAAAACTAAAGCAATAATTCAAAACTATTCAAACATAACCTAAAATAAAAGATCTCGCCGGCCGGCTCCGGTTGTCAATTGATCCGCAAATTACGTCAGGCGGTAACGTTATTAGCGGGTGTTGCGTTAAAAATTGACTCGCGCATATCGTAACCATGATAAGGTACGCGTAAATACTGGATGACGCTATTCGGTTTTCCGATATCTCTCTAATAACTGTGCTGGTCAGGCGCTGTGCACAATTTTAGAGGCCGTAAGTGGGCGTGCTATGTGCGCAAACTAGTGCCCGATTCCGAAAATTGGAACCACGAAAAACAATAAAGAAAAAACAAAGATTATAATCTGTATAATCTGTGGCCCTACTCCATCATAAGGTGAGCTTGGGCAGATCCACAAAATGACAACTATATCAGCAGTTAAGTGGCAGGAATCCTTATATAATTTTATTATATACCTATACTGCAAGAAATTTGTTTTCTATCTTATATTTTTTAGGTATTTATAAAACATATTCTACAAATTTTGATGTTGTACTGGAAGTGGCTGTAAGAGTGGGAAATCCGGACTCTCCTGATTCGCATTTACTCACTGAAACGTTTGTGGAGAAACTCGTGTTCAAATCTAGCGACATTTTGAATATTTGCTTTAGAAATGTTGATTTAGAATATCCAGTCAAAGACACTTTCCAAGTAAGTAATAATAATAATAATAAAAAATGTCTATACCTATGTGGCGGATTCAACTCTCCAAAAAATCCTATATGGGTATTTCGCCACTGCACAGCAAGAAAATCTACAAAATAAAATAGTTATTTTTTGTAAACACTTTTGCGTTAAACCCAAACGGAAAATACTTGTCAAAAGTTATGTTTACAGTTATACATATTTGCCTAACAAAGAAAAAAATGCTTAACGTTTCGGAAAGTTTATCTCTTTCCGTCGTCTAAAGTGTAACTAAAGTGTTCTCGAATAGTTGAATTTATATATTTTAAATAACTGTTTCCTTTATTCTTTGTATTTTTTTTTGCTTCCGACGACGGAAAGAAATAAACTTTCCGAAACGTTAAGCATTTTTTTCTTTGTTAGACAAATTTGTATAACTGTAAACATAACTTCTGAGTAGTTTCCGTTTGGGTTTAACGTAGAAGTGTTTACAAAAAATAACTATTTTATTTTGTAGATTTTCTTGCAGTGGCGAAATACCCATATAGGATTTTTTGGAGAAATAATAATAATCACTTTATTTAGCCCCACAACATGTGCCGTCTTTTGTGGGGAGATTCCTGAGAGAATAGAAAAAATAAGGTTTATTTTTCATATTAACATAGGCCCGATTCTGCTTTGTTTCGTAGCTACATGGTGTTAAAGTCTTTTTCTTTTTTCGATTTATTATAATTATCTACCAAGTGCTTTTAGTGATTCGAATGAAATTTTTAGGGTAAAAGTAAATGCGACATATTTTAATGCTAAAAAAGTGTCCACATATTCACCAGTGCATATTGCCACTGGAATATTTTTCTAAAAGGTATGTGCGCCACTGACTTTTTTTCCCTTATTAGCAAAATTGTATAGGCCGTTTAATGCCGATTAAAAGTTGTCTCTTGATATTTTGTTGATTTCGGTTTCCTTGGTAAACACATTAACACATTTTATTAATTTGTCTTAATCTTTGAATAAGAAGACTAAGGAAGGAGCATATCAAAAATCTTAGGTACACCGCGATGGGCCTCAAATATGGCCGACTTAAATTCCGGTTTATCAGTGTCGTTCTAATTTTATTTAAAAAATATAAAACTATGATGTAGGGTAGACGTATAAAAATATATAATTCTAATAAAAATAGATAAGTTATAATAAGTATTTATTACCACAAACATCCGATACGCTACTGAAGCTGGTAAGTCAAATTAACGTATCTAAATTCTTTGACATCTAATCTTTGACAAGTAATAAATAAAAGCTAAAATGCAAGAAAAATATATAATTTAGTTAATTTAAGTGAATTTCATAAATGATCGGTTTACTACACGTAGGTATATTATATAGTCACTTACTAGCGAAAAGTTGTTCCATTATTTCACTCAATTTTTGCCGAGATCTACCGCACGCTACACAACCAACTATTTTAGAGTCTTTTTCGATAAATCGCGATAGTGTCACTGTTAATTTAAGTGCTACCACAATTTCCATCTAGATTTACTACCTTTATACAACTATCAGTAGTAGAATAAATAATAAATAACTAAAATAAACTCCGTAAAGACTGACAAATCCACAAAATTTCAAATCAAATTCAAATGTGTCAAATGAATCGTCAAACAGAACTGTCAAGGATCCCCACCCTAGAGAGCTTTTATGGTGCCTTTTCCGCCCACCATGCATGAATACATGGATAGCATTATGCTCCTTCCTTAGTCTTCTTATTTAAAGGTCTTAATAGACTATATTAATTTGCCTTAATCCCAGTCTAGCCATCTTTAAAAAACATTGATTCCTCATCAAAAAATATGAAAAAAAATTCCTATGAAGGAAGGAGCGAAAATGCGGTTTTAAAGTTACAGGATGTTAAAACTTAAAAATTGGTTTTTGTAATTATCTTAAATACCATTATTTTTTCCTTGACTTTGCTGTAGGTAGCACTATATCAGTGTTGGTCTCACGCAATTTTAATAAAATTTAATAATAAAATAGATTACATAAATAATTTTTTTATTTTAATTTTATTAATTGCGATTAATAAAATTGCGTTTATCTCATCAAGGGGATAGAAATTGACAAAATCTTTAGATACAACTTTTAATTGGCATTAAACGGCCTATACAAGTTTGCTAAAAAAGTCAGTGGCGCACATGTTTTTTTTTAATATTCCAGTGATAACTCATATGGACGTCCTTGGTTTGGAATAAAAGTCAGTGGCGCACATATTTTTTTGTCGAAAAATATTTCAGCGATAACCCATATGCACGTCCCTGTTAAATTTGTCGACACTTTTTAGGGTTCCGTACTCAAAGGGTAAAAAACGGAAACCCTGTTACTAAGACTTCGCTGTCCGTCTGTCACAAATGTTTATCTTATGAACCGTTATAGCTAGACAGTTGAAATTTTTACAGATAATGTATCTATGTTGCCGCTATAAGAACAAATACTAAAAACAGAATTAAATAAATGTTTATAAATAGAAAAGTACTTTCACTAAACATTATCTTTTAAGTAAGAATTTTACATAGAATCTTTCAAGTCCTCGGTGGCCGCGTGGTTAAATCGTTAGGACTTTACGCTGCTATGAAGTTGGAGCCGTAGTAAGGCAGGTTCGAATCCTAGCCAAGGCGACTTTTTTTAATCGTTTTTTTTTTGAATTTTTACATATTTATTATTGATTAATACAATTTTTAGTAATGTGTTTCTTCATTTTTTTTTAAATTACTTATACGCGCATTCAAAATTTCAACTAAATCGGAAAAAAGTTTATAATAATATAGTGACTAATGTTGTATAGATAATGAATGGTACGGAACCCGTCGTGCGCGAGTCCGATTCGCACTTGACCAATTTTATTTAGTACTAAAATATGTAATACTTATAGTTACTTTTACCTAGATTTGTGCTTGGTCAATTGACCGCGGTCAATTGACCGAGATTTTGACAGATTTTGACCGGCAAGATTTTGACCAGGTCAGGTCAAAATCTTTTAATTGGCGGAAACCGAATAACAGGTACTGACTTGCCTAAAGCACTCGCGACGCGAAAGAATAATTGTTAGTTGCTGTTTTAATGTTGACTCAATGAGTTCAATGATGACTGTGATGAAGATGAGATTCTGTTCTAGATTAGCCTGTGCTACCACCACTCATTAGTATTTTTTATTGCTATTATGCATTTTTTTTTTCGCTACCTCAGAATGGCTTTATATTTGTTTAAAAATTATTAGTCTTGTTCGGTTCCTGTCTTTTTTGTATCATTTAATGTAATGCAAATGCAAACAAATCGTACGATAAGTTGCCGCGTGTGGACCACGCTTTACATTTAAATTAATATAAAATTTTATATAAAACTTTTAAATTTAATTATCATTTAATGTAATGTTTCGTTTTGTTGTATTCCTTAGTTTTTATTTACTGTTTTTTAATCACTAATATACGTATAAATGTAATTCCTCCTACTTTTATTTTTTTAGAATCACGAAAGAATTTGACTGGTGCTTTGTCAATTGACTGGACAATTGACCACAAAAGATTTTGACGGTCAAAATCCCAACTCTACTTTTACCCTAAAAATTCGTTCAAATCGCTAAAAGTACAATGAAAAAAATTATAATAAATCTAAAAAAATAAGACATCTACGAAACAAAGTAGAATCGGACCTATGTGATATAGAAAATATATCTTATTTTTACGCAATTAATCTCCCCACGTGAGATGGCACATGTTTTTTGAAACACCCTGTATATTCATGATATTTTCGAACCCTTCCATTCATTGCGTTTGTAGCGCGAAATTGATCAATATAAAATATTATTTTAGACTGATACAGCAATAGCAGCAAGATTAAACGGTAATAAAAATGAAGAAAAACAGTTAGAACCTTGGGATGCCGGGCAAATAAACGGAACTGATAATCTTAGTTTAGATTTAGATGGTTCTAATGGATGGGACGTCAACGATATGTTTAGAAAAAACGAACAAGACTATGGAGTACGTACTTAAATTTATTTAATTTCTTTATACTTAATATGGGGTTCTATATTTCTTTAGGTGCAATCAACGTTTGATCATTCTTTAAGAGGTTATACTGTGCCTCTTCAAACGGGGGATTCCCAGGATTATAGAGAAGCACAAGCGAAGGCTGACCAAATTGCTAACGAAATTGGTAAGATAATAATAAAAAAAATGGTGTGTGCCTTTGAAGGACATGTTTGAAAAAGTGTAGTTTGAAATGTTGAAAAAGTAATAAATTAAAAAAACGATGTACTTAAACAGCCGTTAAACGGTAGCCTACTAAAATGCCGTTAATAGATATTGTGACGTCGTTCATGTCGGCGGAAAGTAATGCCTAGCCTGAAGCATTCTGCAAGAGCACCTGTGGGTCAGTGGCTGAGGCTATCGCTTCGTAAGCGAATGGTCCGTGGTTCAATTCTCACGCCGACCAAGACTTTTTTATATTTTTTTTGCTTATAGCGTGATCTTATTGCATTGGTTTCACTCTTTTTAGTTGGATTGGTTTAGTTATTTGGCGGGTTGGTTAGCGTGGTTATTCGGAGGGTGTTAATTCATTGGTTAGCCCTGGTTATTTCAGCTTTTGGTTGATTTTACTAATTTATATTTGTTTTTTATATTTTTTATCAGTGTCGAGGTTAGTTGCGTAGGTTAAGTTGGTTATTTGGTGGGATAGCTTTGGTTAGTCCTTATAAAATTCCTATATTTCATAAAGCCGCCAAGCTACCGTTTAACGGCAGTTTAAGTACAGCCTATTATTATACACAATCGAGATTTATGGCAACGATTTTTAATTTTTAGAAAATCAACCTACTCATAAGGCAAGGCTAGACCTAGAAAATGGCGACGAGGAAGAAGCTTTTGCCGCTGTTGTCAGACCAAATCAACAAGAATCTAATGGTATAAATCATTTATTTAGTTATATTGTTATTTTTAATTATTTTCTTTTTATTTACTTTAAGGTAAATATATTCCTCCCGCCAAAAGAAAGGGACAGAACAATGGAAAATTGGTTCGAAGTACGCCACCGCCATCTAGCGGGTCTAGTAGTCAAAATTCTCCATCTCCCAAGGAAACTAGGCCTCCAGTTAGTTACCCCACTCATAACAACCCTCATCCGTCTCATCAGAATAGCGTTCACAATTTACCAAGTAAGAATATAACCTCATTTTTTTATTTTACTCAAAATACTTCAATAAACCTTATATGGTAATCGCAAAACAATTTTCTATGCACGTCATCAACTTTGAGTGATAAACGATGGCGACAGCGCTGCCAGATTGTGATGGATTTACGAGATGAATCTTAATTTAAAAGTGACAAACAATATATTTATTATATTATTTTTTAAAGATTTTTACGTTTTATTTTTAATTTAATAACTAATATTTTAGTAATTAATTGATTTATTTGTTTTATAGCTTATTTTACTTATTACATATTGGCAAAAACTAGTCTATTATGAAGATTATTCTAAGCGTTATTGTGGATTATTTATTTATTTATTGATGTACATTTTACAACGCCATAAGTTGTAATAACAAGTAAGAGAGTGCTATTAATGCACAAATTAATAATCACAGAATTTAATAAAATCCAACGTAGAAATAACTTTGAAAGTGGTGTAATGTGCTTATTCAAACTTACTTCTCTGACTGCAGCCAAGGGTAATAAAAGACCTTTATTGTCACATTCTCGTTCAAAATAGTTTATCAGGGAAGCTACAAGCTCTTTGCTTCGACTGTTTAAATGCTTTGGCATCTTTTCAACGCATAATTTCAAGAAGGGCAATACAAAAACTCGAAAATTTAGTTCTTAAAAGAACTGTTTGTGCTTAAAAGTACAATTTTTTAAAAAAGACTATGAAAATACGCATAAAAAAAGAATTACTCACAAATATTCAAGAACAACACGATATTATACAAAATAATGACTGACATTAGGATAATTGTCAAATAATAAACTACAACCTTGCTGAAAACGGCGCGGCGCAATGTGACCAACATAGCGATAATAAAATTCGGTTTAAACTAATTTTTGCAGCATTAATCTAAATAAAATATCTGTTACAGTCATTTGCTCTATAAAGTAAAACGAAGAGCTGCTCGGTATCTTAAATTATACAACAAATTTAAACGTTTTTACATAGTCAGGTTTATAGACTTGTCAATACTAGTGTCAATATCGATATGATTGATGACATGCATCGGAAAATGTTTTGCAATTACTATATGTGCATTATTTAGATATATGTCCCTTTTAGTATAATTGTGTGTGCTTGTGTTTTTTTTTCTAAATATCTCTTTGATGTATTCAGTATTTAATTTTCTATGAATTTTTTGTCTTTTTTTTATGAATACTTTTTCTTTTGCGTAAGGAGTTAAATTGTCCCTAATTTTAGTAAGAACAATCTTCTGATTATCACGAGGTTTTTAACAGAACACACTGTCGTTTTGTCAAGTTTGTATACCCCTTTCTTAAATAATTTTATTCACCTAAAAAAAATACTTGAATTAAACTTTCTATATTATTTATGAAAAACAAGAATATATATTTATAATCGTATTTCTTTCCAGGTCATACTCCTCAGCCTCAAAATCAAATGCCTCACGTATCTCCCTCTCAACATATCCACAACGTAGTACCGCAAGGAGTACCACCACAGATACAACAATCTTTAGGACCCCAACATCAACAAAATATGGTTTGTATTGTACCTGTTTTCGTACTTTGACTCATTTTTTACTTGCAGGTTAAAAAACTCATTGTATCTCAGTCATTTATTTCTTTTTTCAAACTACAACTTGATACTGACTTAGATGTACAGGACAGAGCAAAGATACTATTGTGGTAATAATTAAAGATGATTAATTCTTATTTTCGGTCTATAATTACATATATCCAGTTAGATTTTTGTTTTAATTTGTATATATTCATTGACGGTTTAATTCATTCGTTTTAGTCATTCAGATTATTAGATATTTTATTCTACACTAATGATTGTTTTTTTTTGTTTGGGATATACCTAGTGTTGTAAAATGTTTCTGAATTTTTAAGACACAGTTATTTTTTTATTTTGACTTTTTTTGAATTATGAGTTTTTTTATTGTGGCGCTTGTCAAATAGATTTTATAATTTTGTCACAGATTTTTGACTTCAATTTTAGACACAATACACATATAGAAATGTTTTTTTTATACCTACATTATTACTTTGTCTATGATTATTACACAAAACTCTAATTAAATGAAGTTATTAGCTAGTTTTCTGAATGAAAGTTGAAAAATGTAAAGTTCTAATTGGTTATTTACACACATTAGTCTTCACTTTCTGTGAGATTGTACTCAGTCTGTAACTGATATTGACCACAGCTGAAACACATTGAAATGTTTATACAGGGTCGCTGATATGTATGAAAACGGTAGATATACGAGGTAGCCCAAAAAGTTAAATATAAAAGTTATAAGGTTTTTAAATGTCTGTTCGAGTAATAAATTTAAGTATCCAGGGTAGGTCTTAAAGTTGTGGCACATCAAAGCTTAATATTTTTAAATAGAACCCTCTGTACATTATTGCATATTTCAATTCATTCTTCAATTCTAAGCAAAAATAGAGATACACACAATGTACCTCAAACCAACCCTTTTCGAGATATTGACTGTTGAAAATATCACTTAAACAATTCAATTTAATTAATTTCGATGTGTTTGGTTTCATTTAACGATGACCTAACCTAACCTAACCATTATGGGAAAACTGTGATCAAAAAATATGCCCATGGGATATTGCGACACCCTGTATGATATTTTTCTTTTTAATTAACTTTAGAGCATACAATCACATCCACCACCTCCACAAAGCCAACCGGGCCGTCCAAATTCACACACGCCTCCCCACCAGTACCAACAGGGACCACCACCCAGGCAGCCCCCCGGTGGATCGCACGGTATGCCCCACAACGGTCCGCCCCATAACAAACCTCAGTTGAACAACGAGCCTAAATCTGGTCCTCAGCAACGCCAACAAAGGCACCAGCAGTACCAAGCTCAGCAACATGAGAGAATTGCGCCGCCGATCCAGAGTCCGAGCCCTCTACAGTCTAATTACCAAGATATTAAGCCGCAGGTAATGTACAGAGTTTTTGACAAAAAAATCACAACAAATAGGAAAGAATTACAGTGGTCCTGGCACCATTCTTGCCGAGTCTTATGTAAAAAGACCTCATGAATCGGAATATAGCTGTCTTTTCCTCTGTCGCTCTCTGTTTTTGGGGAAGACCCCCCTACCTAAAAACTGTTCAGCCATCGTTCACCGTGACGTCATTATTATTTGTCAAATATGAGTTTTAGGGTGTGTCTGAGATTAGTTCATATTGTTTAGAACATTTTAAGTGCGTTTCTATATATCATTGATTGAGCGACTTCCGTTTTTTCAGCATTTATTCATTTTTTCTTGAAGTCTTCGTCAGTTACGATCCCTTTAATTCCAATCCTTTCGACTGTTGAAATTCCCATTTCTAAAACATCAGCAACTCGCTATATTATTTAAAAAAGCTATCAATTTGTATTTTACATAGAAATATTACACCTTCTTATTGTACTTACTTCATATACGGCGTCCACGGGCAAGAGTGTTCTACCAGCGTCTCTTTCTCGAGAAAAATAATTTATACGCTTAGCAATGAGCTCTGGTTCATTTTGGTTAAATCTTCGAATTATTTTCGCAATAAAAAAATTAAATTTTGTTTTACAGCAACAATCAAATTTTAATTTTGACATTGACCGATATCCATCAATAAAATTATTATAATCCCAAATACACACACAACACACAAGGCCCAAATCAAATGACAATCACAATTACAAAAAAGAATTTGCAGTAATTTACGAAGTATTGTAATGACGTCACCAATCTCTTTCATCTGGTTGGCAAGTGATTGAAAGAGTTCGACAATATGTGACGTGACGTTGAACGATGATGAACATTCTATACATACGGTAATCGCAAAACAATTTCCGATGCACGTGATAAACTTTGATTGACAAGCGATGGCGACAGCTCTACCAGATTGTGATAGATTTATGGGATGAATCTTAATATAAACTTGGGAAACAGTATATTTATTATATCATTTTTTGAAGATTTTATTATTATTAATTAATTGATTTATTTGTTTTATAGTTTATTTTACTTATTACATATTAGTAAAAACTAGTCCATTATGAAGTAAATGTTACGAATGTTTAAATGCTTCGGCATATTTTCAACACATAATTTCAAGAAATGCAATACAAAAACTCGATAATTTAGTTCTTATAAGAACTGTTTGTGCTTAAAAGTACAATTTAAAAAAAAATGCTATGGAAATAGGCAAAAAACGTGAATTACAAAGATTCAACAACACGATATTATACAAAATAATGACTGACACTAGGATAATTGTCAAATAATAAACGACAACCTTGCTGAAACGGCGCAATGTGACCAACATTGCGATAATAAAATTCGGTTTAAACTAATTTTTGCAGCTTTAATCTAAATAAAATATCTGTTACTTATTTGCTCTATAAAGTAAAATGAAGAGCGCTCGGTATCTTTAATTATACAACAAATTTTAACATTTTTTGCCAAAATTTCATTTAATCAGGTTTATAGGCTTTAGTGCCAATTTCGATATGATTGAAGAAGTAAGTGCACCGGAAAATGTTTTGCGATTACCATAGTATTCTAATTAAGAAGTACATACACACTGCTAAGTTTTGTACATAAGATATCTTATGTACAAAAGACCATGTAAGTTTTTGAGAAGCTAAGATCTAAATTTTATTAACAGATATTAGATTATTGCTGATTATTATTGCTGATTATTATTCTTGTATATTTAAATTACTTTTTTTATATAGGATTCACCGCCGGTAGTACATCAAGTCCCGACACAGCAACCCTTGAATCATCCCCCTCCCCCTCGACAATCGGCACCCCCCGCCAGGCACGAACCTCCGCCGAGTCACCCACAAAATCAGGAAACGATTAAAGATTTTCAGACATTTTCGCAAGATTTCAAGTTGGCGCCTATACCACAGCAAAATAGTAATATTATTCCTATTACGTCACCGCATGCGCCCCCTCAAGGGGGAGGTCCGCCGAATTTGGGGCCACAAGCTCAGCATATTCCAGGTAGGGATGGGCAGATGATACAAATTATCGATATCGATACCTACGAGTGTATTGATAGTTCAGCAATATCTTGTAGTTAGCATTAGGAATGGATTTTTTATTATTTTATTTAAATTATTGATATATTGAAACATTGATATATTGATACCTATCAATATACATGGTGGCGCCTCTCATATGAAGCGAAATTAAATTATGTGAGCATATGTAGGTACGTTAGAGCATTTTTTTTAAATATATAGTTCTACAGGTTGTCCCCCAAAAAGTTACACATTAAAGTTGTGTATTTGTAATGGAACACTCTGTATTTTAATAGATTTTCAGATTCTAGGAAAAAAATAAAGGTGAGTTTTATTAGAGAAGCATATGACTAAAATGTAAGGTTTTTGACATATTTAACATTTTCTAAAAATGAACAATAAATTTTAAATTTCAATAATAGCTACCTAAATTGGAATTTATCCGGTATAGCCTAATATGTAGTTAAAATAATCATTGTACTTTAAAATAAAATTAAAACTTGTCCCGAAAAGTTATACAGGGTGAGGCAAAAGTAATCTTGATCATTAGTCGCTTGGTCACTTTTTTAACTAGTTACTGTTAAGTTGAACTAATTTGACAGTTATGTTGAAGTAACGTCAGGAATATCACAGCCACCTAGATTTTATCAAATATATAATAAAGATCTACTGACACTACATCATAAAAATGAAAATATCTAGGAAAGTCTTTGTCTAAGCGGTAAGCAACCTTAATAGAATTTTGAAGAGATATTACTGCTCCATTGAATATCGGAATAATATACTGGATATATGTTCCATTTAAAATTAAAGAGTAACTTGCTTTTAAAAATGACCAATATTCAATACTAATTTTGTTTCGCCCTGTATAACTTTTCCGTGCAAATTTTAATTTGGTTTAACATACAATGATTATTTTAACTAAATATCTGACAATACAGGGTAAATTATTATTTAGGCAGCTTTTGGTAGGTAGAATATCCTTCTCTAATAAAAATCACCTTAATTTTTTCTCTAGAATCCCAAAATTAATTAATATTGTCCATTACAAAAAAAACACAATTTTGATGTGTAACTTTTTTTGGGGACACTCTGTACAACTCTGTATATTTTTAAAAAATGCTCTAAATTAACCTACAAACTAACAAAATGTCTTTTCAATACAAAGTGCCGTTTTCCTCGGAGCCTCCGCGTCATATGAGGTGTTCCACCCTGTATGAAACTCTAGTTAACATTACAAATTCCAGGGGGCGCTGAATCACCTCAAATACCTCCACCCCAACACATAGGCACCGGAGGATCGCCAAATATGGCCGCTTCTGGACCAAACAGCAGTGGGTCGTCGAGCAATAGTAACAGTAGTCTGAACATGATAAATCCTATAGAACAAAACCAGCCGGGTGGACCAAATAACAAGCAACCTAGTCCAGCGCAGAGCCCAGCTAGTATAGAGTCGGAGAAATTACAAAACACCATTGCAAAATCGAAACTGAACCCTAACGCCAAGGAGTTTGTACTAAATCCCACAGCTAAACCTTTTCAACCAAGGTAAATATTATTTTATCAATTGTATTACTAGTTATTGTCAATTTACTATATATAAAGGGTGATTACAGTTCAAACCTTTGGTGAACAACAGCAAAATAAAACACTAAATCACCACAATCCACCAAACACTTTACTTTTAAATACTGGATCGGACGTTTTATACTGGACGCGCGTTTCACTAACCATGTTAGCATCAACAGCAGTTGATTAAAGCTAAACTAATATCTACAAAACTATAATATAACCACATTATCTGTTCATATTATCTTTACATTTATTTATTTTGACCCTCTGATATGCATCTAATTTCTGCTATTTCAGGCTCGTTTGATTAATTTTAAATTATTAATAACTATACAATGATCTCTATATACTGAGCTACGTAAGATTTATCAGGGTCTACTGCATGTTATCTGAGCCATTTGTTCTTTAAATCTAATTAATAATGATCTTCTAGTTTTCTCAACATATTTTTGTTTACTATATTTTGATAGTGTTTTATTTTGATATACAGCTGCTTGAAAATGTACCGTCAAATTTCATGCCATGATTTCCCATCAAAAAATATGAAGATTGTGTAGTTTTAAATACACAGGATGTTAAAAAAATCGTTTTTTGTTGTAAATTATACAAAATACCTTGTACCCGACATTCTTGAAACTTGTCAATTTTTACTAATGTTAACCAATTAGAACTTTACATTTTTCAGCTTTCATTCAGAAAACTTGCTAATAACTTTGAATTTTTTTGTATAAAAAATAGTAATAAACGAACTAACAATGTAGGTAAAAAAATATATTTGTATATGTATTGTGTCAAAAATTGAGGTGAAAAATCGATGACAAAATTACAAATTTTATTTGACACTACTTGTCAAAAGTCAAAGTAAAAAAAGTAATAGTGGCAACGTTGCGACGTGCATTCGTCAAATATTTTGATGACTTACTTTGATGTATTTTTTGACGATTTACTTATTCCTGCTATTTTATTTTGTATTATTATTTTGTTAGATCTCCTAGCACTCCTTCAGCTAGCCGTCCACACACTCCACAGACCCCATCTCATAGCCCATATATGCCTCAAACGGTGAGTGGACCAGGGGCACCTCAGATGCCTGCAGTCATGATGCACATGCCTTACATCGGGATCAGTCAGGCGCAGTACCAACCCCCTCCACCTCAGACAAATAGGATAAGAAAAAGTATGTTCTATGATTCAAACATTATTAATGACGTACTGCAAAATAAGACTAATTCACCACAAAAACACTTTATTTTTGCACTGGACGCGCGTTTTGCTAACCATGTTTGCATCATCGGCAGATGATTAAAACTAAACAAAAATCTGAAAATTGAGCGTTTATTTATAGGCACTCAGCTGGCACTGAGTAGGCTTGACTAAACTAGCCAAGCGAGTCAAAACCAACTGAGCGTAACAATTACCGAAACTAGAGCAATAGGAACAGATAACTAGAAAGAATTTGATCTTTGTCTCTGTTCCTACTATCTTTACATTTATTAATTTTGACACTCTCATGCATCTTCTTGCCTGTAATTTGAGACTTTTTTAATTAATTTTAAATTATTAGTATCTATACTATATTATATTAGGTGGGTTTTACCCGCCTACTGTTGATTTTTGTAATAATACAATGATCTTTGTCAACAATAAGTTGAGCAACTCAAGATTTATCTGGTCTACCCTATTGTATCTGAACCATATGTTCTTTAAATCTAGTTAATTATGATCTTCTAGTTTACCCGACATATTTCTGATTACATTTTTTACTTGAAATTTCATAAATACCCGACCTTTCCAGTGGAAGAGTTTTATCTTTAGGATTACCTAATAGTTGTAATTTATTATTAGCACTATACACAAGTTTATAATTGACATTTTTGAAAAAATTCTTTTTAAACCACAGGGTAACTCTCTATCAAACGGTATTGAAATATATTTTGACGTACCTTTCTCTACTTGTAAAAGTCGAATTTGTAGGAATCACAAACTTATTCCTACGTTTTCTGATTATTTTATCAACTAATGATGAATATGTAACATAAACAGTTGTTTAAATTTCTGTTTCAATATTTTATTTTATTTTTATTAGATTATGTCCTCACACTTAAATTATACATTTGTGTTTCTTTTTAGTTCCAATGGGCCAAATAAGGACGGACATGGCGTCCCAGATGCAACACGCCGCAGCTGTCACTGGACAGCCCTTGTTAGCTCCGGCTCCATTACCTCAGTTCATATACAACCCTTCGGCGGCCGCGGCGGCGCACGGGATGAACCAGGCGGCTTACCAGCAGGCAGGTATGGCCGCCATGCACGCCACCCTGCGCATGTATAACGACGCCACTGTCGCGGCGGCCGCACCACCACAGGTAAAGAGAGAGTTTATTTATTTATTTACGTATTATTTTATATATTACGTATTATTTTTAGATACAGTATTTACCACCTCAGCAAAGTGGGAGCGGGTCTCCAGCTCAGCCATATAATCCCGCTGCTGTTCAGCAGCAACAAGGTCCACAGCAAGGTTATCAAGTGAGTTTTTTTCTCTAAATTTACAGATATTTATTTTAGGATTATTTTAATTTATTTAATTTTTTATAGGCGGCGCCTCCGCCTCAAGGACCTCCACAAATGCCGATGTTCTGCATTCCTACAAATGCTCACATGTTGCCAAGTGTACCGGCTTATCTTCAACAAGCTCCTCCCCCTCCACCACCCCACCAGCACGTACAGGTCAGTCAAAGTTAGTAAAATATCTACTACTATGTTATATTTATTATTTTTTTTTGTTATTATTATTATTACTACAGTTAATTTCATTAAAGTTGACGAATCAAGATTAATACTATTTACTAGACTGCTTCAAAAAAAATCGACTATACAGAGTGTCCCAGAAGTAAGTGCAAGTATTTTAACCAGAAACACATCCATGAGGGTTTTTTGAAAAAAAAATTTGAAAATTTTATATTTTTCTTGACATTTTCCGGATATTATTGAAAAACTTTTGAGTATCGATTGTTCAGTTTCGGGAAATTTGTTCTAGGGCTTGCAGAGAATGCAATGTTGCCACCTCCTAAGTTGTCCACGTTCTGTATGTTTGTAAGTTATAAGTTCATATTTTTAAATTTTGACATAAAAAAATACTTAAAATAATTTTATTCACTGTAGATTTTTTTGTTTGGTAAAAAGTAACCTAAAAATTGTTTTAAACAGTAAAAAAATGTTTTGCTTAAAAATATTTTTTTCCAGCACTGCCTGAAACTATTTAAAACTGTTAACAATTTAAAATCTATTTTAGAATTTTTAATAGATCTTTGATATCGTACATTTTTCAAAAATATTTCTCTTTCTATTACAATCTGGCAACAATGCTGCCTAAAATGTACGCACGTGCTCGATGACGTGCAATGGTTTTTAATTTGTCTCAACTTTACTTTTAATATTTAATATTACTTTTTTAACTTAAGGTATTTTGTCATTTGCCTGATTTTGCATTATTACCTGTTCAGTGTCAATTTAAAAATAAGATGCAGTTTTTCTTAAATTACTTAAAATAGGCTTGTTCAAAATTGTGTAAACTTGGCATGTCTATTCAGTATAAGGAGACCTTTAAAAAAACCTATTTACGACTTCGCTGTAAAATCCAGGAGAGCCAATATTTGGGTAGTTCAAAACTTCCATGGGATTTCCTATGTTATGTCTTTAAAAAAAACGCTTTATTGTACAAAAAGCCAAAACAGCTTCATCGACAAAGCATTCACAAAACAAAAAAGCACAAAAACAAATATACAAATAATAAAAAAAAATGTCATACAATACAAAAAAGCACAAAAACAAATATACAAATAATAAAAAAAATGAAAAAAAAAATAAAAACATAAAAAAAAAAAATAAAGTAAATGTTCTTGATCTTGATTCGTCACCTTTAGTTAAACAGACTGTACATTTTAGTTTTGTTTCTTTTTCTATGCAGGTTTTAGTCCAACACCAACACCCAGGTACACAGGGTGGTAATCCGCATGGCCCCAATCCTTAACGTTGAGATAGGTATTTTTTAACAAAATGTATTTCGGTTTAAATTTTAGTAAATTTCTCTAGATTTTAAGGTATCATCTCTCTCTATCTCTCTCATTGTATAATTTCTGGAGTAAAGTAAGAATCTGCCATACTAAAATGTTACTTTATTTGAAAAACGATAGTAAAAATAATAAAATAACGTTTTTCTGTCGTAATTTCTACTCTGCTCTAGAGACTTTCGGAAAAATTTAATAAAAACAGTTGTTGACGACAAAAAGAAAAATAAGAAATATGTAAGTAATTTCAATGCTACTTTCGTTTATCGTTTTTTTTTTCAAGTAGGTATATTAATATTTTTATGAAATACTTAAATATATGTTAAAATATACAGGGTGTCAAAAAAATAGTGTATCTAACTTTGGTGAGTGATTCTACAGATAAAAATAAAACAAAAAGTTCCTATAAACGTATGTCCTAAAATGCTTCTCGAACAAGTTACAGCCCCCTCGAAAGGTTAAATAAAAATATATTTTGTTTATTTTTAAGCCAGAAAATTGACATCAATCGATTGGCATAATTTAGTTTTAGCGTCAGTACCAATCCGTTATACTAAAATCCCCTAAAAATGTATTGCCAACTGTTTATTTCAATTGTTGTGGTTCTTTCAAAAAATATATTTTGGAATTTTTCGAAATTTCTTACCTATTTCTTATTTGTTCAAGAATTGTTTTAAATCAACAGCAATGTAATTCATATTTTTGTCTATACAGGGTTATGCATCAAGTGAGGACATAATATCCTATGTAAATTTTATTGCTTTCCCTGTTGATTTTAGAAAAAAACTTTAATGGAGTTTTTTAAAGTGCCGGATTAGATCAGGTTACCTGTCAACTTTGAAGATCTTCCTCTAAGCCGTTTTAAAATTATTTGTAAAATTAGTTCCTTAAAAAAAGTAATTTGTACAACTGTAAAACACTCTGATCACCAGTAATTTATTAAACTTTATAGCTTCATTCAGTACCTCGCAATTAGTGGAATAAATTAGTGGTTTCAATTAGCGTAGAAGTTTGTTCCTTTAATTTCAATGTAGGCATTCAAACGTCAAAATTAGTGGTAGTCATTTTCAATTATTAAAAAAAGTTAAAAAATTTTTCGAGTCTGGTACATTTTAGGAACGTTGAATTTTTAAAATTTTCTATACAGAATTGAGAAGAGGGACACATATAAATGATAAAAGTACGGATCGTCCATAAATAACACCAAAAACTCAGATCAAAATATAATATCTATTCTTATCAGCTTAATATCGCTACGGCTATTTTTCAAAATTAATAGGAAAGTATAAATAAAACAAAATCCCGATTTTCAATATTTCATTGTTACCGCCAGCGATATGCGCAGACGCGAGCAAAAGACAAATAAACCTAAATCTGCGTCTTCTTTGTCACTCTTATTAAACTTAATAAAGAAAGTTATATTCTAACCTCAAAAAATAAATAATTTTATTGCAGTGATCTCAAACATTTAGCCGAGTATCCGCGTACGATCCGTACTTAAAACGTTAAAACATTATTGTAGAATATATTAATATCAAATTTGCATCAATAACTTCAAGATTGACGACGTACCTAAAATGTACCATCACCAACTTTTCCACTAATTATACTTCAAAATCTGCGAGGAATGTCATTTTGGCCTTTGATTATCATCCGCCAAGAAAAATTGTGATTAGAAACCAAAAGTTGATTGTTTTTTTATAAGCTAAATATTAGGCTTTCTTTCTTTCTTTCTTTTTTTTTGTTTTTTTTTTCTTTTTCTTTTTTTTATTTCTTTCTATTTTTTTTTTCTAAATATTAGGATTTTTTTGTGGAGAGATTAGGCTTTCTCTATGCATACAACTGACTACTGCAAATAGTTGCTAGGATATTCTATTAATTTTAATTGTGTTTTTAGAAATTATGAATGATTGTAAACTAAAAAAAGTGTAATTGAAACCACTAATTTATTCCACTAATTGCTAGGTTCTGAATGAAGCTTATGACATTTATAAATTTTTGAGGCATTGAAGTCATAGAATAATGTCATGTGCTAGAGATATATGGGACACTGATATAAAATTTAAGGCGAATTTTTGCGCATAAGACGCTGTAAGCTGGTGACATTTCCACATTCGAGCGAATAAGTAATGACGTCACACTTAAAGCGTCTTTAAGCGGTAACTAACCTTCATCTGTCAATGAATTTGGAAATTGAGGGAATATTTTACAACTGATTTATAAAAACGTCACGCTTAAAAGACGTACATTTTTGCGTTTGGAAAATTAATGACGTAGTTCTTTAAGGCGCTTAAAGACAAGTCTTAAGATGAGATCTCGCTAAAACATGCCTTAAATAAGTCCGCCATTTAGAACCACCTGTTGATGCTGGATACTGGAGAATTTTGGCTGAACAATTTTAGCGTTCCGTTACTTATTAACGCTAACTAAAACGGTAACGTTATTCAAGCTCAAAATTATTTCTTCTAAAATGTGAAATAATATAGACTTTTTTATTGTTAATCGGTGATCAGAGTGTTTTACCGTTGTACAATTCTTTAAGACCTAATTTTGCAAATAATTTAAAAAAAGTTGTTAGGTTGCCTGATCTAATCCAGTACTTTAAGAAGTTCCATTAAAAGTTTCTTCTAAAATCGATAGGGGAGCCAATAAACGACACCCTTAAAATTTACATGGGATTTCCTATAATGTCCTGAGCCGATGCATCACCCGGTATAAGTTCAGGAAAAAAACACTCACACATTGACATTTACAAAACATAAATATTATCTTTTTTATCGTCCAAAACTCTCCTTGTTATGTTACTTTTTTGATAGTTATATTATTTTTGTTATACTTTTTTGTTAAACCCTTAATTTTTTCGACTTCTAAACGTTTTCTTTATATACACTCGATACATTTTCATTTTCATCTCATTTCATGATTATTTTGTTGAAATAATAGGTATCTTTATAGTAAAAATGTTTGAGAAAAAAGATACCAGTAAAAAGATATGGATAATTTCAGTTCATTCCATACGTTGTCAGTTGAATGTTAAAAATATTATGTCTCATATTTTGACCGCTCATAAAACTATCACCCAGTATATATTTTGTTTCTTTCTTATACGTGAATAGAATACTGAGCGACACGAAAAACAGACACCTTAAAATTTTCATGGATTTTAAAGTTAAATATATTTTGATCTAGTGGGCCGATTTTGATGATTCTTAAGCAATTTCAATAGTTAATAATTTAGCTACAAATTGCTTAAAAAATAATCAAAATCGCATCACTAGAACAAAATATATTGAAGTTTAAAACAGATGAAACTTTTGAGCTGTCCGTTTTTAACGCCAGTATATGATTTGAAAGAAATATATCAAATGACAGTGCGCCATATTTAATATCGAAAAATTGGCGCGAAATATTTGATTGATACAGGTGCCTTAGTAATACAGGGTGATTTATAATAATGGGTATAATTTTTCTTTTTTTAAAATCACGGACTTATTATCGGACACAAATTACTACATTATAATGTAAAAAGTATTAAATGAAAAGGGAAATTATATTTAAAAAAACACCCTGTATTTCTTTTAAAATATAAATGGTAAATAATTGTTTTTGTATTAATTCAATGGACTTTCGGCACCCAAACAATATTTTCAATTCAGATTCTTTAAAAATGTTTAAAAAAACTTTTTACAATATTTTTTTAAATACGTGTGCTAATATCAAAGAAACCAGACACATTTTCCCTTGTAAATTCGTCATTATTGTTAATTTATGTAAATCCAAACAAATTGTTGTTTATATCTCATTTGAAATCAGTTTACTTTTTGCTGAAAAAAGTATATATGGGAAAATGAAGAAAAAAGTGAAATTAAAAAAATCGTATTTTTTTTGTTACAAATAAAAATTATCTACAGTTTATTTGTAATAAAGTGTTTTAATTCGTATAACCCTAGAAAGAACCAGCAGTATATTTAAACTAAATGAAACAATATCAACTAAAGCCTCATCTACACATAACGTTTTACTGAAACTAAAAGAATTTCGGACTTTTTATTTATCGATCTTTATTTACTTGTCATTTATTTATTTACCATTGTATTTATTTGTTTTTGCTTAGACAACGTTTCGGTCAGAAGTATAACTGACCGTTATCAAGTGTGAGCTAATCTAAATCCTAAAACTACCTAGAAAGTGCAAAAACCGAAGACTCTGTGGTAATAGTTCTTTGATAGGTGTTTTTTTTTCAATTGTACGGTATTTGTTTGTATTTTTGCACTAATGGACCATCCTGTACGTTAAATTCTACAGTTAACAATAGCACTTTGTGCCAGTACTAATAATATATCCTAGATTTTTTTTATGAAAGTTTCTTAAGGGATCTAGAAATAATTGATTAACATATATTAACAGATATCAGTTGCTCTTAAAAATAATTTATTAAATAATAATTTATTAATAAAGTTTTAAATGTCCTGTAATTTTATCTAGAATACTTTTAGGTGCAGGTCCGATGGCTATCACAGTTCTAGTACCTAAAATATATACAGATTTATAATAAAGAAATGTTTAAATAAAAAATATACCTGGAGCAACTTGAGTTTGTCCAGCATCTCTGATAATACAACTTAAAACATTATATTTACTTGCTTCTCTATCCAAATCTAACAATTGTTCCTCTGATTCTACTCTGAGGGCAATTTTTGTCCCACCTTCAATGTTATATTGTTATAAGAACCTATTAACTAGAGATTAATATATTTCATACTAGATTTACCATTTTTTAACCATTCCTTTAAGAGTTTTGGTGAAGTACTTAAGGTTTTAGCGTAAGCTGCCATCGCACCGTGCCCACATTGAGCTGCCACCTTTCCTTTTTGCATTTTTAAGTCGTTTCGGACACCTAATATTAATCTAACTTCATCATTCGTTTCTTCAAACTATTAAAATAAAAAACATATCAAAAATAAGATGAGATACAATGAATAGTAGCAGTGCTTCACCTCATATCTTTCTTCCATGCCGTTAGACCAAACTGGCTCAGTTTTATGTTTCGGTTTACTTCGAAGCCTTAATATAAAATAGGTTGACATGGCACCAACTAGAGTACCGGCGCTAAACAGTACCACACCTGAACTACTAACCAGGGAGCTCATTGTAAGTCAGAATAAAATGTCTATATTGTCTTTTAATAAAAAATCATTCTACTTTTTATTTACCTTTAATTTTTTTTTTTCTAAAAATGTTTTCATTTTTTTCTAAGGTTATAGTAGTAGTAGTATATTAGTTTAATGGCCACAGCTGCCATGGCTATCCAGCCGGATGGTAGAATTAACTACCTACGATTGTCCTCTAATTATTCTTCTTGTTCCGTAATATGGCCACTGGCCACTTGCATTTACAGCCCGCAGCTAGTACTTTTTTAATCTTTTGAATCTACGGACAATTTAATTAATTAAGCTAAAAACAAATTGTAAAGAAGTAATGGTGTACTGAATGTCAGAAAATTGAAAAGAAGATTACTTTCTAACCCTATTTGATAATTTCAAAATTAACGTAAAAGAGTTACATTTTCAGAGGGTTAAACAATACTTAAGGAATGGAATAGGAAAATACTGTACAGAAAAATCACTTTTTTTATATAAAATCAGAAAAATTATGAGAGCAACAACAACACAACGGAAAATGCCGCATCGCCAACGTTGTCAGATTGAGCAGATGTAAAATAAAATAACCAATTTTTGGGGTATTGATATTCATTTGAATACTGTCTACAAAAAGAATGTTTATTAATTCTAGCGAAAGAATGTTTATATATGGTTTATATTATCATTATTTTGTAACATAACAGTTCAAATCGTTTTATTCTTAAAAAATATTGATTTAGCTTAATTTCAGGATTTCGCTAACATCTTGGCAACCTTGGAAAAACTTTAGTTCAAAATTTTGACACTTTATCCACAATGGCGCCACATGCGTTCTTCTTTTTCATATTTTAGGTCTTAAAAGAACCGAACCACAGCATAATAGTAATGTTCTTCTTCTTTCAAAAAAAAATGGTACGAAACATAAACTTACCACAGATTAGATATAAGTTTTCTCTTCTTTTCTTTTAATTACCTCGAAAAGGCTCGAACTCATGCTAGTCATACGGCCAGTGTCCAGAAAAAAATAATTAAAAGAAGAAAGTCTAAGTTGTAATCTATGGTTAATTATTAGACAAAGAACGACAAAAATAAAGAAAGACAGCAATGGTTAAATATTTTGAGGTTTTGTTTTTTAAATTTTGAAAACGTTTTTATTTGGAATTTATTTTAAATATATGAAAAATGCCAAAATCTTGGGGTGAGCTGAATGTGCATTTACACGAAGAAATAATTAGAGGAATAGAAAGCTTTAAGTTTCCTTACATGACCCCTGTACAAGCAGCAACTATACCGCAGTTATTAAACAAAAAAGATGTGGCAGCAGAAGCAGTCACAGGTATTTAAAGATATAACACCCTGTATGGTATTATTTATAAAGTATTTATTCATTTAGGATCAGGAAAAACGTTAGCTTTCTTAATCCCAACACTACAGATATTAAAAACTCGTGAAATCGAAGACCCTTGGAAAAAACATGAAGTAGGAGCGATAATCATTTCACCTACTCGAGAATTAGCTTTACAAACACGAGATGTACTAAAAGAATTACTTCAAAACGTTACAGTTAGTACCTATTGAATTTCTGTTTATTGTAATACCATAATCAGTGTTTTTTTATAGAAATTAACACAAGTATTATTTGTTGGAGGAAACATTGTAGAAGACGATGTAAAAAAATTTAAGGAATTGGGAGGCAATATAATAATTAGTACTCCAGGAAGACTAGAGGATTTACTATCAGGAAAATACGATATTAATTTCCCAAATTGTATTAAATCATTGGTAATGTACTCAAATTTATCCAATCTGTTGCATCACCGACCTGAATATAGGAAGTCCAATGTAAATTTTTGAAAATGATGAATAAGTCCCTAGTAATTCCCTATTTTATTTCTCAGAAAAAGTTGTTTGAAACTCTTTAAAGAGCATAGGTACTTAAAATGAAGGAAAGTGTTCATTATATTCCTTTTGGAGTTATGAAAGATAAAAAATACTAATAACAAACATGCCACCTAGAATATAGGGTAAATTTTCCCATTTTATCATTAACAAGTACATACTTAACTTTGTATCTCTCATAACAAATGAACAGTTTACTTAATTTTTAAAATTTACATGAGATTTCTTATTAATTATCTTAACTATTGTCTTAATTTTTGAATCCATTGATTTCAGGAAGTACTGATATTAGATGAAGCCGATAGACTCTTGGATTTAGGATTTCAAAAATCTTTAGACACAATTTTTAGTTATTTACCTAAGCAACGTAGAACTGGGCTATTTTCAGCAACACAGACCAAAGAAGAAAGTATTATTTGTCTTTGTAATAATAAGTCTGAACTAATTGAGAAATTTTATTTCAGGTAAAAAACTTAATAAGAGCAGGCTTAAGAAACCCTGTTATAGTGAGCGTGTCCGCAAAGGCTCAACAAAGTACTCCAGTACTATTAAATAACTTCTATATTTTAAGCAAAAATGAAGGTACTCGTATATTATTAAATAACAATAATACAATAATATAGAGAAATCAATAACGCCAACTTTTATTGAATTTGCTATACAGTATGTCCCCAGATTGTCTTTACAAGAGGAAAGACTTTTATTGACATTTTTACAAAAATGCATTCTTCATAAAAAATTTTACTTGTTTTAAAATGGTTAATACTGTTTATATATTTTTCAAATTTTCATACCATTTTAGTGAAAATTAAGAAAAACATGGAAATATGGTTGAATTTGTTCCTAAAAATCAAAACGCGTTTCTATGGTAATATAACTTCGTTTTCCTTCTTTGATAGATTGTTATTCATAGAATTTTAATTAACAAAATATCTTCTGTTGTTTTAAAATGTTAAAGAAGCACAACATTTATTTAGTTCAATGCTATGGAAAGGGTTCTGAAAATTATTGGAAAATGGCATACTTTAACAACAACAAAGAATATGACGTTAATCAAAATGAATAAGCATCTGTCAACATCTATTATATCATTAATTTTCTCTAAAACGGTATGGAAATTTTGAACACTATAAATGGGATTAACCAATTTAAAAGAAGCAAAATTTTTTATGAAGAATGGATTCTTCTCAAAATGTCAATTATAAAAAAGCGTTTCCTCTTGTAAAGACAATCCGGGGACATACTGTATATAACATTCAAAAGTATATGTAGGAAAACTGGCATCATTGTTGGATTTCATAAAAAGGAAAGATTTACAGAAAGCAATGCTCTTTTTACCGACCTGCGCTTGTGTAGATTATTGGTCAAAAGTTTTATCACGCATCAAAAAATTACCTATACCAGTACTGGCGATCCATGGTAAAATGAAAGACAAACGTCAAGTAGTACTAAGTAAATTTAAAGACAGCGACAAAGCATTGTTGTTATGTACAGATATAATGGCCAGAGGTATCGATATACCAGAGGTAAAAGAAATGTTTTGTTTGTATTTACACTGTATGATCTAAAAAAAAACGGCGTCAAAGACGGCTGGGGAATGACAATCGATGATAATTTTGGCGAGGTCAAGCCCTAGACGTCATTTACTAAAAATTTACATAAATAAATTACAACCCTATTAAAGCCAACTGGCAGTAAGCAACATTAAAGAACAAGGAAGAGTACGGGTCAATTAAATTCCGTCTCTTGCTTGACCTCGTCAAAATTACTAGCAATTGTCATTCCTCAGCCGTCCCTGACGGCGTTTTTTTCGAACGTACGGTATTTATGACAGTTTTTTTTTGTTTTTTTTTACTAGGTAGACTGGGTTCTTCAGTGGGATCCACCAGTAAACGCTTCAGCATTTGTGCATAGAGTAGGAAGAACAGCACGACAAGGGAATGAAGGAAGTGCCCTTCTAGTTTTGCTTGAAAACGAGGAAGCATATGTTAACTTTATAGAAACTAATCAGAGGGTTAAACTAACTAAAATCGACGATTTAACGCAGCAAAAAGAAGTATGTATAGTACGGTGCACCCAAAAAAATAGATATTATATTATGAGGTGTCTCATTGTGATTTTCTGTTTAAAAATATATTGAACTTGGTCAAGAAAGAGTAACACGGCAATTATCTATCCATTTTTAATTATATTCTGTTTTGAAATTCTTACCGCTTCTTTTAAATGTAGAACTTTTGCTACAGCAGCGCCATCTTAATTGTTCTCTCTTACACATAGATAATTCTCCTTACCTCTGCCCTCCATACTGGTAACTGTCATTTGTTAGAGGTTATTGATTTTATTGATGAATATCCATGAATGTCAAAATAAAAAATCACAAATGTTGATGACGTCACGTTGAGCGATCATTGAACAAACTATACCTTAAGAGAAATTGTTGATAAAGTTCATACAAGGGATTTTGAACTGTATATTTTTTAGATAGACGATTTACGGGAATCAATACGAAATTTGTTGAAAACAGACAGGGCCTTGATGGAAAAAGCTATTAAAGCGTACGTGTCTCATGTCAGAGCATATTCAAAGCATGAATGTTCGTTGTTGTTAAGAGTAAAAGTAAGTAGATGCACTAAGGAATCTTAAAGAATGAGGTTAATGTTTTCAAAAAAAGTTCTATCGGTAATTCGTCACTTGCACTGTAAGAAAATCTACAAAATAAAATGCCTTAAGGCCATAAGGACTGCCCATAGGACTTTTTTGAAACGATGAATCCGCCACAAAGATATACAGGGTGAGTTTCCTAGGGTGTTCTCTATGGGTATATCGGAAACTACTGGAGATAGAGAGTCAGTTAAATGGGTAAATAATTGCAGTTTTGTGGGGTCATGAATATGCGCCTTTCAGATTTTCGAAGAAGTTCATGGCTTACTAGATATTTCGAAAAAAACAAATTTTAGCTATTTTAAAAATTGTCCCCAATTCCATTATAATCTATTTCAGACAAAAAGTTTTCAGATAAAAGTTGTAGATAATCACATCCTTAATGAGATTGTGTTCTCCGAGATTGGATGTAACAGTTTCACATTTCTGAGAGCAACGATGATTGAACTTATTTCCATGGCTAACTAAGTGAAATTAGCCAAGAAAGATAAGAATTAGCTATAACTCAGTAATTTTGTGAAAGAAACATATTATAGTTTATATCGCTGAAAAGCTTAAAAAATGGCGCTTTTTATGAAGTCATGACCAACTATGGTTTCCATTTAAAAAAAACATATGTTTGTGTCATATGTCAAAAATGACAGGCTTTAGAAAAAATCGGAGAATATAAACTCATTAGGAATGTGATTATCTACAACTTTTATCTGAACACTTTCTGTCTAAAATAGATTATAATGGAATTAGGGACAATTTTTAAAATAGCCCAAATTTGTTTTTTTTACGAAATATCTAGTAAGCCATGAACTTTTTCAAAAATCTGAAAGGCGCATATTTATGACCCCACAAAACTGCAATTCTTTCCCCATTTAACCGTCTCTCTATCTCCAGTAGTTTCCGAGATGCCCATAGAGAATATCGTAGGAAACTCACCCTGTAGACATTTTTTAGTTTAATGTTGCTAAAACGTTTACAGGAGTTACCACTAGGTGCTATGGCAGCTACTTACGGCTTACTAACCCTACCGAAAATGCCAGAGCTCAAAAATAAAGATGTATCCGATTTTCCACAAATAGATAGCTTAGATTTAAATTCAATTCCCTACAAAGATAAAATTCGAGAAGCTATCCGCTTGAAAAAACTAGAACAGTATAAAAATACAGGTAGCTGGCCTAGTAAAAAACAAAAACTTGTGAAAAAAGCCACACAACCCTGGTCGGTAACTAAGCAAAATAAAGAGGCGAAAAAAGAACGAAGGTTTAAAAGAAAAAACGCAAAAATGCAGGCTGTTAAAGAAGATTCGAAGGGTAAAAAAAGAAAAGGTTTGATATAAAAATTTAAGTATAGTAATTTAGATTTAATAGACATTTCTTCAGGTGGGATATCTCAAGAAGACTTAGAAGAGCTAAAGAGAGATGTAGCCTTACTGAAAAAACTGAAGAAAAAGAAGATTACAGATGAAGAGTTTGATAAAGAGATTGGGATAGAATAGTACAAAAAATGTTTTATTATTATACCATACGATCGAAAAAAAAACGCTCTCAGAGACGGCTGGTGAATAACAATCGATGATAATTTTGGCGAGGTCTTATTGAATTATTATAAATTGTCATTCCCAGCCGTCTTTGACGCCGTTCTTTTTTTTCGATCATACGGTATTATATGATGTAAAAATAATGTATATATTTTGTATTGTGTTATAAAAAATGTCTTGTTGTTTTATAAAATGTCTTGTTGTTTTATAATAATAAAGTATATGACAAAATACGTTAAAATTTATAATAACTATTATTTATTTGTTTAAATGGGAAATAAGAACGTTTTGTCCTCTGATTACAAAAGTTACGTCACTCTGGTTACTTGTCAAAACAATTTTCGGCCTATAGGATCACGTGAACCGCAGTTTAACCAATTTCAAAGCGTTATTTCCGCTCGTGCCCATTGCGTCATTCTCGCTTTTCAAAATATATCGTTTATAACATAACCTATAACGCATATGACAAAGAGATTTACCTCCACACTTATTTTTCTTATAAAACCGTGGCCTACGTTATAAAAAATATGAGAGCCGCGTAATGTGTGTTTTGACTACAAAAGTTACGTCACTCTCTCCCCTTGTCAAAACAATTTTAGGCCTATAATCACGTGAGCCGCATTTTAACCAGTTACAAAGCGTTATTTCTGCACGTGCTCATTGCATCATTTTCAAAATATGACATTTAGAAACATAACCTATAACTAGTGAAACGTAAATAAACAAAAACCTGAACCAAACAGAGATTTACCTCTACATTTATGTTTCTATTAATTTAGTTAAGGAGAATACTGCGTTTTTTTAATTTATTTAACCAAAGAAACTAACATGAATATTTAAAATGGAGAAAAGTATAATACCAAAGTTGGCATTTGCGATTTTAAAAGAATCTGAGCAGTTATACAAAATTAAAGGATGTTGTAAGTATAATTTTAATTTTAAACCGTTGCAATAATAAAAACGATATATGTTTTTTAGTTGAAAGTGATATTTTAGAAAGTCTGTATTCAAATTTTCATGATACCTTTCTTGAAGCATCAGAATTGTTAGAAAAGTACAAGGTTCATCAGTATAGTACTCCAGATAAACTAAGAACAATGTACAAGGTTGCCACGTATAACGAACTACATACAGTTTTCGAAAATATCAATTATTGTACCTGTGATGGTTTTACAAAACATGTATTAGATTTAAAGGATCGACTTACTTGCAAGCACGTGTTGGCTGTGAGCATAGCTAGAAGTACAGGGAAAATTGTTGAAGAAATAATAAATCCGGCAACATACGAGGAAGTTCTAAATACACAGCTAGAATTTTTTGATGATTAGTGGTACCGTATGATCGAATAAAAAACGGCGTCAACGATGGCTGTTCAGAAGATCGCTGTCATTTTATATGTAAAATTATATGGAAAATGTCATGATCGTTATTTCCAAGCCAACTGGACGCCGTTTTTTTTTTCGATCATACGGTATTTTTTAATAAATGAAATAATAATATAACTTTTCTGTTTTCATCTATTCTGTTTGAAAGTTTGTTTTTATAACATGCATGATTTTATTGTTGTCTTATAAATTGCAGAATGTTAATTGACATGTATAAGACCCTGTATAATAGTCTAAGAGCTAGCAACGTTTTCGAGAAAGTATTTTAAGACGTATGCGCACATCTAGCTGCCGATACCCGTTGCGTTCACTACTGCGCATCGGAAAAAGCTCCTATATTTTTTACTAATTTAGTCCTATAAATTCTAGTATTAAATATAAATCGAACATCTCTCCATAGCGCAGTGCGTAGAGTTTCCGACCACGAACCGATGATTCAAAGTTCGAATCCGGGTCAGGGCAAAGACTTTTTTATTTTATTTTCGTTTATATTCTGATAGTAATAAAGTGATAGTAATTTAAAAAAAAACAAGTATTTAATACTTTACTATCAAAATATAAACGAAAATAAAATAAAAAAGTCTTTGCCCTGACCCGGATTCGAACTATGAATCATCGGTTCGTGGTCGGAAACTCTACGCACTGCGCTATGGAGACATGTTCTATTAATGTCTAATATAAATATAGGACTAATAAAAATATAGGATCTTCTTTCAATGCGCAGTAGGGAACGCAACGTTTACCGGCAGCCAGACGAGCCGCATGCTGTTCTAGAGAGCATAGTAAAAGATATATTAAAGAGCGAGACGTCTTAAAATACTTGGTTTTCCGACGTTGCTAGCTCTCGTACTATAAGGAATAAAGGTAAATAAATAAAAAAAAAACATTCAATAGTAATTATCTTATATAATACAATAATAAATGCATACGGAATGATAGAAGTTTTGATTTTTGTAGAATTATGAAATATTGTGTGACGTGATTTAATACTGAAGAAGAAAAAACATGCACCATTTTTGGCACGTAAAATCGGTCCCAACTTTTATATTTGATATTATATAGTTTATATATTACAGAAACATTCATTTAATAATAATAAAGTGTATTAGAAATAGTATAGTTTGTACAATGATCGCGCGCGCGTTCAAAGCTACGTCATCAATTTTTAATAAATATACGCTTCACGGTGTGTCTGAGATTAGTTCATGTTGTTTAGAAATGTTTAAGTACTTTCCGAAATTACTAATTGACTGAGTTCCGTTTTTATTAGTTTCAAGTAGGGTTTGTTAAGCGTTATTCATGTTTTGATTGTGTTTCAATTCAATAATTTTACCTATATATACCAGTTCTTTCTTTGCTAAATCGTATTTATTAAAAAAACTTATTCAAAAAAAGTAAACTTATTCAAAAGAATTAAGGTTATTCTATACAATATTCTATTTGATATTCTCTAAGTTCACAAAAAAATAAACCATTGGTTTTACTTAACAAGAAATTCAATAACTTTAAAACGACTTTAATGACGTCACCAAGCTCTTTCATCTGGTTGTCAAGTGAATGAGAGAGAGTACGACGATATATGACGTAACATTGAAAGACCGTTGATCAAACTATACCTATTTACAATTGGAATGTTGAAGAAAATACACATTATCACAAAAGTAAGAAACAATCACAGATAAATAAAACTGTTAGGTACAGATCAATGTTAAGTTAGGGTTTCCATACGATACGTCCGGATATACCCGGACATGTCCGGCAGGAATTTGTGATCCGTGATATCTAACTGTAAAAACAACTTAACTTTGTTGAATAATTTAACCGTTACGATGTCACAATATCTACTATACCGACATTGTTCAAAAGTACCCATATTTATCAGGTAAATTTTTCGTTTTCAGTAGTACACTCGTTGATGTGAATTGTTTTGTCTTTATTTTGTTACGATTACGGGCGCTTTATAATTATAAGTCTGTCGAACGATCCATTACATTAACAGTTGGGTCTGTCGGTCATTTTAATTCACAAGACAATTGAAGGGATGGCTGCAATAACCAGGCAGGCAGCTCCATTTTAATAAATTTGTGGGAAATGGAAAAAGAGGCTGCGCTTTTAAGCTCCAACTAACATCGCCATTTATTTACTGTTATATTGATATTGAGAGAACTGATTGTTGCAGGAAACAATCGGCCAATTTTTTTAAAGGGTTATTCATTAAAAATCTCATTTTCGAAAAAAAGTGAAGCTGCCTGGTTATTGTAGCCATACCTTTAATTGTATTTTCTGTCATATTTTGAATGCCATCTGTCGAAATCTTCTTGCACTCGTTGGACAAACTTTAGCTCTTGTTAACTGTATATGCAACGGGTAACGGGTAAATTGGTTTGGAACTATCATTATATATTTTACTAGGAGAGTAACCAAATATAAAATACGATCTAGTTTTTGTCTTAAAGACTGTTATTCAGCCACCGTTCATCTTTACGTCATTATTTATGTCAAATTTTTTGTTTTAGGGTATGTCCGAGATCAGTTCATATATTAGTATTTTAATAAAGCACGCTTTTAGATGTTTCAAAAAACTTTTAATAAGAGTAACTTTAACTCTAAATGATAACAATTTAATAATTACAAAAGCCGATAAGGGCAACACTATAACAATTCTTACAAAAACAGAATATGATAAGAAAATAGCTGATATTTTAAATAGTGGAGATTTTACTAAAATTTCTGATCCAACATGTAATTTTCAAAAACAAATTCTTTCTATTTTAAAAAATAACAAATCTATATTACCTAATAACAATGAATACTATGCCAAAATAATGAATCCTTCACCCCCATTACTCTATGGTTTACTAAAATTACATAAAGACAATAATCCAGTTAGACCAGTCGTCTCGTACATAAATGCTCCCTCTTATAAATTATGTCAAATACTAGCTAAAACACTTCCTTCCATGATCAATTTTCAATCAAAATTTGCCATAAAGAATTCTTTTGAGTTGCTAGATAATTTGAAAAATATTGAAGTTCCACATAATGCAACACTCGTTTCTTTCGATGTCAAAAGCCTGTTCACTTCTATCCCAACCCATGAATTGTCCTCTATTATTTATGAACTAATTGATAAATCTAATCTTAATATAATAGTAAAATCAGATTTAATAACAATAATTGAAACTTGTTTAGAACAAAACTATTTTCAGTATAACAATGAAATATTTAAACAGAAAGATGGGTTACCGATGGGTTCCCCAATTTCACCGTTATTCGCAGAAATATTTATGGCAGATTTTGAAAAGAAGCTATTTAAAAACAAGAGTAGTTTAATATCAAAAATAAATTATTGGGCAAGATATGTAGATGACATTTTTTGTATTTGGTCAGGCACCGAGAGAAATTTAAACAGTTTTTTAACATTATTAAATTCAATTAACCCGAGAATACAATTTACTATTGAAAAAGGTATTAATACCATCAATTTTCTTGATGTTACAATTATAAAACAGTCTAATAGATTACAATTTGATATTTACAGAAAACCCACTACCACAGACACTGTAATACATAGTCAATCACACCAATCCTGGCAAATCAAAATGTCACCCTTTCATAGTTTAATTCATAGATTGGTAATGTTTCCACTGAGCCCAGAGAATTTTAAAAAAGAGTTAAATATTATTAAACAAATCGCCATCAACAATGGATATAAGTGTTCCCTTATTGATAATATGCTAAAGAAAAAACAAAAGAAAATATTAATGAAAAAATTTTATTCCGCTAATTCTAAAGACAATAACAATTATCGACTTTTAAACTACATTCCTAATTTAACTAACAAAATATCAAATAATCTCAATAAAATAGGATGTAAAACTATTAACGTAAATAAAAGAAATTTAGGTCAAATTTTATTAAATAATAAAGACAAAACTAATGTCAAAAATAAGTCGGGTGTATATAGGGTGGATTGCAATGATTGTGATGCCGTGTACATAGGCCAAACAGGTAGAAATGTAGATATAAGGATTAAAGAACATGTAAAGTATATTAATAATCTCCAGCATAGTTCTGGTCTTGCAACTCATTGTATAGTAAATAATCACAAAATTAATGAAAACTCAATTAACTTACTACACAGAGAAACAAAAGGTAGACGCTTAAATTACATTGAACAGTTAGACATACTAAAATCTGTTAAAAACGAAAATAATGTTAACGACCAACAAGGATTTCTAAACACATTTTTTATTACTCCTATTGTAAACTCTCTGAACCCACCCCAATAGCAAATATATATATAGTTACAGTGTAGTTAGACGATTAGTTCTTAAAAAACTCTTGAAAAAGGCCTAACAAGCCGAAACATATATGTAGAGTTAAAGTTACTCTTATTAAAAGTTTTTTGAAACATCTAAAAGCGTGCTTTATTAAAATACTAATATTTCAACGATGTTTCACAAGGAACCAACCACAGCTTCAGTATCAGTTCATATGTTTTTTTAATTTTAAGTACGTTCCTATATTAATAGAGAACAACGGCATACGGTCGAGTCGGCCTACAAACACGTTAACGTTTACGTACACATGCGCATTTCTTATATTTTCTATTTTTTATACACGTAAAAGATTCTTTACGTCTACGTATACGTGCCAGCAGCGGCCGACTCGACCGTATGCCGTTGTTCTCTATTGACTGAGCAAGTTCCGTTTATTTTTCGACATTTATTGATTTTTTCTTGAACAGTTACGATCCCTTTAGTTCCAATCATTTCGACTGTTGAAATTCTTACTTCTAAAGCATCAGCAACTCGCTATATTATTTAAAAACGCTATCAAATTGTATTTTACATAGGAATATTACACTTTTGCATTGTACTTACTTCATATACGGCGTCCACGGACAAGAGTGTTCTACCAGTGTCTCTTTCTTGAAAAAAATAATTTATAAGCTTAGCAATGAGTTCTTGTTCATTTTGATTAAATCTTTGAGGCATTTTTGCAATAATAAAAATTGAATTTTGTTTGATAGCGACAATAGATTTTTAATTTTGACATTGATAGATATCCGTCAATAAAATTATAACCCCAAACCAAATGACAATGACAATTACTAAAAAGAATATGCAGCAATTTACGAAATACCTTAATGACGTCACCAATCTCTTTCATCTGGTTGTCAAGTGATTGAGAGAGTTCGACAATATATGACGTGACGTTGAACAAGGGCTGAACATTCTTATAATTCTGATGTTATTTGTAACGGATGCAGTAGAAATCTTAGTATTTTAACACTTTTTTAACTGCCTTTAATTTCTACTTTAAAGTCTGTTTGTCTGTTCAACAAGTCAAAAAAGACATCCACAAAATGACAGAAGATACAATTTATCTGTCAATTAAAATGACAGACAACTCTCGCTGTCAGGTGTTCTCTCGCTAGACAAACTCTACTTACCTCAACGAACTCATAATTATTTTTTTGACGAAATCCGCTGACTTCAGAGCTTCCTTTTCCAGAATTTCCAAAATCTTGTATGGAAACCCTATGCTAAACGTTTTTAAACAAAACTATATTGATTTTCAACAGCTCTACTCGACGCCTCACTCTGAATCTGATCCAAGGTAGTCTCTTGTGTACGCACACTCCCATTATGAGACACAACCTGTAAAAAACGTTTTATTGTGCGTATATACAGGGTGTAAAAAGATAGTGTACTAAACTTCATTGGGTGATTCTACAGATGAAATTAAAACAAAAAGTTCCTCTGAAGCAGTTAAAGATAAATAAAAAAGTTGTGTGTCCTAAAATGGGGCTTCGTTTCGGAGATACAGGGTGTAGAAGTTTCATTTTTTACGGTATTTTCAAATAATTTCTGAACTGATGTCGGTATTTGGATGTAAATTGGTTTTGAGAAACTTGATTTCGAGGTCAATATGACTCCTACTTGTAGGGAGAACCAACTTAGAATCGACGTCAGATTTGACTCAACGTCAGAATCGTGGTCAATCGATTACCCAACATGTATGATATTTTAAAAAATTTCAAAATATGTAAAAAAAAAATAAATTATGCGTGTCCAAGAAAAACTCACCGGTTTTTAAATAAAAAAATATTCTAATATTTGAGGGGTGGTTTCACCCCCTTAGAATTCGAGTTTCGAAAAATCCCTTCTTATCGAACCTCTACACCCTAAAGTCAATCCGTTTTCCAAAAATCACCTTTTTACGTCAAACGCTTTAAGCAAGATCGTGATTAATCAATGACCAGATTTTTCGAAACACCCTGTATACATTTTTAAAAAATACCTTAAAATATGTAAAACAACAAAATAAAATATACGTGTTTAAGCGTTTTTTTCGGAAACTTGACCGTTTTTAATTTACCTAGGTGGTCTCATTAGGGTGGTTTCATCCCCTTGGAACTGGAATTTCGAAGAATCCCTTCTTATTATTCTTATATTATATTATCGAACCTCTACACCCTAGAATCAACCTGTATGCCAAAATTGAGCTTCTTACGTTGAGTGGTTTGAGCAGGATCGTGATTAATCAGTGAGTCAGTCACTTAAGGATTTTATATATTAGTATAGATCATCATAGAAACCTTTTTTTCTTTTAATTTTCTGTTGAATTACTCACTGAAGTTCGTTAGACTATTTTTTTTCACACCCTGTACATATGATAGAATGAATTTGAAAGAATAAGAAACGTGAATAACTAAAAGGGAGTGACAAAAATAAAACAAACATAAAAATTGGAAATAGTTTATATTTACACTTACTATTTTTGTACTTAAAACACAGTATTTTGACAAAGTATCTCTTAAACTACTGGTTATTTCGTAATTGGCAGTTGTAACAAAATGAGTTCACCATAACTGCTGGTCAAAATTACCAGAAATTTTGCCTTAGTACTTTAATTCGCATTTCCTACATTATGAATAAATAAGCGGTAATAGACTGCCTAAGTGTGACGTCACGACAGTAGGCGGAGCCTAAAAAACATTTCCAAACAAAAACAATAGGTTTGTTCCAACCTTTGAATAAAAAGATTAAGGAGGGAATATACTGCTATCCATGTATTCATGCATGGTAGACGAAGATGAGGCCCTAGTGTGGGGGTCCTTGACAGTTCTGTTTGACGTTTCATTTGAATTTGATTTGAAATTTTGTTTTTTGTCAGTCTTTACTGAGCTTATTTTATGTTATTTATTATTTATTCTACATCTAGTAGGGTTTTAGAGGTAATAAATCAAGAAGGAAATTTTATGGAAGAACTTAAATTAACAGTGACACTATTGCGATTTATCGTAATAACTTTTCGCTAATAAGTGACTATGATATATTAACATACATGCGTGTAGTAAACCGATCATTTATGAAATTCATTTAAAATTAACCAATTATATATTTTTTCTTGCATTTTTGTTTTTATTTACTACTTGCCAAAGATAATAGATAAATGAAACAAGGTTAGATTGGAAAGTGCCCATAAGGACAATGTAAACACTATTTGGCGCTATTCTTGCAACGGTCGCGACCCAAAGCTATTGATAATTTCGGATCGGTTCGGTTTTTTCCGGAATTATGTCGCCAAATATTATTTATTCAAATTTATTATTATTTTCTTTTAATTTTATGAATAAAATACAGTGTGTTGCATACAAGAACTTTATTTTATATAAGGACATGTATTAAATACCTGGAAAAACATTGGAAACCGACGTTATACCACGATCCACGATGGTTTTTGCAGTTCACACTTCACAACACAGTTTTTCAAGTTTTTAATGCCACTTTTTCCCAATTATCACGGGTCTGAGTAAATAAAATTTAAATTAAACTCACAAGTTGTCAATAATTACTTTGAAAATGGATGCTTTAAACACTTTTCGGTATTTTTTCAATGAGGGCGGTTTAAATTTTGAAAGATTTTATATTTTTGAAGATTCTGACTTTGACAAAAGAAAATTATTTTCGTAATTGTTTGCGGTTGTTTTAGCAACCGCTATAGCAACGCTAGATCGCGTCCAGCGGTCGCGACCCAAAACAATTATATATTTTAACTTTTAACGGGCATTCCAATCTAATAAATTCCTTTATCTATGCCAAAGATTAGATGTCAAAGAATTTAGATACGTCAATTTGACTTACCTGCTTCAGTAGCGTATCGGACGTTTATGTTTATAAATAATTATTAGAAGTTATCTATTTTTATTAGAACTATACATTTTTATAACAATTTTAATAACTATCAACATTTATTAACAACGTAAAACAAAACAACAAATTATTGAGTCTAGCCTTAGGGTTCCCAACCGTCCCGGTTTGACCGGGATTAACCAGGAATCAGAAAGTTTGTCATGGCTAAAATTTTGCCTTGGCCGGGACCAGAAAATCACATTTACATATAATATATTTGAATTTTTAATATTCAATGTTTTGTTTCAATTATTTAAAAACTTAAAAATAATTGTCCCGGAATCGCCGATGCTCAAGTTGGGAACCCTATCTAGCCTACATAATATTTTTACACGTTTTGAATAAAATTGGAACGGCATTGATAAACCGGAATTTAAGTCGGTCATTTTAGGTTCCCATCGCGCTTGACCTAAGTTTTTTCATATGCTCCTTAATCTTTTTATTCAATCACAAATCAACAATGGATATAACCTCACAAACCGCTTAAAATAGACTTGTTTTTTATCAATTTATAGAAAAAACTATTCAGTATCACACGTTATATTAAAATAAACACCTGAGAAGTCTAATTTGCTCTTCAAAAAAAAATGGAAGATATAAAATAAACCACCAAAATTGCCTAATATTTGTTTTACCTTGTTTGGACAGGTTGTTAAGCCACGCATTTTTTGAAGCGACGTAACGACTTAGGCAGTCTATCGGAAAATAATATAAAAATAAGTTAATAATTAAATAGAGTTTACAAGATAACTTAAAAAATTGCACTTTTAATCTTTGTACACTAACTACTATTATTTTATATATACTTAATATGAGTATTCTGTAGAACAGATTTTTTGAGATTGATGATTTTTGTTGTAAAAAAATATCAGTTAAAAAATGTAAAAATTAAGTTACTTTAAAAATAGCTACCAACAAAGAAAAATGATAAAAATTATAATAGGTTGTCGAAGATACAGGTTAGGGGTACCCACTAACTACGTGAGGGAATCTCACAAAACCTCACGTATGGGAGATAGGGGGTTTCGGAAAATATCACGTAATTTTTTTCGGACCAAAAATAAGAGTAAAAATGTGAGAAAACTCTGCGTAAAAATGTGAGAAGGGTAAATTTATAGTGAAACATGTTTTTGACTAAAATATGTCGAAATCTGACACAATTCTTCTGTATATTACAATCCATACCATTTTGATTTTTTCGTTATTTATCACGAAAATTATATATTTTAAATATTGCAGTAAATAGTGAAAATAAATATAGAGTGATATATATTTTTGAAAAGCTCATAGCAAGACGGATAATATGATTTATAAATATACAGGGTGTCCCATTTGAAAAAAACATAACTTTAGTTCATATTTTCAAAAATATTTTTTTACTAGAAAAACAAACTACTCCACTGTATTTTACGTAAAAACTTCTACAAGAATCAGTTTTCACCCCCTCGATATCGTCCACAATAACGGAGATACGGGGGCTGTCCCAAATTACAAAATTTCAAAAAGACCCTGTAGTTCAGAAACGAAGAGGACTATGAGCATTTTATTTACAGCATCTTCCGTTTGACAAGAAACAGGAACAGGTTTGTGCAAACCGCATCCTCCTCCTATCTTTACTAATAACGAAGATACCGTATGATTTCAACTAAATGGGACACCCTGTACATAATTTTATCTCTTAAACTTTTCCATCAGATCAGAAAAGAACTGAAAAGCAGTCAAAATTCAGATTTATGTTTAAATAATAATGAACATGTATGAAGAAAAATAAAAAAAATAAAATTCTTTAGATGAGTAATGTTATACATATAACTATCATTATAATGGCATTGAAATGCATATTTACTAAATAAAGCAGAGATGTTGAAGAAGAGTTAAATCAAACACGCACCAAATCAAGACACATTAAAAACAAAAATAACTACATAATATGAGGTTATATAAAAGAGAAAATCAAAATATTACTTGCTCTGTACTGTATCTACTAAAAAGTGTATTTTTTTACTTAATTATGAATTTGGGATAAAAATAGCGTATGATCGAAAAAAAACGCCGTCAAAGTAGGCTGGGGAGTGACAATCGATAATAATTTTGGCGAGGTCAATCTCTAGACGTAATATAGGGCTTGACCTCGCCAAAATTATCTTCGATTGTCATTCCCAGCAGTCTTTGACGCCGATTTTTTTCGCCGTTCTGCACTTAACTGGATATTTTTTGTTAATAATAATTCGTTCTCAACTAATGATAAACATAATAATATCATTTCTTTAAATTTTTGAGGAATATTTACATCCAAGAATCTAAATATCCTGTTTTTGTTATCACATTCACGAAAAATAGAAATGATAAAACAGTTTCATACTTTCTTCCCCACGTACATACTTACACATACATATTTTTGAAAAAATTCAACCATATTTTCATGTTTTTTTTATTATTTTCTCTAAAACGGTATGGAAGTCTTGAAACGTATCAAGCTTGATTTTCATGCATCTGTTATCCGTTGATACGATGGTCCGACGGCTCTCTGATTGGTCATAGCGTTTTCGCGCCACTTTTCATCCGTAAATACTCCATCAGCCCGTCAACGGAGAAAGATCGTACGATAACGGACGTATTGACACTTTTTTGACAAGTTACATCTAACCTTAATAAAAATATAATAGCACTAGCACCGTCGGGAAAACGATAATTTTAAGGAAGCCGGTTCTTTAATATATCTTTTGCTATGCTCTCCTGACCAAAGTGCGGGCCGTCTGGCTGCGGGTAGACTACTGCGGTTCACTACTGCGCATCACATCTGTACAGGGTATCCCATTCTCGTGTGTTTTAAGGGTTTCTCGTTTAAAAGTACAGATACAATGATGCAAAGTTTGGCCCAAGAACAGTTAACCTAATAGGACTGCTCATTCAGCCGAAAGTGTCTGCCAGGTGCATGCGAAAACTCTTCGCTTTGTGACGTCATTTTAGTCCTTGTCATGACGGTGTGTGTATTATTGGTTGCCGTATGCAAAACATTCATTATTTGAAGGCTTCCCTCGAATAAGGGGCCATGTTAAAAAAAGTAAGTTTTAAGTAAATGAAGAAAAACGATTTTCTACGGTTTGCGTATTGATAATCATATTCAAGTGGTACTAACATCAACTTTATTAATCCCCAGAGATAAAAAGTTGCACAACACAAATAATAATAAACCAGTATTAGAGATATAATGTAATAAACTCTTGAGTCCCGGGAATAAGGGTTTATATGAAACGTAACATAAACCCTTATTGCAGGCAACCAATTTAGATTGCATTTTTTTGTGTACACGTTGTACATTTCTTAACCGTTTGTTTTTAATACACCTACAGTTACATTTATTTTTCGTTTTCGACCTTTATTTAATGTTTTGCAAAGCGACGGCGTGACTGAACGTTCGATATATTTACGATATTGAATAAAATATGACAACATATAACTTTATTCCATGCTAGAAAAGATGGTGTCGCATGTTGTTCATAGATGACGGCACATTATCGGGTATTTATTACTGTAAAAGGATGAACTTGTCTACACAGACCCGTTTTGTGCAAAAATCCCAATATCTGAAAAATGCAACATAAACCCTTATTCGAGGGAATGCTTCATTTAGTTTATTTATTTAAACACCTTATATGTATGCAGTATAGAAAATTAACTGTCTAAATCGTATTAAATATTCGCATAATGCATTTTTAAGAACAGCAGTTCCCAGTATCACCTTTTGCAGGCATTCTTTTTAGAGTACTTACGTATTTTGCTTTAAAATAATTAATAAACAATATCGTAGGCACTTAGTCACAATCCACAACACAAAATGAACGTATTTATAAACTCTATAGCTCTAAAAACTTTAAAAACACCTTTTTCACATTTAGAATCGACAAAATAATTAACTCATAATTTCACAGCTGTTATTTTTATTAGTTTACCATAGGCAACCAATAATACATACAATGACGTCACAACCGTCAGCTGAAGCGCGGGAAGAGGCGAACGTACGTCTTATGAGGATGAGCAATCCTATTAGTTTACCGTTATTGGGTTTGGCCTAGCCTCCTTAGTTCCTGAAATACACGGCGAATTTGTGATGCGCAGTAAGATGTTGAATACAGATATGATGCACAGTAGTGAACGCAACGTCTACCGGAAGCTAGACGGTCCGTACTCTGTTCAGGAGAGCATAGCTAAAGATATATTAAAGAACCAGCTTTCTAAAGATTCTCTCTCGAGAAAACGTTGCTCTTAGACTACAAGTAAAACAGCGAAATTTTGTTATGGAAATAAAAATATAAAATGACACCAATCACAAGCAAATCGTATATCCGATAAACGGAGGCATGAAAATGCAATAAATTTAAAAACTTCGTAATTTTCTAACCAATCTAAGTCTTTAAATTCAATCAATAAAATTAATATTGTATCATCGGACAACGCCTGCATGAAAATCAAGCTTAAACCGGATTAACCATTTTAGAACAAGCGAAAGTTTTTATGTATAATGCATTTTTCTCAAAATGACAATAAAAAAATTCTCTTGTAAAGACAATCCAGGGACATACTGTATATCTCTCAACGTCATTCAACACACTCAGAAACATAAAAACACGGCCAACTTATTTTTTGTGACAGTTTTTTCCAATCACACCGCAAAAAAACAGCAAGAAGCGCCATTTTTTCTGATCTCTCTGCCTACACATAAACGATACCAACACCTACTATATATCTATATCATTTTTTTTCTAACATCTATCTCACTTGTCTGACTTCCGGAACGGGCATAGCACGACGCGACCCAGCAGATTCCGTTCCATTGACAGCTGTCATTTGTCCGCTAGACGTGCTCTGCGGTGGTGGGGATGATGAGGTATTTCGCCCAATAGAATGCTGCAACTGTATATGAAAAAATATTTTTGTTAAACACTCTGTACAGGCAGGGTATAGGGTACTGTCTATCCAGCAGTCGTTCAACGTTACATAAATTATGAATTATGAAAAATTAATAATTAATTATGAATTTATTTCAAAATTATGAAAACTATAAGCGATACCAATTAAACTTTTAGTTACGTAATCGAGGGCGCGATTTTTAAATTGATTGTTGCCAACCATTAACATATTCGGTGCCGGGCTGACTAACTGGAATTTAAATTTCCCGCTAGGGATTCAGGTGGTAGCTCTGCTGGAAAAAATGTCAAGTTGCCACATTTATTTATTTATTTCCTGACACTGTCACTCGTTTTGACACTTTAGTTTTGTTTACCAGTTTTTGGCTTAAATGAATTGTGTTGTGATACTTTAAGCTTAAACATTTTTACTAGTGTACAAGATGGCTTAACAGCCGTCAAAAAACCAACGGAACTTTATTAGAATATTTTGAACGGGAAAGCGGTAATAATGGCCCTTTAAGTCCCTTAAGTGTTGTTAAGGAGCTGAGTTTTGTTCATGTGAATAATAACTGTTTATATATTTATAATTAATTTATTTTTGTTTCCTAAAATATTTTGATTAAAAGAAAATATGTAAAAGTAGGCAACGTTGTGCCGGTCAAGCTTAATCACGCGGCCAAAAGTTTATTTGGTATGATCTAGAGGAAAAATATACCTGTTGTCGGGCATTTGGGTTTAAAATATAATCGGTCAGTGTGACGTCAGAATTACCCCCACTCTCTAAGGGTATAGGGTGTGACCTGAAATTTTCGAGCATCTCGTAAATGGACGCGAACCAATAATGCTGCAAACGGCATTGACCATGTTCATTAATCGTCATTCTCAGATGTTTAGCCCTTCCCTAAAACAGAACCCTCATAATTTTTTCACATAATCGAGATCTACTCGCACTAAAACATAAAAAAAATAAAATATCTAGACAAGTCTGTGTCTGAAAGGTAGGCAACCTTAATATCAAAAAATCGAAAAAAAACGGCGTCAAAGACGGCTGGGGAATAACAAAGGATGATAATTTTGGCGAGGTCAATTATTCCTAGACGTCATTTACTTGGCCCCCTCATTTTTTATAGCGCTTCGTTGGCCAGGTAGGCCTTAAGAAGGTTGTAATTTGTTTTTATATTGGGTAAAATGATTTTTAAATGGTGTAGTTTAAAATTCCAGAAAAAATACAAGATTTAAGTGTCTGGAAACGTTCTATCCTTTTATAATCTTTCTATAATTATTAGTGTTATATTTTTTGACAAGATTTATGTCATTTTTTAGTAAATGATGTCTAGAGATTGACCTCGCCAAAATTATTATCAACTGTCATTCCCCAGCCGTCTTTGAAGCCGTTTTATTCGACCATAGAGTATAGATATAGATAGATATACCTCTTTATTTCAAAAATATGTAACATGACATAGGCTGAAATAGTGTCAAAAAAAAACAGAAATAAACATATATACTACTTTCTTACAGATAATAAAGTTAAAAAATACAAATAATCGAAATTCTGACTATTAACATGTAAATATCTAAAACTGTATTAAAAAGAAACGTAAGACATACAAGGTATACAGGGTGTCCCAGGCTAAGCGTGCATTAGAAGTTTCTAGAGAACTACAATATCAAGATCGGAGATTTTTTGTACATTACTGTTTCACAACGAGATCTATTGATTAAAAATATTTTCAATACGGCGGCACTACCGGAAAAACCGAAAGTTGACAACAACTTTCTTATTTTAAATGGGTATCCCCATTTTTTTATTACATACCTAAATTCTCTGTAAAATTTTATGAATTCTGATATCAAATAATCTATATCTAACATTAACAAGATCTCGTTGTGAAACAGTGATGTGCAAAAAATCTCCGGTCTAGATATTGTAGTTTTCTAGAAACTTCTAATGCACGCTCAGCCTGGGACACCCTGTATAAATTCTCACCTCATTTAAAAAATAATCAATAAAAAATGCAATAGATATAAAAAAGGGTACCTATATTCTAATTCCTATAATTCATCCATACTCAAAAAAATAATTTAAATCATATGGCATATGGAGATAACTCTTTTTTTAATTTTGATAACTGTGTAATGTAGGTTTTAATGCTGTTGTAAAATGCTCCATTATCTTTTTTTTTTAATTTGTGTACAGGCTAATTATAATTTATACATCTGATTGAGAATATTTCTTGAGGTTTAGCTTAATTTAAAAAATTGGCAAACCTGGAAATTAAACGTCAAAACAAACTCTCCGGTTCTCGTTTCGCTTTGCCTGACCAAAAACCTTCCGTGTCCCAAAGTACCATCGTGTAACACCTGTTGTGTAGCCTCAGACCTAGGTAGCATTCCATGAAACCATAATTCTTTCTTCAAACTTTGACCAATATCCGATTCAGTTGCTAGAAAAAAAAAAAAATTACACTAAAGAATCTTGAATAAAAACTTTAAATAAAAAAAAATAAGGAAGGGGCATATCAAAAAACTTAGATTGAAAAACTTAAAATGGCCGACTTAAATTCCGGTTTATCAGTGCCGTTCTAATTTTATACAAAACGTGTAAAAATATGATGTAGAGTAGACTCAATAATTTGTTGTTTTATTTACGTTGTCAATAAATGTCAGTATATATTAAAATTGTTATAAAAATACATAATTCTAATAAAAGTAGATAAGTTATAATAATTATTTATTAAGGCTGTATTCCGTTGCAAAACCAGGCGAACCAGACCGGTAAACTACGGTTCCTGAAAAACATCGGTTTGATACTGAACGGTTTGGTAAAATACTGGAAACGTCAAATGTTGACGTTTTCTAAATTTCAATATCTATTATAAAATTTATCTTTTATGCATTTTTAAATGTGCCTATTCTCTGGTTTTACGTTTGCTTCTTCTTTTCAATGGAGTTTAATATATAGAAAAGTACTTTATTAATAAACTGTTAAACTCGTTAGACAGCTCAAGTGAAGATTTGCTGGCCCAATATTAAAACAGATCAATAATAAACAAACAAATCTAATCAATATTTATATTTTTATAGTTTACAAAACATTCACGATTACTTGTTGTCTTGTTTTTCATGTTTTCTTTAAATGTTCCTGACTTTAAGAAACAATGGCTGCATCATAAGTTTAAATGGTCCTAAAAAATTATTCTATTAAGTTAATGAAATTTATTTACCTTTACTGCCTACCTCCATTGCTTTTGAATGTAAATACAAAATATTATTACAAATTTTAGAAATTAAATAAGAATTTCACTCGAACTTCTAATATTTGCGTGATTTCTGTCACATAAATGACATTGATTGACAAACAAAACCAGAAAAATCAGCCTTCCCGCGCTGGTTTTGTGACAATTATGATAGATATTTTTCAGGAACCGTGTTCCGTAATAAGAATACTTTCAGGAAACCAATACAAACGGAACATAAAACCATAACCAAGGTAAGCAACGGAATACACCCTAAAACAAACATCTGATACGCTACTGAAGCAGGTAAGTCAAATTGACGTATATTTAAATTCTTTGACATCTAATCTTTGACAAGTGATAAATAAATGCAAAAATGTAAGAAAAAATATGTAATTAGTTAGTTTTAAGTGAATTTCATAAATGATCGGTTTAGTATAATATGTATATTATATAGTCACTTACTAGTAAAAAGTTATTTCATTATTTCCCTTGATTTTTGACCGAAATATACCGCACGCTACACGACCAACTTTTTCGATAAATCGCAATAGTGTCACTGTTAATTTAAGTTCTGCCACCATTTCCTTCTAGATTTACTACCTCTAAGCAACTACCAGTTGTAAAATAAATAATGAATAATATAAACTAAGTTCAGCAAAGGAATGACAAATCCACAAAATTTCAAATCAAATTGAAATGTGTCAACTGAATCTTCAAACAGAACTGTCAAGTATCCCCACTCCTTGCTTAAATTTTTTTATTCAAAGAATATCAATAATTTATGACAGTGATGGCAAATCGCGGGTCAAACAAATATATGAACAGAATTTGACCCATGTGTCAAAAAGGTTCGCCATCCCTGATCTGGGACTTACTAGGGGTGCCTTCAATGCCAGAGGTTCCTATTTCAAAGTTTGAACTGGATGACAGTCTGTCATTTGGACGGCCACCTCCTGACGCATGTCTAGGAGGTAAATCTGGAGCGTTTGACTGATATTCAGAATTGCCAACCCCTAGTTCGTTGCCACCAGGACCAAGCCTCATACAATATCTAGAAAACACACATTATAAAATTATACAGGGTTCGGCAATAGTGCGTGTTTAAGTGCAAACGTAAAGTATGTAGGGGATGTAATTCAGGAAAATATTTGTGAAAAGAAAAAAAAAGTGTGAGTGAATCAGGATGATTTTTTTTAACTGAAACACCCTGTATATTATTACATTTTTGGCTTTCTTTCAGATCACTTTACATAATTCTAAGATATGAGTAAATATATTTAGATAATTTTAGAGATATTAATAAATAAATAAAAAAATATATATTTTTCAAACTTCCTTAAAAAATTATTACAAATACAAGAATTGTCCTGAAATCAAAACTATATTAGGTATTTACTTTTGATGGGCTATATTACTTTGCTATAAATATCGTAATCTTAAATCATACAGGGTGTTCAAAATTCTACGCCAAACTTTCTAACATATAAAATAATTTTTCTGTTTTTTTTTAAATGGAACGCCCTGTATGTTATTTTTTATTAGATGAACAGCCACCCTGTAGAAGTCAAAATATTTTTCGGAAAAAAACAAATACTAATTCAAACTTTAGACAGGGGTTAGATGCCCAAAAACTGTTGCAGGACCCTGTATATTATGGGTTCTAATGTTCTACTGCTTTAAACGTGATATAATTATATGTTTTTAAATTTTGATCTATGTTTTTTAACTGATAAACATGTTTGTATGATATTTGTATGTTATTTTGTTGTTTTTTTATTGATATTGTCTAATTTTTATTTTTGTCTAGGCTGAGTATATATTCTATTTTTTCTTTTTCTTTTTACGCAGCTTTGTTAACAAGAGTAATCTTAGAAACAATAAAGCATTAATTGATTTATTGAATATAAATAATAAAAAATATGTTGTATCAAAAATTATTACTTTATAGTGGCCAGCCAAGATCTCATATCATCTGTATCGTGAGCTTCTATAACAAACTCCATGTTATTACTAGCTTTAAGAACAAATGTGTTTTCGTGATCAGGCATTTCCAGTGCTGTGGTCTCCCTGGCTTCCGTAATAAGGGCACAAAATACACCACTTCGGGGCTAAAAAAGACCCATTTTCTTGACGCTATGTTTTAAATTTAGTGTATACACTCACCTTAGGGTTTTTTGGGGGCGAATAAAACTCTAGCATATACCCACCGGTGGCTTTGACCAGTTGCAGTCTACATTTTTCCCATTTCGGTGTTCCAGAGGGTTGATCTAAGCATTCAGGGGTTGTGTAATCAACAATACCCTCTTTGCGGCATTCAACAACAATTTTAGCCAACTTAGTTTTGTTGTGACTGATAGAATCATCATCTGAATGTTTGTGAAAGATATCTTTACTTTTTCTCAACATCTTAAAGCTGAGCCTTCTGAAAAAAGGTTTGTGGGTCATTTTAGGTGAGCCTTCTTCCACTTCAAAACTATCTTCGTTATTTGTAGGGGTAGTATTTGTTTTCACTCCGTTCAAAACCTTGTTTCCTCCTCCTAGTCTACGTCTGGTGAAGTCTTTTTCGAACTCTTCAGTGAAACAATCTACGAATTTTTTCAGTAAATCTTTGTGGTTTACTAGATTTCGAGCGTTTTCTGGTAAACTCATGTTGATGTATTGGTTGCAACTTTTGGAAAAATCTTGAGCGGCGACCATGGCATGTCTCTCACAAAAATCTATCCAAGAATTCTCGGGATTACTGCTCTCGAAAGCTGCCGCCATTCTGTTGTTTATAATTGTTTTTTTTATAAATAAATTACATGTTTTGATACAGTCAAATACTACAAAAATTATAATAGCTTTTATAGATTAACTTTAATGAAAAAAATAATTTGATATCTGTCATTCTTGTCTGGACATAATGTCAGAATCTGCGTCTTATTATTTATCTATCTCTTTTTATTTTATGAGAAATGAGAGAGAGAAAAAAATGCAAGTATGGCGAAACTAGACATAATTTTTAATCGATAATGCATACGTGTTAGAAAAGGATAACGATATGTCAACAAACATTTTCCGGTTTTTTTCCGGCAGTAAATGACAGTGACAGTTGATGGTATCTGACCCAGAGATATGAAGGTAGGACGAAAGAACTACCACGAGTGCGCATTTAATACTAAATATGGCCATCAAAAAACTTATAATTTATAATCACGATTACTTTCTGATCTCCCCCTATAAACCTAAGCGCAAACATGATGATTTATCATGTTTATAATTTCTGCGCAAGTTCGTAATGGCTCTTTCTACCCCTATATCTCTGATCTGACCTCTGTTTTGAGGTTATGTAGATTCTTAGGTTATGTTTTTATTTTGTTATGTTTCAGGGATTTAAATATTTTTAAATTATGAATAATAAGGAGAAAGAAACTGCATTTACGGACGAAGACAGGTTAAAGTTAGCTGCTAAACTTGATCTAGAGTTGGATGAATTCATAAATAATTTACCCAAACGAAAATACGAAGATGGGTGGCCCGAAGATCGCTGGGAAGAAGTACCTATATTACTGTAAATTTTAGAAGCCTTGTATTTATAACGAACCTATTTTATCTAGGAAATGGAGAAACACCTTTTTTTATGAAACAGTCTCCTCAACCTGGTCAACACCTACATCCATTGTACGAGGGACTCCAAAAACTGAAATACGATCCTAATGAGAACGAACCTCATGGTAAAATACTGTAAAATGCCTTGTAACATTGTGATTTTCTTACGGTTTTTTTGTAGAATTGGCTGTAGCATATAAAGATGATGGAAATTTTAACTTTAAACATAAAAACTATAGGTTGGCAATTGTAGCTTACACTGAAGGCATTAAACAGAAATGCGGAGATGCAGATATTGAGGCTAGTTTATATAATAATAGAGCGGCATCTCATTGGTTCCTTAAAAATTACAGGTTTGTGTTTTTTTTGTAACTTTGTACAGGGTGTCTCATTTATGAGTAAAGTCATCACTGTACTATATACTTGTTTATGAATCTAAAGATGCTACTGCACTTGTGCAATAATTGTACACACAGAAACTAGCGTGGAATAGCCAATAACTAAAGTTTGACGTTGAATAAATTGTTCTATTGTTTTGATTACCTAATATAAATCGGCCGCCTATGTTAAAAAGTTAAATAATGCATTTCACCTTATTTATAAAATAAATAGAGTATATTATATTTTTAGAGAGTTCATAATAACCAAATAAAATACAAATATAATATACAGGGTATCCCATTTAAAAAATATAACTTTACAACAATTTCAAATTCGCCCTGTGTTTTGGGAACTAAGAGAGCTAGGACAAATCTGTTTGAAGCATTTTTAATCCGCATCTTTGTTACTCATAAACAAGAAACCCTATAAAACACACAAAAATTGGACACCCTGTACTCTGTATTAATCTATTCTAGGTCTTGCCTACATGACTGTGAGTTAGCCTTAAAACTTAAGCCTGATTATGATAAAGTTTCGAATAGGGCTGCTCATTGTTCATACCAATTGGGGCAATATGACAAAGCTGTCGAATTCTGTGATTTAATTTTGGAAAAAAATAAAACCGATAAAGATATCTTGAAATTAAGAAAAAAATGTGTTAATGATGCGAAATTAAAAGACAGAAATACGAGGAAAAAATATTTAGAAGATAAAAAGAAAAAACAAATTGAAAATACTTTAATTGAAGAGATTTTGAAGAGGGGATACAATATTGAGAGAAAGGGTGAGAATAAATAACTTTTAATTATAGAGAAATCAATAAAAATTGGCGTCAATACAAGGGGATGTAATAAGTAGGTAACTGCAATTATTAACATTTTACCAACACAATAAAGTTTTTTTTTTATTAAAGTCTTTAATTTTGAAGTTACAAAAAGTAAAGAGTAATGTTAACCAATTAGAACTTTACATTTTTCAGCCTTCGTTCAGAAAACTTGCTAATAACTTCATTTAATTAGAATATGTGTTAAAGTAAAAAAAAGTAGTCGTGGCAACATCGCGACGTGTATTCGTCCAATATCTTGATATTCTGATATCTAGAAAAATACTTAACAATAGATTTTTTTAGGAAATTTAAATCTGAGTCATTTAGAACCATGTTTTCCGGAACTAGTAAATTCAAGAGTATATTTAGATGACCAGGAGAATGTTTTGATTTGGCCTGTAGTACTAGTTTATCCAGAGTATAAGATTATGGATTATATACAACAATTTCCAGAAAATGTTTGGTACTTTTTGTCTTAATTTTATTTTAAAAATTTCAAAATTATTTTTAATAATATTTTTTAGTTTCTATGAGCAACTTGAGGTAGTTTTTAATACGTATCCAGAGTGGGATGTAAAGCAAGAATATAAAGTTGATAATTTAAATCGTGTATTTCGAGACTGAAAAACAAGATTTAGTAAGAGTTGATGTTAGTAAAAGTCTAAAAGAAATATTGCAAGATAAGAAGTGAGTAAATTTATTGAATTATTTGATGAAAATATATGTAAATTTGATTTTATTTTTTTAGGTATGTTATTAGAGCTGGAACTCCATCTTTTCTAGTTGTTGTTAGGGGAAGTACCGTTGAAAAACATTTGTTAAATAAATAATAATAAAAATCAAAACTGTTATATTTTCTGTTCTTTTAAAACGACATACCGTATGATCGAAAAAAGGGGCGTCTAAGACGGTTGAGAATGACAATCAATGATAATTCTCCCAGTTAGCCTTAACAAAGGTTGTAATGTATGTTTATATTGTTAATATTATTGTTATATTATACAGGGTGAGTCTTAGCTGGTAGATATCGATAAAAAAACATATTTTCTCTATACCATTTTTGAAATAAGTCCAAAATAACGGAGTTATTTTACTTTGAAAAATTTTAAATCTGTGGTGAATTCCCCAAACACATGCTAAATTACAAATTTTATATTTTATTTTAAATTAAAAAATTACAGACTTGATACAGGAGAGTGCAGTATAAAAAGCGACAAATAAATAATTTTTACAAAATCTACTTCTTTTGTGCTGACTTCTCCCTGTATGCTTTAATACTTGGCAGGTTACAAATCTTCTCAACAAGACCACTTAAAGCAGGGTACGGCTTCAACAGACCAGGATGCCTTTTTTCGAATTCTTCTAGAGTTCCGGCAAATTGAAAATCGGACCATGTAAGCTAAAACAGTCATAGAAAATGTCAAAAACTGCATATTGCTATTTTTGGGAAAGTTTCAAACACCTTGTGCAAAGTTTACTAAAGTGAGTAATTTTAAAATCAGTTTTTTTATTTTTAATTGCTATAAATCAATAATTGCTATTGAGATGAACCAAAAAATAAACTATAGAGAAAAGATAAATTAATGATAAAATGGTTTGGTTTGGGTTTTCCAACCTTATTGATATATGATTCCTTACTTTGTTAAACAAATCCACAGGGTGTTCAAGCTTCCGACAAAATATCCACATTTTGTTTTCCCTCGTATAATATACAGATAAAAATTTTATTTTTTAATTTAAAAAGGCGGCAAAAAATTTAAATAATTTTACTACAAATCGCTTAAAAAATCACCAAAGTCGGACTAGCAAATCAAAATATATTGAACATTAAAATTCATAGAAATTTTAAGGTGTCCATTTTTCGCGTCACTCAATGTATCATAGTGTATACCTGTGATCCAACTGTGTATCCTCCGTTTTTAGACACTACAGCCTCAAATTTACTTAAATAATAAGGCACGTCTTCTTCAAACAGCTGTTTCTTCAGTGTTTCTTTCTTTTCAGGATCGGCTTCTCTGAAATACCTCATACCTTCTGAAATATTAAATAAAAATTTTTAATTTATTATGTTCCTTTTGTGTGTCATCGATCAGCATTCATAAGCATACTTTATACCGTTTTTTTCTCATATATGATATATACCAGGTACGTTTCGAAAGTGGCTCACCTCTATAACTTTTTTAATTTTTCAGATAAAAAAAAGACATTTGGTATGTTAGTATATGACGTAAATTAGGATTGATTGACGTATTCAATTGTTTTTGGTCGCTTCCTGTTTCACCGGAAATGACTACAACTTTTGATTTTTAAATGGCACCGTCCGTCGCCACACTGATCAAAAATCGCAAATTTGTGATCGAAATTCAAGAATTCAATTTCTTCATACGACATTCAAATTAAAGTATTGTAATTTCATATGTGTCACTCAAGTTCTGAACAAGTTACCCATTTGACATTTATTCCCAAAAAATATTTCTGCATATCCGAAGTTGACAAAAATCAATAATTTTCTTTGAATTGCACAATATAAATAAAACAATGTCATTTTCTTAGAATTTCCATACTTAAGTACCGTAAGTAATCACATCCTAATATATATGATATGAAAGAGTTGTCTTTCTTCTTTATTTTGATTACTTATAATTATCAAAATACCGCTTAGTAATTGTGTAATTTATTAATTAATTAATAACATGGCTATCTACGTAAAATGTATGAGTAAATCGTAGAATATATTTAGTGTGACACGAGATGACATGCTAAAATTTTCATTACAATATTATTTGGAATGTTATGAACATCATAATTGTTAGTGCAGCTGCCACTGTCTGCCCCTTGACTAAGACAGTCTTCATTTGTTCCTGCGCGTTAACGCAATCGCGTTGATATGCATCAATAACTATACTAAATGTCAGGCGGCCGCGGCGGTTAATATAAAATTTGTATTTCGTTTTGGATTATTAGTTATTGTATGTTCCTGGTGAAATTTTCGTAGAAAAAGAGTGTTTTCGATTGGTTCTTTTGTTTGTCTTTTTTGGATATAAGAAGGTACAGAGAAAGTTTTACAAGGAAGTTTAATGCTCTTAAAGTAAACGAGGATCTTTTTCACCGTTTACTGCTAAGTTCTGATCCATACATAAGTTCATATTCTACCAAGAACTACAAGAAAACCAAAGTAGAAAATGAACTTAGAGATTTATTGGTTATTGAAGAACAAGATAACGAGGAAAAGGAACAGCTCGCCAACGAGGAATTTTCAGACAGCGAGATTGACTAACTAATTACAAATGCCATAAAAGTATTTGTAATATACCATGTTTTTCTGTAAACATTTTTTTCATCATAATCGTTGCGTGTCGTTTTACTAATTTAAATCTGTTTGGGGATTAATTTTACTAAATACATAAATCTATTCTATAGAGTAGTTTCTTTTATTTTTCTTCCAATTTGGAAAGTCCATTAACTTTACATTTTTGTGTTTCATTATATCACACCTTTCTACTCGCTATGAACAATTTTTTTCCCTAAAATTAGTAATTTTTACGCTAATAAAAATCTCCTTTAGTCTGTCTTAATATGGATGGTATTAATGGTATGGTATTCGGCCATGAACTTACAATAACGCTCCCTTAGAGTTTCATCCCTCGCTTGGGGTTAGCTTTTACAAAAAAATGCATTACAGATATCTGCATTATATTATATATTTCTAAACATAATGTATTTGACATTTGACCTACCTATATTGCTTCGTTAAGAAGATCTTAATTTCGATCACGAATTTGCAATTTTTGATCAGTGTGCGTCGGTATATTTTTATTTTATTCGACAGAAAATGACACTCTGAGTAGAATGACATATCACATGTCAACTTTTGACATTTTCGCTTTAAAAAAATCGTATTTTAAATGTCTATCTAGATGCGTGCCATGGCTGTATTAAAAATACTAATTTTTAATCAAGGAGTCTTGGAAAAATTGATTTGATCGTCTAATGTTTTTCGTGTTTTGTCCTGGCTGGTTAAAATATGTCCAAATCAAGGAACAAGGGTGGCTCATTAGCATATTTGGAAAAAGCATTTTTTTACGAATAATTTAGTACCACACATTTGGTATTTCGAGTCAAATAGTTCGTAACGTTAGAACCGCATTTTACAATTTCAAATAAACCATACTCGAAAATGTCAAAAGTTGACATATGATAATATGTCATTCTATTCAGAGTGTCATTTTCTATCCAATAAAGTAGAAATATACCGAGGGTGCCATTTAAAAATCAAAAGTTGTAGTCATTTCCGGTGAAACAGTAAATGACCGAAAACAATTGAATATGTCAATCAATCCTAATTTATGTCATATACTAACAAACCAAATCTCGTTTTTATGTAAAAAAATAAAAAAGTTATAGGGGTGAGTCACTTTTGAGACGCACCCGGTATACAGACTGTCCTAATAATCCGTAGACATAAAACTAGATATATATTTTTAGAATCAAAATAAGTTAATTATAGTAGGTAGGGTTATTCTCGTTCTTTCTCTTAATTTTTTTGTGAACATCAAAAAATGTTAAACACATTTTTTTTTAATTTGATGCCCTCTAACGGAGAAACAAAGTACTTTTATATAAAACTAAATTATACCCAATTTAACTTGTTCTGATTGCAAAAATTCGTAGTAGTTCTATGTTCACGGAATATTGAGACACCCTGTATGATTAATAATAGAAATTAAGTTACTTTGTCCAAGATCTCCAAGTGTATCCACCAATTCATCGCATTTTAGGGCTTCCCATTCATTTTGTCCAACTAGATTGAATTTTTTCGCTAAAAATCTGGCAATAGCCAGACTCTGGGCTACTGGTTTACCATCGACTTCAAGAACAGGAAGCTGTCCATAAGGAGTTTCTAAAAAAATATGATCGAAATTTTTTTTTAGAAAATTTATTTTTTTCCTAACACTCGGAATTTTTATTTTTTATTTTTTTAATTTTATTGCTTTCTAACAAATCAGCGTGTTGTTGTAAACATCAGTACATATTCTTGTAGGAAAATGAACGATCTTCAAAAAGTTCTGATATGATTTTTCATTTAATCGACTCGTTGGGAAGTTACTAAGGTGTAGCAGATTTAGTTAATAAAAAAATTATAGTTAAAAAGCTATATTGTCCCTTGCGTACGGCAGTTTTTCATCAATAAAGCAGTCATGGGTTCGTTTGTATTTCTTTGGAGGAAACCAAATTACACTCAAACAAAAAGTATTGGGCGCCAGGTAAGATACAAGAAAAGATAGTCGTAGTCACAGAATATACTAACGAAAAAGAAGCCCAAGTTCCTTGTAATAAATCGGTTCCATTTTCGTAACGCCATCTCTCGACATAGCTGACATTATAGGTTAGCCAAAGGGGTGCGGGGCCGGGGGGAATTATAAAATACACTTTTTTATTTTAATTATTTTTATTCGCTATTTGCAATTTTATTTTTAAAACATATTATGTGAAACAATCACATAATATGTCTTAAAAATAAAATTACAAACGGAAACAAAAGGAATTAAATAATCTGAAAATCTACAAAGTTTATTGATAAAAAAGTTAGGCTATGCAAATTGATAAGTATATTAAGTATAACCTCTTTGGTATAACATTGTTAAACAAACATTAACAAATCATAACATAGAAACAATCATAGAACTAAAAAAAGTACTATTACATAAAAACAGGTGATACAATACTTCAAAATTAATTTTAACATAATATCAAAACCGAAAAATCAAACTGCAAACACAACCACACTTATCACAACAGAAATTAACACACACTTCCGCGGCAAATGTCCAAGAAAGACTGATCATTCTGATTGGTCCTGGTCCGGTCGTAGCTCACGTCGTATTGTCGGTAAGCAAAATCCCTGTCCAAAAATTTTGATGATCAACGCCATCATCCGTCATAATTGGGAAACTTTTGCTGGAACCATTTTTAATATTTCACTTACATGGCCCTGGTCGTAGTTAAAAATAAATATTGACTCAGGATGATTCCTAATTATTGTAATTAGCGATAATTAATAATTATTTAATAAATAATTTAAATAATGTTTTACGAAAGAACACTTGATAAACTTTACGAAAAATACGATATTTCATGTTTTTGAGCCATTATTTCCTGATAAAATATAAAAAATTGGGGAAGTTATCATATACGATTTGAAATCTGTGGATTTGAAGTTCAATTTTAACCTTCAATAACTTTCAAACGAGTCGATAAAATGAAAAATCATATGAGAAATTTTTGGAGACCGTTCAATTTCCTATGAGAATAAGTATTGAGTTTTACAATACGCTGATTTGTGTTAGACCCCAAAAAAAAATAAAAAAAAATTCCCCATGTTATTGAAATGGGAAATAGAAAATTACAATGAGGCACCTCTCAATATTAATATGAAGATCTCAAACTTTATCAGATTTATTTTTCATCATCGTGAACGATATTTTCACGGTAATTAAAAAAAAATTTGGTGCGCCCTAAAGCCGCGTCCAAGCTATTCGAACAAAATGTTCGCGAACATATATAATTAAACAGATACTAAGTGAAAATTGTGAGATAGGTAGATTTATAAATAATAAAGCCAACAAGTACAGCTAGCCTAGGCCTATTAAGGAGCGCGGAGCGCCGAACGGCTAGCTTGTACGCCAGACCGTGCGTCTGCCTATGCTAGAGCGCACGCGTTATTTTTCCGACGGGTGTCGGTAAATCAAAAGGAGCGAACGGCGTGCATTTCGGCGGACATTGTACCGGACACTTGGAAGTGTCTCATTTAATTTCGGGCGTCCATCTGTGATTTTTATTTTTCACCGAGTATTCGACAATGGGGGGCAGTTATTGACTAGGATCGTGAAAAACATTTACAACTAATTTGTTTACACAAAGAAAAGATTTTTTAATTTTAATTTTATTATGGGTTGAGTGTGAATAGCTATGTAGCTAGACTTCGTCCATATAATTTCATTTTTGTTAATAAAGACCTTTATGATTATTTTTATTAAAAACCGGAATTATTATGGGATTCTGAAATTAAAAATTACTACTTAATAGGAAGTTTTACACCGGAAATGAAATTTTACCATTACATTTTTAGAAATAAATATACCAGGTGTTTCTGAAAATTGGTTCACTTCTATAACTTTTTTAATTTTTTAGATAAAAAAAGAGATTTGGTATGTTAGTATAGGACATAAATCAGGATTGATCGACGTTTTCATTTATTTTCGGTCACTACCTATTTCACCGGAAATGACAACAACTTTTGATATAAATGGTACCCTCGGTATTTTTTTACCGTATATGATAGAAAATGACATTCTAAATAGAATGATATATTATATGTCAACTTTTGACATTTTCAATTTAAAAATGGCCATAAATAAACGTAACGACAATTTTACTCCAAATACCAAGTATGTGGTAACAAATTATTCGTAAAAAATGCTTTTTCCAAATATGCTGAGCCAGCCTCGTACCATTTGAAAAATTTGAATTATCATTAAAAATACGATTTAGGCATCTTTTAAGCGGTCATGAAAGGATACAAAAAAAATGACAGGATCAAATATATGTTTCCAAAGTTCTTTGATTACAAATTAATAGTTTTAACTCAGTCTTGGCACTCTAGACTGAAATTTAAAATGCTATTTTTATTTAATTGGAATTGTCTAAAATTAACGTATGGTATGTCATTCTATTGAGAATGTCATTTTCTATCAAATAAAGTAAAAAAGTACTTAGGATATAATCTAAAAATACAAAGTTGTAGTCATTTCCGGTGAAACAGGAAGCGACCGAAGGTAATTGAATACGTCAATCAATCCCGATTTATGTCATATACTAACAAGCCAAATTTCGTTGTATTATCTGAAAAAAATAAAAAAGTAAAAAAGTGAGCCCCTTTTGACAAACACCTGGTAGAATCGGCTGAAAATGAATACAGGTCTTAACTATATACTTATACACTATATATAACTATATAACTTATACACTATAACGAATAATCTACCAAAAGACCCCTGTGACCCTCCGCCTGCTAAATATTGATTCTTCAACGACAAAAGTTCTTAAACTGTTTACCGGTTAATTTATTTAATAAAATGCTTGCACTCGAAATCCGGGCACTCGAAAAAACAGCGACTACCTAAACGCATCCTAGATCTATAGAGCAAACTGGTTGTCGCATTCTACCCCGCACCTCAGTCCTCGGGACCGTGGCTATGGGCTGTGCCGTCGTTTACGACCTGCTGCTACGAGTATATAGTGTGAATTATATATGTTCGCGAACGTTTTGTTCGAGTAGCTTGGACGCAGCTTAATATACATGTATATCACTATTTAACGATAATTGTCCACTTACTTTTCTTGTATTCAGGCCATTCTTCTTTAGGTATTCTAATATCTTCGAAACTTTGGTTTCCATAAGCTAACAAATATCTAATAATTTCACCTCTACCGGCAACATCAAAATAGTAAAGTTTATAAGTTGGAGCCATTTTATTTTGTTAAAAATACCTGAAATTGAACTAAAATGTACAATAATTATATTGTTGTTCGTGTATGAAGGTTGTCTACTGAATGAACAGTGTGAAGTAACGTATAAATTTATATTTATAATGAAAAAAAAATTACTGAAATCTGAAGTATCATCGTTATATTGCATATATTATCGTAGTTAATAGTATTTATCTCAGTCTAGATTGTTCGAATAACAAGCTCATGTTAATTGATAATTCAGATATTAAATGATTCATTGTTTTACCTCAGGCCATCAACAATAACCTGTATAATACAGCTTCGTCTACACATAACGTTTTATCTGTAAGTTTTGCAGGTCGGGTAAAACGGGAACCCGTCTATAACATTGACGACAGTTCTGTAGACGGTCTTCAGTCTTAAGCGCTTCAACCATCTTACTTACTGCTATTACTCGCTGACGAGTATTTGACACACAAAAGCCCGATACGTGATGTTATCTCTTTTCCCTTCCCCTAGGAGATGCAAGACCTTGTCGTTGGTGGGGAAGCTCCTTGTCAGGTGTTGGAGGAATCTCCTCTAGCACTTTAGCTCGGTCTAAGAAGCATCTAATTGTCTTGTCCCTGGCTGTAGTGTCGTGGCCAGGGAATTGCACCAAGACATATAACGATGCCGGACGGGGCTACCCCTGTCCGTCATACCAGGCACCCTCTACTGACTGTGGTCATGTATCGCGGATAGAGGGTGTGGGGGGTCTTGGCTTAACCGCCTGGACCAAGAGGAGACAACCTCACCAAAAACCTAAATCCTACGATGGCGGGACCAGGTCAAAGGGATGCGTGGCTAGATAGAGGACTAGCCATTACTGGCCTCAACCTTGGGGCATCAGGGTGCACCCCATTGTATTTACCCCTTACTTCTGCATGCGGGGCTCTGTAGAAGTGGACCGACTATCCCTAGCGACTCGAGGGAACACTATGAGATCTAGTATTAAAAACACCACTGGTGAAGCTGTGGGGAAGCCCCCTAGCGACACTGGGAACATTACTAATGAAAGTTCCAAGGGAACAAATCCAAAGAAAACTACAGGAGGGGCGGCTGACACTTGCTTGCGATCATCCTCCACAAGTGGCACACAAGCTACCACCTACTCCAGCAAGGGTCGGGAGCCTACCTCTAGACCCAATTAGCGACATAAGCTACCGTTTCGTCTACCCGGCCTGGGTCAACCAGGCGGGCTAGACGATCCTCTGAGAGTAGGTCTTAGCGGAGCAGAAGCACGGAGATACCTCCGACTGCTCCACGAAGGACTTGCTCCAGAGGAAGCAAAAGCGAAAACACTCCTCCGAAAAGGGGAGAGTAAAGAAACCAAGAAACAACCTAACTCATCTCCATCAAAGGGCAAGAGAGGGAGCGAAAACCTCTCACCTCTTCTCCGGCAGGGAGAGAAAAAAGCAAGGATGGAAAGCCGTCCAACACCGGGAGGCAGGCAGGGACGTATCACCAGCTTTGCCGCTATTGCTGGACAAGTGAAAATGGCGGTGCTGCCAAATGATTTCCCAGAGGTTGCTCTGACCACCGACCAGCAACCGTCTCTAGAAGAGGCTATATTGGACGAAGTAGTGACGATCGGATCGCAACACAACGATCTACAAAATGTGGGTCAGCTGCGTTTTGCGGGGATACACTTTCGGGTCGGCACGATTCTCTTAGACTGTGTATCTCAAGAATCGGCGAATTGGTTGGTGGAAATGGCACCTAAGCTTAAAAATTGGCAAGGGCCGGAACTGGGCAGTGAAGGGAGAAAACGTCCCTAAAGGGGCGGCCATAACGGTCTTTCTGCCGAGGAGCAAGGGGAAAGACACCACCTACCTGCTGAGCCTTATCCAAGGTCAGAACTTCAATGTAAGGACATCGAGTTGGCGAGTCATCAACTCGAGGGAAGAGGAATTGACCTAGATAATAGGAATTGAGGGATATATCCTCTATTATAGATACGGCACAACACCGGTATCAGGTCTAAGGAGAGACCAAGTTAAAGAGGTGGAGGAAATGGAGACAGATCCTCCAGCCTCCACCTCACGGGTACCTCAGCCGGAGGCAAGCTCTTCGACTGTGAAGAGCACAGTGAAGAGCGGCACGGAGGGCCAAACTCCAACCGTGGAAGGGTGTGTAACGGAGGAAGAACTGTTGTCAGAGGAGGATGGGAAATACCCCATCTGTCCCCTCTACAACAGAGGTATGATGGGTTATAGATCGTGTGATGACTCAAGGAAGGTCGCAGTGGTTAACCCCTCCGTGACCCCTCCTCTTACTCATTCTACATTCTATCTCTCTTCCGCATTCCGGACATTCAAAAATGTTATTACTTTGTTGTCTCTTTACTTTTTGGTTGTCGCTGAGTTTACAATTCTTCTCCATTGCGTTCTACTGTGTGCTGCTTCCTCCCACTGATTCTGAATACTTATCCCCTTAAGTTTTCGTTGAAAATATCCTTGTACCTTTTCAGTTGTCCACCTGGTTTCCTCTTACCGTCTACAAACTCACCATAAAGAGGAGATTTCGGTAGGCGGTTTTCTTGCATCCTGCATATATACGCGACCAGCCCATCTTAAGCGGGATTCAGTAAACATGACTTCAGCGCTCTCGCAGTTAGCATTTTCAAGGACCGATACGTTTCAGATATAACATAAACAATTATGTGAAATTACGTTATTTTATGAAAAATATTAGAATATTTCATTTTTATGAAAATGTTATTTAAAGATGCTGTATTATATCCATATTACTCTTTTGTGTAAATTTTTCTTGTAAAATGATCCCAGTCAGTTCTCTAGAGTCTAGAAGGTCTTCCATCAGTTCAAGTCTACACACAATGTTTTGCTTGATACGTTTTGACTGAACAGTCAACTCAGTTAAGCCTGACAGGTAAAACGTTATTGTGTAGGAGGAACTTTAGCCAGAGGACTATCAATTTCATTAAAGTGTAGTACTATACGTGTAAACAATAGTTTAAGGGTAAACATTACATAATTTTTATAAATGATAAAAGTGATATGTTGTATGATAATAAAAATAAATAATTAAGCAGGTTATACAAGTTACACGATATCCAGAACAAAGTACCTATTCCTAAATCAGGAAAGATACAAAGAGAATTCAATTAGAACAAGTTGATCCTTGCTCATTTCATTAGTACAAGAAATTCTCATCTTTCTCATATTAATTAATTATTTCAATCCATTGACAAATATGTACAACTGATATACGTTAGATTAGATAATGTGGACAACAATGATATCAAAAATATAGGACTCATCATAGCATCATAGTGTAATTCCAAGAATAATGCACAAACATATTTTTTTTATTAATAAATAGGTACTTAGTAACAACCTTGATGCTAAACTTAATTACGTATGTTATTGTCAAAAATAGTATTATCTTTTAATATATATTGTGTATCTATGTATGTTAACTATTTGTGCAATTTCCGCTTATTTGCTTTTAATCTGTGTAGGTACTTTAAAATTCTAAAATAGCTAGCTGAAGTATAAATGATAGTAAAAACTTGTTATTATTAAAATGCTGGGATTAAAAATATACAAAAATTTAAAAATTTCATTCAAAATGTACTCACAGGCACGAAAAACGGGCACCTTAAAATTTTGATGTATTTTAAACTTTAATATATTTTGTTCTAGTAGGCCGTTTTTAATAATTTTTTAAGCAGCTTGTACCTAAATTATTTGTCTTTTTGGTATCTCTTTCTAAATTGAAAATGAAAGCTTCCATCTGTCAATTATACGAGGGAAAACAAAATAAATGTTGATATTTTGGTGAAAGTTTGAAACACTGTGTGGAATATATTAATAAAGTAAGAAATTTAAAAATCATTCCATCATCTAGATAGGTACGTCTTTTCTCGATAGTATGTTTTTTGATTCATCTCAGTATTTTTATTTTTATTGGAGATATTCGCTTTTTTTTTGGGTTCTCATCAACACACTTATAAAATAGTGTTTATTATTGTTTATTATCACTGTCATTGAAAAGTAATATTATTATTGTTTATTGATGTTTACTCTAGTAGATATGGTTTTAAGTTCTGAAGTATTGACCATTGCTGCTTTAATGGATCATGGTACTGATCGTACTGATCAAATTTTGGACTTAAAACCATCTCTGTTAGAGTAACTGCGCAAAAGACAATAATAATATGATTTTTTAAAGACAGTGATATTACATAAATCATAAATACTATTTTATAGGCTGTTAACTAGGAGCAAAAGCAAAGGTATGGTTTTAATGTAAAAAATACGAAAAAATGTTAGTATCTTCTTGAAAAGCGAATATCTCCAAAGAAAATAAAGCTATTGAGATGAAACCAAAAACAAACTATCGAGGAAAGATACATCTAGATGATAAAGTTACTTTTAAATTTCTTGTTTTATTAAGGTACTCCACAGGGTGTTTCAAACTGTTACCAAAATATCAACATTTGGTTTTCTCTCGTATAATTAACAGATGGCAAGTTCCATTTTTAATTTAGAAAAAGACACTAAAAAGTCAAATAAATTAGCTACAAATTGCTTAAAAGATCATCAAAATCGGTTCACTAGAACACAATATATAAAACTTTAAATTAAATGAAAATTTTAAGGTGCTCGTTTTTCATACCGGTCGGTGAGTGTAGTTCGCGTGCTATACAGGGTGTCCCAGGCTGAGCGTGCATTAGAAGATTCTAGAGAACCACAATATCTAGATTGCAGATTTTTTGCATATTATTGTTTTACAACGAGATATATCGATTAAAAATATTTTCAATATGGCGGCACTTCCGGAAATACCGGAAGTTGAGCAACTTACTTATTTTAAATGGGTGCCACCATTTTTTATTACATACTTAAATTCTCTGTAAAATTCTATGAACATTGATGTTAAACACTCTATACCTAACATTAACCGTTTTTGAGAAAAAAAATATTTAAAATTTTTGGACGGAAAAAACTACCTGTCAAAAATATTTGTATAGTCTAAAAGTCAAATTTAGTGATTACCACAGCCACTGTGACATAAAGTGAAGACATATGGCTATCTATTTCAAAAATTTTGTTCAAATGTCATATAATAATGGCGATAGCTGTCATGGAATTGAGCGATTAAAAAATTATCATAAATCATTTTTTTTAAATGGAAAACCACTTTTTTTATTTCACTAATGAAAAGATTTTTCAATTCGTTACTTTTGAACTCTACATGTTCCTATACCTAAAATAAATCGTTTTTAACTTATTTAAGAGATTTAATTTGAAAACGTATATTTTTCTTGATTTTATCTAGCTTCCTTTGACATTAAGTGTCAAACGGTCAGACAATTTATTTCCATCTGTCAGAAAACGAATTATTTGAATTTCCTATATTATAAATACTGCCTGCTTAATGGAATGAAATAGATAGCCACATGTTTTCTCTCTATGGCACAGTGGCTGTGATGGTAATCACTAAATTTGACGTTTAGGCTATACACATATTTTTGACAGGTCTTTTTCGTTCAAAAATTTTAAATATTTTTTTTCTCAAAAATGGTTAATGTTAGATATAGAGTGTTTAATATCAAAATTCATAAAATTTTTCAGAAAATTTAAGTATGTAATAAAAAATTGGGGCAACCGTTTAAAATAAGAAAGTTGCTGTTAACTTCCTGTATTTCCGGAAGTGCCGCCATATTGAAAATATTTTTAATCGATAAATCTCGTTGTGAAACTATATGTGCAAAAAATCTCCGAGCCAGATGTTGTAGTTCTTTAGAAACTTCTAATGCACGCTCAGCCTGGACACCCTGTATACGCCTACCTTCGAAAAACAATGTTGTACAACACATGCTAAAAAAATGTCTAATAAGACCCATAAAAGACAATGTGATGTTGATCAATTTTGATGTGATTTTTGATTGATGATTTCGTGGGCGTACAGCGAAAATCCACTAAGTCACATTTTTGGTTGAATTGGATTAAACACACCACTATGTCCAGTTTTTCACGGTCTTTAACATGAAAAACCCATTAAGTCCAATTTCGGCATCCTTATATTATATTATAAGGATATTATATTTATTATAAGGATGCCGAAATTGGACTTAATGGGTTTTTCATGTTAAAGACCGTGAAAAACTGGACATAGTGGTGTGTTTAAACCAATTCAACCAAAAATGTGACTTAGTGGATTTTCGCTGTACGCCCACGATTTGATCTTTTTTAGCATTAAAATATGTCGCACTTATTATAACTTTTACCCCCAAAATTTCATTTGAATCGCGAAAAGCACTGGGAAGAAAATTATATTAAATCGAAAAAAAATTAAGACTAACCCCCTGTAGCTTCGTAACAAAGCAGAATCGGACCTATGTTGATATAAAAATAAATCTTATTTTTACGTGAAGAGTCACCCCACAAGAGATGGCACATTTTTTGAAACACCCTGTATAATAGGACGAATCTCTACATCCAACAACCAAGTACAAATTGTTTAAATAGCAACAATGAATCATATATCTTTCTAATTATCTATTATGAGTATATCTTGTATGTATATGCATAATAATATCAGAATGATAGGTACTTCAGTTATTCACATTAAGTTTGACTATAAATTTGACAGCCAACAAATAAACATACTGTTAGAATATAATAACTTCATTAAAGAGATAGCCTGCGTGACGAATATCATCAATCTGTTCGGTTTATTTATCAACAAGCGAAATTAGTAGGTAGTTCCAGTAGTACAGGTACGATTTCAAGGATTTCTAACAAAAGTAAAATGGCTCCAACGTATAAACTTTATTATTTCGATACACCTGGCCGTGGTGAAAAAATTCGATACATATTTGCTTACGCAAAACAGGATTTTGAGGATATTAGAATTACCAAAGACCTATGGCCGGAGTTTAAAAAAAGTAAGCTTTAAATTTAACTTTGTTAGGTGTTTCTGTGTGTGAAAATGTTGTTATGCTTGATTATCTCTTGTTTACTATTTGACAAAGTAGTGTTTTAAGTATTTTAGAGGAAAATATAATTTTGTGTATTAATTATTGGAATATTTTGTTTTAGAAACACCCTATGGACAGGTTCCAGTTTTAGAAATTGATGGTAAACCAATAGCGCAAAGTTTTTCTATTTGTAGATACTTAGCAAGAAAATTCAATCTTGATGGGAAAAATGAGTTAGAGGCTCTGGAATGTGACTCAATGGTAGAGACACTAGGAGACCTAATACAAAGTAAGTACACTCAAAAAAAGTATACACGGCAGTATACCGGGTGCGTCTCAAAAGTGGCTCACCCCCTATAACTTTTTTATTTTTTCAGATAAAAAAAACGAGATTTGGTATGTTAGTGCAGTGCCTTCTATTAAAAGATCAGCCTACGGGCGGACTTTTGTTTACTTCATCAGCTGTACATACTTAGATATTGGGTTAGATTCCGTTTCATATTTTGTCGGTTGATTTTTGGTTTTAACTCTTTGATTTTTGGTATTATTTATTATTGTAGTGCAAAAAACTAATTATTTTGGTGTTGAACTGACATAAACTACTACCAGATATATGGTCACTCTCGGTTTCGCATAAAAAAATAGAAATTTTAAAAATTACACGTTGTGCAAGTGATTTAACCTAAAAGTGCCCATACATTTTTTACTTATCGTGATTTTTGTGTGTGTTTCTTAAGACTCTAACAATTCATCAATAAAGCTTAAGTGGAGTGTGTTATTGGTGCTATGCCTCATCTTTGTTGTGTTCCTGGTGGAAAGGATAGTTACTAAGGATAGTTATTATACTAGGCAGCCTAAAGTGTCCGGAAGAGCAAGAAAAGTGGGTACGAATTATAAATCAAGAGAATTCTATTGAAAATATCTTTAATAAATTTAAAAATAATATTCTCCCATGATGGTATTAATGAAAACTGGACAACTATGTTTATTTTATTCATATTGTGGAATCTCCACTCCAAGTGTTGTTGGTTCAGCTTCGATAGATTCAAACACGTAAGTAGGTATTATGATCTAGGGAAAAATAAAGAATATGTGTATTAAAGATCATGAAAAAGATTATTACTTTGAGTTCATTTTAAAAAAGATTTTTGTAAAGACAAGACAGATACAGTTTAAAAGAAGAATGTGTTTTTGTTTGATAATATATAATGTATGTCAAGCATAACATATATTTGTTCAGTAATTTTTAATGAAAGGTGTTGATTATTTATAATACCAAATTAATATCAAATATTTAAGTGATGGCTGAATAGAATATGAATAAAATAACAATAAAATTGGTATATTTGCATAATACAAAATTAAGTTTTAAGAATAAAGGTGTTACTAAAAATACAAAGAAATTCATATTTCTTTGTTTTAATTGGTCTAATGTTATTTACATTTTACGTAAGAATTATACCGTATCACCGAAAAAAATCGGCGTCTAGTTGGCTTGGAAATGAACATCGATGACATTCCCTAAATAACTGTACATATAAAATAATTAACTAGAATTTTACAATCTTGGAAAATTTGATATTCTTGAACCTTGTTTCTAAATATTCTAAATTTTTTGATTTTCTTGGAATTTAGGTTCGGGAAAAACGCTGATTAAGTTTTCATTTCGTTTTTCATTATTTTTATTTGGTTTAAGAAAAACGTTTCGGCTAACATTATAGCCTTCATCAGTGCTGTGTCATATGAAAAAAATAGTGTCGAATATAATCCAAAAAATTACATATAAAATATTCACACCACGCACATAATGTTTACTGCGTACTCCATAGTCAATGTAGATAATTTTAGTGTTAAGAATAATAATTTTAAAAAATATGTGGTCATCTTTTGATAAGTTTATATTAGTTTATTATTTGCAGTAAACATTATAAGGTGTGAATTATATTGTATCTGTAATTTTTTGGATTATATTCGACACTATTTTTCTCATATGCACAACACTGTGAAGGCTATAGTTAGCCGAAACGTTTTTTTTTAAACCAAATAAAAATAATGAAAACCCAAATGAAAACTTAATCAGCGTTTTTCCCGAACCTAAAAATCCCAAGAAAATCAAAAATTTTAGAATAATTTAACATATAAAATGCCAGCGATCTTCAGTTCATAGCCATCGCTGACGCCTTTTTTTAGATAATATTGTATTATTTGTAAATATAATTTTTCGAACATTGATACTTGAAAAATATACATATAAATTTTGTGAATGCAAATAATAATACATCACTATTAGTAGATATTAAATGTTTTTTGTTAAATTAGATCGATTTTCAAACCCCAAAATTTGAAATATATTTACATTTTACCCATTATCTTATGTACCTATACATTATTTGTACATTGTAAAACATTTGCTGCATTTGTATGGTTCATAGTTTATTTGCCAAAGTATTTATTACTATAAATAGGTATATATGTTGTAGTTATTAACTGTATATTATGTATATTTCATTTAAACTATATCATTTTTAAAATACAAACCAAAAATCTGAGGAATAATATGTTTTCCATGTATTCTACAACATATTTATTAATCCGTTATATCTAACTAGCGTGACGTCATAAATCTCGCCCGTAGGCTGATCTTTTAATAGAAGGCACTGGTTAGTGTATGACATAAATTAGGATTAATCGACGTATTCAATTGTTTTTGGTCACTTCCTGTTTCACCGGAAATGACTACAACTTTTGATTTTTAAATGGCACCCCTGTATTTTTTACTTCTACCGATAGAAAATGACATTTTGAATAGGATGACATAGCATTTGTCAACTTTTGAGTTAAAATATGTGTGGTGCCAAATTATTCTTAAAAAATGCTTTTTTCAAATATGCGAATGAGCCACCCTCGTTCCATTTGAAAAAAAAAGAGATATGATTAAAAATACGATTTGGGCATCTTTTAACCGGCCAGGACAAGACACGGAAAACATTAGACGATCAAGTCTATTTTTCCAAGACTCCTTGATCAAAAACTAGTGTTTTTAACACAGCAATAGCACCCTAGATTGAAATATAAAATACGATTTTTTTAAGCGAGAATGTCAAAAGTTAACATGTTATATGTCAACAAAGTAAAAAAAAATACCGAGGGTGTCATTTAAAAATTAAAAGTTGTAGCCATTTCCGGTGAAACAGGAAGTGACCGAAAACAATTGAATACGTCAATCAATCCAAATTTATGTCATATACTAACATTCCAAATCTCATTTTTTTAACTGAAAAAATAAAAAAAGTTATAAGGGTGACAATATTCGAGACGCACTCGGTAAAAAATTATTTACAATACACTACCTACCATCCGCTTTAATTGAATTTAAAATTTCAGAAAGCAAGAAGTATCTTACTGAGACTGATCCCAAACAGAAAGAAATTGAGAAAAGAAAACTTTTTGAAGAAGACGTACCATTTTTCTTCAAAAAATTCGAGGACATTGTTTCGAAAAATGGCGGATATACCGTAGGATCACAGGTATGTTATATACTATAAATTACCTTTCAATAAAAACACTAAGGAATGAGTCTAATATTAGGTATGCGATATTTCCTAAATAGTATAAAAAAATCTTTGAATAAGAAGACTAAGGAAGGAGCATATCAAAAATCTTAGGTACACCGCGATGGGCCTCAAATAAGGCCGACTTAAATTCCGGTTTATCAGTGCCGTTCTAATTTTATTTAAAAAAATGTAAAACTATGATGTAGGGTAGACGTGGGATAGACTCAATAATTTGTTATTTTATTTTACGTTGTGAATAACTGTTGGTAGTTATTAAAATTGTTATACAAATATATAATTCTAATAAAAATAGATAAGTTATAATAAGTATTTATTAACACAAACATCCGATACGCTACTGAAGCAGGTAAGTCAAATTAACGTATCAAAATTCTTTGACATCTGATCTTTGACAAGTAGTAAATAAAAGCTAAAATGCAAACTAAAATGCAAAAAGAGATCGCTTTACTACACGTATGTATATTATATAGTCACTTACTAGCGAAAAGTTGTTCCATTATTTCACTCAATTTTTGCCGAGATCTACCGCACGCTACACAACCAACTATTTTAGAGTCATTTTCGATAAATCGCGATAATGTCACTGTTAATTTAAGTTCTGTCACAATTTCCATCTAGATTTACTACCTTTATACAACTATCAGTAGTAGAATAAATAATAAAATAAGCTGGGCGTAAAGACTGACAAATCCACAAAATTTCAAATCAAATTCAAATGTGTCAAATGAATCGTCAAACAGAACTGTCAAGGATCCCCACCCTAGACAGCTTTTTCCGCCCACCATGCATGAATACATGGATAGCATTATGCTCCTTCCTTAGTCTTCTTATTCAAAGAAAAAAATTAAGGGTATCAAACACGGAATCTTTTCTAATCTACAGTACAGGGCGTTAACTTTTTTTTTTAAATTATCGCATTTCTCACAGTATGTCGGAAACTAAGAGCGATATCAACTAAACTTTTATTTACGTCATCGAGGGCGCAATTATTAAATTCATTGCGCAGGGCTGACTAACTGGAATTTAAATTTCCCGCTGTAGATTCAGGTGGTGGCCCTACTGTAAAAAAATTTCAAGTTGCCACATTTATTTATTTATTTGTTGACATTGTCATTGGTTTTGATACTTTAGTTTTGTATTACGAGTTTTTGGTTTAAATAAATTGTGTTGTGATACTTTAAGCTTAAACTTTTTTACTAATAGACCTTATACCGTATGATCGAAAAAAAATGGCGTCCAGTTGGCTGGGAAATGACGATCGATGACATTTCCCATATAAATTTACATATAAAATGACAGCGATCTTCATTTCATAGCCATCGCTGACGCCGTTTTTTCTCGATCATACGGTACTTCGAACATTGTTCTTTTTAGAACCTCTTTTGGTGCAAAGTGTACAAGATAGCTTAATAGCCGTTGCAAAAAACTTATCGCAACCTTATTAAAATGTTTTGAACGGGAAAACTGTAGTAATGGTAATGACCCTGTATGTTCCTTAGGTGTTGTTAAGGAGGCGAGTTTTGTTGGTGTAAATAATAACTGTTTATATATTTATAATTAATTTATTTTTGTTTCCTAAAATATTTTGATTAAAAGAAAATATGTAAAGTGGGCAACGCTGTGCCGGTCAAGCTTAACCACGTGACTAAAAGTTTATTTGGTATGATCTATATACCGTATGATCGAATAAAAACGGCGTCAGCGATGGTTATGAAATGAAGATCGCTGTCATTTTATATGTAAAATTATATGGGAAATGTCATCGATCGTCATTTCCAAGCCAACTGGACGCTATTTTTTTTCGATCATACGGTATAACATACGTAAACATACGTAAACCAAACAATAAATGAAATTCACTTAAAATCAACTAATTATATATTTTATCTTGCATTTTCGCATTTATTTACTACCAGAAACAATTAGAATACGTCAATTTGACCTAGGTGTTTCAGTAGCGTATCTGGTATTTTTGTTATTAAATAATGATTATAACTTTTCTGTCTATTTTTATTAGAAATATATATTTTTTAAAACAATTTTAATAATAACACATTTACTGACAACGAACAGTAACTCAAAACCAACAGATTATTGGGTGTACCGTACATTATATTTTTACACGTTTTAAATAAAATTAGAACGGCACTGCTGAACCGAGATTTGAGCAGAGAAAACCGATTTGAGTCAGCCGTTTTAATCCCCCATCGCACTCCACCTAAATTTGTTGTTATGTTCCTTCCTTAATCTTTTTATTCAAAATAAAGTACAACTTTTTCAGCAAAAAAAATATATTTTTCTAGATTACCTGGTCTGATTTCCATTTTGCCAATATCTTACCGGAATTTGAAAAAAGCTCACCTGGATTGCTGAAGTCCTATCCAGCACTGAACGGCCTTATTGACAAAGTCAGCAGTTTACCTAGTATCAAAGAATGGAAAGAAAAATCAGCACAACTGAAGAAATACTACGTTCCTTAATTTTTTATGTTTCTTAAAACTTCTGTCATCTTTTATTTTATAATAAGAATAAACAATAAAGTATACATACCTTTGTGTAATCACCTCGAACTTATAGATCTATTGTGTTTCCCATTCTTCAGTTATAACTCATCGTACAGTCTCAAATCTTTGACAAAAGTCAGTATCTGAGACGGTTTTACAGAGGTTAATAAAATAACAAAATAAAACGCTTTATTGTACAAAAAGCCAAAATAGCTTCATCGACAAAGCATTTACAAAACAAACAAAAGCACAAAAAAAATACAAATAATAAAAAATATCATACAATTAAAAAAAAATACGTCATTAAAATTACAAATAGAACATACATGGACATTTCAGAACACAAAAAAGGCTTTTTTGTGTTCCTATGGATGAGGTGTTCTGGTGTTTCCCCATTTTCCCCACCGAATCTGCATTCGCCGTTGTTTCTTAGCTTCAATCTACTAAGGTGATCATTGAGGAGATAGGTGCCCTGCCAAAAACCCCGTGACAATCCGAAGATTGTTTTTACTTAAATCAAAGAAAATCGTTGATTTTTCTCTGTAGTTCTGAGAAATTTCTTCGAGTGTCTTAGACCGGTTGGAGGATTCCCATTCCAGGTAGACTTTAGTTTGTTTACACTTTTTACATTTAAAATTACAAAAACCTAACTAAGGTATGTATTAAATAAAATACAGATTTCAGATAGTCCCAATTATATTATAAACATGTAATAGGTACGTATACAAAATATAACTTTAGCAAAAAATAAAAAATGTTTCTTTAAATAACATAAGCAGCGTTCAGCTAACAATAAAATACTTAACAATACACTTATGAACTATTATACATCTGACTGATATAATATCTAATGTATAAAACAAAAAAAAATAATAATTTTGAAGTTGTTTTCTAGTCCACTCTATTTATGAATTAATAACGCAATCCTTAATATTGAAGGAACAATAAACCAATTGAGTGATAATAAATATAAAATCACTAAATATAAATACCATATGATCGAAAAAATGGCGTCAAGTATGGCTTGGAAATGACAATCAATGATAATTTTGACGAGGTCAATCTCTAGACGTCATTTAATAAAAATTGACATAAAACATGTCAAAATTAATACTAATTATAGCGAGATTAAAAAAGGATAGAACGTTTCCAGACCTACACCATTTAAAAATCGTTTTCTCAAATATACAGGATGGTCCGAACTGTATTCCGGAAATTTCGCCAGCAAATTCTCGAGATAAAAATAAGTAAAAGAGTTCGTATAAATGTATGTCCTAAATTGCTTAGTTTCGGAGATACAGGGTGTAGAAGTTTCATTTTTATTTCGATTTTTTCCAAATAATTTCTGAAGTAACGTCAATATTTGGATGAAAATTGGTGTCTGGGAGTTTTTAGATGAGAAATTTGATTTTGATATCAATATGACTCCTATTTGTAGTGGGCGCCACCTACATATTGTGTTTTAACTGTTTTGACGAGTAATAACTTTTCGTCCGTACCTGTATAAAACTACCGTGTGAAAAAATATGCATTTCCGTAATTTTTTACGTAAAAAATGTCTCTTGGTAAAAATCGCTACGAGTAACCGTTCTCAAGATATTTAGAATGAAAGTAGTCAATACATGTCATTATTGACAAAAAATAAACATCTTTATAGTAGATATTTATTTGACTGAGAGAGAGAGAAGTTATAAATTTGGGAACTTTTTATTTTTATAAATTAATCATAAATTTTTCTTTAAAAAAATGATAATAAAACAGTTTCTGTTGATACAAAATCATTTCAAATTTATAATTTTAGTTTAATAACAACTATTTAGTCAGTCAACATGTTCAATTTATGTCAATGATGACAGGTATTGATAATTTCGATTCGAAATATCTCGAGAACCAGTACTCGTAGCGATTTTTAGCAAGAGACCTTTTTTACGTAAAAAACGTCGTAAATGTATATTGTTTTACTCAGTAGTTTTATACAGGTACGAACGAAAAGTTATTACTCTTCAAACCAGTTAAAACATATGTAGGTGGTGCCATCTACGAGTAGGAGTCATATTGACATCAAAATCAAATTTTTCATGTCAAAAAACCTCCAGATATCAATTTTCATCCAAATATAGACGTTACTTCAGAAGTTATTTGGAAAAAATCGACAATAAAAATGAAACTTCTACACCCTGTACCTCCGAAACCAAGCATTTTAGGACATACATTTATACCAACTTTTTTTTACTTATTTTTATCTGCAGAATATATTGCCGCAGTTTCCGGAATACAATTCGGACTACCCTGTATGTTCACTCAAAATTAAAATAAATTACAACCTTCTTAAGGTCAAGTAAATGACGTCAAGGACTTGATATCGCCAAAAATTATCATCGAGTGCCTTGCCCTCTCCGACGCCGTTTTTTTTTTCGATCGTATGGATTTATGATACCTACATGACAATAAAGATGTTTTATAATGTTGGAATAGTTAGAATTATAGAAGACGGAATACATTTATCATCTTATACAAAATATATACAGTAACATTATTGTAATACACTATTAAACCATACTTATTTGTTATTTTGTCGTGTAAATCTATATAGTGTCTCAAAATTATTTTTTTCTGACCAACAAATCACTTCTTATAGGTAAGTACTTTATAGCATTTATATTTTACTTATTTTTATATATACAGGATCTTTCCACGATACGTCGGGTATTTATAAATCTCCTGTAATAAAGGACTTGGGCTTTTGTGTAAGCGGGTACTCGTACAGAGTGTCTCAGAAAAGTGTTGCAGCACCCTTTATAGGTATACAAAATGTCTATATAGCTTTATGCTCTAAAAATCTACAAATACAGATAGTTTATACAGGGTGTTTAAAAAAACATATGCTATGTGTCGTAGGGAGATTCCTCATGTAAAATTAAGATTTATTTTTCATATCAACATACGTCTGATTCTGCTTTGTTTTGTAACTACAGGAGATTACAGTTGAGGGTTGGAACCTTTGGTGTTAAACAGCAAAATAAAAACACTAAATCACCACAATACACCAAAACACTTTTACTTTTACACTGGACGCGCGTTTCGCTAACCATGTTAGCATCATCAGCAGATGATTATAAACTAAAGTACAATCTACAAGTTGAACGTTTATATACTCGCTCAGTGGGCACCAAGTGGGCGTGGCAAAATCTAGCCAACCGAGTCAGAGACAACTGAGCGTAACAGTTAGATTTCCGCCACTAGAGTAGTAGGAACAAAGAACTTGAAGGAATTGGACCGTTGACTCTGTTCATACTATCTTTACATTTATTAATTCTGATGCTTTCATATGCATCTAGTTGCCTGTAATTTGAGACTTGCTTAATTAATTTTAAATTATTAAGATCTATACAATGTTCATTATCAACAATATGTTCAGCAAGGCAAGATTTATCCGGTCTACCATATCTTATCTGAGCTAAATGTTCTTTAAATCTAGTTAATATTGATCTTCTAGTTTACCTAACATATTTCTGATTACAATCTTTACAAGAAATTTCATAAATACCCGACCTTTCCAGTGGAGGTGTTTTATCTTTTGGATTACCTAATAATTGTTGTAATTTATTATTAGCACTATACACAAGTTTATAATTGACATTCTTAAAAATTCCTTTTAGACCATGGGATAACTCTCTATCAAACGGTATCGAAAAATATTTAGACGTATCTTTCTTCACTTGAAAAGTCGAATTTTCAGAAATCATTAACCTATACCTACGTTTTCTAATTAATTTATCAACTAGTGAAGGAGAATATCCATTACACTCAGCTACATTCCTAATGTAATCTCTTTCTATTTCATATCTTTCGTTGGAAAGTGGGAAACTAAGTAATCTATGAACTAAGAAATTTAAACTAAAATAACTTAGTTCTTATATAGGTTAATGATTTCTGAAAATTCGACTTTTCAAGTGGAGAAAGATACGTCTAAATATTTTTCGATACCGTTTGATAGAGAGTTAACCCGTGGTCTAAAAGGAATTTTTAAGAATGTCAATTATAAACTTGTGTATAGTGCTAATAATAAATTACAACAATTATTAGGTAATCCAAAGGATAAAACATCTCCACTGGAAAGGTCGGATATTTAAATTTCTTGTAAGATTGTAATCAGAAATATGTTGGGCAAACTAAGATCAATATTAACTAGATTTAAAGAACATTTAGCTCAGATAAGATATGGTAGACCGGATAAATCTTGCGTTGCCGAACATATTGTTGATAAAGAACATTGCATAGATCTTAATAATTTAAAAATGAATTAAACAAGTGTCAAATTATGAGGCAATTAGATGCATATGAAAGCATGAATTAATAAATGTAAAGATAGTATGAACAGACACAACGGTCCAATTCCTTCAAGTTCTTTGTTCCTACTACTCTAGTGGCGGAAATCTAACTGTTACGCTCAGTTGGCTCTGACTCGGTTGGCTAGTTTTTGCCACGCCCACTCGGTGCCCACTGGGCGAGTATATAAACGTTCAACTTGTAGATTGTACTTTAGTTTATAATCATCTGCTGATGATGCTAACATGGTTAGCGAAACGCGCGTCCAGTGTAAAAGTAAAAGTGTTTTGGTGTATTGTGGTGATTTAGTGTTTTTATTTAACTACAGGAGGTTAAAGTTTTTTTTCATTTATTATTATTTTCTCCCAAGTTGTTTTATTGATTTGAATGAAATTTTGAGGGTAAGGGTTACTATAAGTGCTACATATTTTAATGCTAAAAAAGTGTCGATATGTTCATCAGTGACGTACATATGGGTTATCACTGTCAAATATTTTTCTAAAAATAACATGTGCGCCACTGACTTTCTTTTTTCTTGTTAGTAAAATTGTATAGTACGTTTAATGCCGATTAAAAGTTGTAACTTCATATTTTCTCGATTTCGATTTCCTTGATGAGATAAACGCAATTTTATTGATTACAAATAATAAAATTAATAAATTAATTATTTATTTAATCTAATTTATTATTAAATTTTGTTAAAATTTATAACACTGATGATCAGTGCCATCTGACAGTAAACGCCGATAAAAAATAATGGTATTTATAAGATAATTAGAAAAGACCTATTTTTTTACACCCAGGTTTGTAGGAACTTTTGTTCAAATTTTTTAATGAGGAATCAATGGGTACTCTAATACTTTGGCCATTAATAAAATTGCGTTTGCTTCATCAAGGAGACCGAAATTGATAAAATATCATGATACGACTTTTAATTGACATTAAACGGTCTACCCAACTGTGCTAATTAGATAAAAAAAGTCAGTAGCATACAGGTTTTTTTTTATATTTAAAAATATTTCAGCGATAACGCTTACGCACGCCCCTGGTAAATTTGACGACACTTTTTTTGCATTAAAATATGTAGGCAATATAGTAACTTTTACCCTAAAAATTTCATTCAAATCGCACTTGGAAGAATAATAAATCGAAAAAAATTAAGACCTTAACCCCCTGTAGCAAAGTTACAAAGCAGAATCGGACCTATGTTGAAAGAAAAAATAAATATTATTTTTACGTGAGGAATCTCCCCACGAGAGATGGCACGTTTTTTGAAACACCCTGTTTATATACTCTAATCTATTACGTGTATTTACAGTACTTAATGGGTAGAGAATTAAAAAAAAATGACAGATCAAAGTTCAACGTGACTGGAATAACGGAATGACGGGTACGTGTAAACTCGCCTTTATTATTTGAATGTAATTTGTGATAAAAATATAAAAAATAGTATTTTTCCAATAAATGGTGATAATTCACATGACGTGTGTATTAATTACAAACTAAAAATTGTCGAAAGTGTGTTTTGATTGCTATCTATAAAAATATATGCACTTATTTTTAAATGTCCCGCCTTTAAATGAAGTCAAAATTGGGCCAATTGGGGTATTCTATATTATATTAAAGCGATTTAATGGTAAGTATATAGGATTTAGGGTTGACAAAACCTTTGAATAAAAAGATTAAGGAAGGAGTATAATGCTATTCATTTATAGTCTATAAAATGAATAACTTTGAATTTTGACCGTTATTTTTTACCAACATGGCAAATATAAAATCTCTCTATCCAAAAAGTTACTGATATTCTTTAAAATGAGTGCCTGAACGAATCAGATAGGTAACTCTTTTTACTTTCGTGAAATAGAAAAAGAAAATAATAAAACAAGTGACAGTTCTTCCTCTTCTGGCAAAAATCAACGCGAAATGTCATGACTGACATAAGTAAAATGTCATCAGCCCTTGACATTTCTAAATATCAGACCAATGCCGTCTCTAATAGAACAGCCTCGGAGCGAGATTTATGACGTCACGCTAGTTAGATACCACGGTTTAATAAATATGTTGTAAAATACATGGAAAATATAATTATTCCTCGTATTTTTGGTTTGTATTTTAAAAATGATATAGTTTACATGAAATATACATAATATACAGTTAATAAATACAATATATATATATATATATATATATACCTATTTATAGTAATATTTGCTTTGGCATACAAATGCAGCAAATGTTTTACAATATACAAATAATGAATAGGTACATATGATAATGGGTTAAATGTAAAATATATTCTAAATTTTGGGGTTTGAAAATCAATCTAATTCAACAAAAAATATTCAATATCTACTAATAGTGATATATTATTATGTCCATTCAGAAAATTTATATGTATATTTTGCAAGCATCAATGTTCGAAAAATTATATATTTGCAAATAATACAATATCATAGAAAAAAAGCGTCAGCGATGGCTATGAAATAAAGATCGCTGTATATATATATATGTAAAATTATTCTAAAATTTTTGATTTTCTTGGGATTTAGGTTCGGGAAAAACGCTGATTAAGTTTTTATTTGGTTTTTCATTATTTTTTTTTCCTTTAAAAAAACGTTATAGCTAACGTTTATAGCCTTTATCAGTGCTGTGTCATATGAAAAAAATAGTGTCGAATATAATCCAAAAAATTACATATACGAGGAACAATTATGTTTTCCATGTATTCTACAACATAATTAATCCGTAATATCTAACTAGTGTGACGTCATAATCTCGCTCGGAGGCTGTTCTATTAGAGACGGCATTTCATCAGCATGGCCGCAAGTTGTTAACCTAATAAAATTTACACTAGAAAAGCCCGCGGGAACTGTCAAATTCAAAGTTATTCGTTTCACAGACTATATCAGAGATGGAACCGACATGACAAACCCCAATTTTTGACAGTTCTGTTTGACGTTTCAATTTGACACATTCGAATTTGATTACTACTGTTATTTTATTACATACGTAAGGTTAGTATAGTAAACGCCACGAATGTTTGGGAGTGATTCATCGCTTGATGAAGTTAGAATCGACACGCGCGCTATCATTTTTACATTAAAAACGTAAATTTTTACCGCAGACGTAGGTTTTTAAGGGCCCGGTCTAATCATCTGCCTGCGCTCCTCCTACTTATTCTAAAATGTTAGCGTGATTGACAAAGACGATACTGTATCGCGTTTCTTTGATTGGTTCGTTTTTGTGCGTCAGTCCATTGGTGTGCTTGCAGTGCGACCAATGGGGCATTCCAGTTTATATTTATAACCAAATATATGTTTTGACAAGACTTTGACAGTTAAAACAACAAATTACAACAGATTATATATTGATTATTATATGATTTGAAACACCACGGCACTGGAATTAAGTTTTATGTGACCCTGAACAGATTAGTTCACATGGCAGCGACCGATGAATCACTCCCAAACATTCGTGGCGTTTACTATAATCTTTTTATTCAAATGTTAAGACACAAATATTAGCGTTTTAGGTTTCTTTCTTAACTTTACTGAACCTAAATTTTGACACATTTAGTTACCGTCTCTTCCTAAACCTCTTTGACGATCATACAACACTAACAGCATAGGGCTCGACTTCAAAATTCTGCTTCAGAACAGCACTAAAAACCAGCTCAACACTGCAAATCACTTTTTGATTATCCTTCTTGTTCTTCAATAGATCAGCAACAAGATGCAGATCTTCTTTAGCAATCAAAATAAAGTAAGACAGAGGAGACGCAGTGTTCATTGCTTCTATTTGAGCTCTGCTTCGTCTTATTCGCTCTAACTTCCCTCCAGATGACTCTATTAAGTCGGAAACAATCCTTTTAGTAGGATATACGCTGGGTGTTAGCCAGAAAGTTTTCCCTTCAAGAATTTTATCACGATTCAGTGTTTGTAGTGTCCTTTCCAAAGACACGTTATAAGTTTGATTAAATTCGTCAGTGCAAGGGACAAATTCAAGTTCCGGCAGGAAATTCTTCATTGAATGCGATTCTTCTAGCCATTTTTCGGATACTATATGGCACGATTTTGAGATGGCAAAAAGGAACTTGTGGGTGCGTGATAATTTCGGTACTACCAAGTGGGTGAATTCTTTGTAGCTTTTTGAAACCATTCCGCCTAGTTCTCTGTAAGGAAAAATTAGTTAAGACTATTTTAGATAGTTTTAAGAAAAAAAAAACAGTTTTCCATTCATAAATTCCTAAAAAAACTATGTATATACCGAGTCTTTTTCAAGTATGCTATAAGTTCTTTATTTTTTCAGATAAAAAAACGAGATTTTGTATGTTAGTATGTCGTCAGTGAAACGTGATAACCTGCTAACTCCATTTTTTACGTTAATAAGTTTTTTTATACCATTAGAAAGAGAAAAAAATACTATATAAGTAGGGAAAGCAAATACATTTTTTCCCATTAAAGAAAATTTGCTATTTTAACTCAATAATATCTGCTAACTCCCAATGATCTGAAATAGCCACCGAAATACTGCTATCTCCGTAATTTCCGTTCCGATCACGCTAAATCAAACACACGGATTCTTATTCGTATGTTTCTTTAGTACAGCATGTCGATCCAGGGTCGCACTAGGCCAAAGGGGCCCGTGTGGCAATGTAAGGAGGGCCCGTGTGGATTTTTTAGCCTTACGTTTTGGGCAATTTTTCCCTATTATATACAGGGTGAAACTTAAATAAGTACAAATATTTTTAGGGGGAGTATATTTCGACCCCAAGAAACACGATTATGAGGTTTTTTGTGCGAATTTTTTTTTTGAAAATGTTGAATTTTTAAAAAAAAATAGATTTTTATTTAATTTTTAATTTAAAAACATACTTTGTAATATGGCAACATAGGTAATAGATTAAATTTACAAGAATGAAAATCTAATGATTCTCAAAATTATAGCAAAAAATTGGAAATTTTAAATGTGAAATAACTCGGTTGTTTTGGATTTATTTGAAAAAATTGTAAAAAGAAAATATTATGTTTCTTTTATCGAGATTTACCAGCCCTGAAAATATTTGCACTTATTTAAGACTTACCCTGTATAGAAATCAGGGAACTACCCTAATGCAAGGTAAACCAATGCAATGCAAATGCTATAATGCAATGCAAAAGCAAATATTGTTAAGAATAAATAATGAACTATAAAGGGGGCCCGCGAACCTAATAGTTATATATATAATATGGTCAGTCCGACCCTGCGTCGATCCGTTCTGTAAATACGGGGTATCAGTAAAGGGTAAGGGGAAAAACGAAATTCTCTATATACGAGCAATTCATAGGCGTGCTATAAATAGTTTAAATAACATTACTTTTTTGTACAAGAATTTCCATAATACCTAATCAGTTTTATTTTTTTCAACGTTTTTCCACGTAAGGGATACATAATTTTTATAAAAATTAAAAAAATAAGGAGGAAATTACATAATAAAAATTTAATAAAATCACGCACTCTTTTTCAAGCTCGGTCTACTACTGTTGTATAAAAATTAAAATAAGCATGGAAGATTCTACCATATCTTTTAAGAATTATAAGTTTAATTTTTAAATTATTTTCATATTCATTAAGTCCAAAATGCTGCTACTTCAGTTTCTTCTAGACCTACGATATATATATATATATATGGTTATGAATATCATATTTTTTAAATTTAATTCATTATTTCTAAATCTGTTTGGGTAATATTCAATTCCATTTTCAAAATTTCAAACAATAAAGGTTGCTATCTCCAGAAGTATATTTTTATTTCTTATTTTCCGCAAGGCGAATATCTGCTATCTCCCTATTGTGTCTGAAAAAAATTATGTAACACGAAATATTGAGTTTTATTGTTCCCCAGCAAATAAAATTGTTATCTCTTTATCATATTAACGCATGAAAATACTTCCTACATGTGTACATATTTTTTTGTAATATATAAAGCATTTTACCTGACTAATTTTTCCAATTCCTTCAATCTAGGTGTCTCAAATTGAGTAAACAAAATTTTATACTCAGAATCAGTGATCTCGTCAGTAATATTCTCGTTTTCGTCAGTGTGCTCAGTTTTTTGTTTCTTCAATTTTGGCAGTACTACAGGGGAGGACGATCTTTTTACCCTTTCATATAATTCTTGTGAGATATTTATCGGAGACTTCCAAGCATCTAAAACAACCCCTAACATAGTATAATATAATATATAAGACTTGTTAGATAAGCTCTAAAAGCAATGAATACAAAAACTAATGAATTTACAAATCGGCCCTTTAGGATGCACAAAAAAAAATATTTTAGTTGCCGCGAAAATATCATCACGATGATGAAAAAAATAATTTTGATATTTTTTTTTAATTTTATTGCTTTTTAACATATCAGCGTGTTGTTGTAAACAATAGGTACATATTCTTGTAGGAAATTGAACGATCTTCAAAAAAGGTCTGATATGATTTTTCATTTCAGCGACTCGTTTGAAAATTATTGAAGTTGTAGCAGATTTAATTAATAAAAAAATTATTATTTAAAAAGCTATATTGTCCCTTGCGTACGGCAGCTTTTCATTAATAGGGCAGTCATGGGTTCCTTTGTATTTCATTGGGGGGCCAGGAAAGATACATAAAAAATAGTCGTAGTTAAAAATAAATTACTATAATGATTCAGGATGATTCCTAATTATTTTAATTAGCGATAATTAATAATTATTGTATTTTCAATGTTTTACCAAAGAACACTTGATGAACTTTATGAAAAATAGGATATTTTTTTATTTTTGAGCCATTATTTCGTGAAAAAATTTCCAAAATTGTGGAAGTTATCATATACGATTTCAAGTTGAACTTTAACCTTCAATAACTTTCAAACGAGTCGATTAAATGAAAAATAGTATCAGACCTTTTTTAAAGACCGTTCAATTTCCTTCAAGAATATGTATTGATTTTTACAATACGCTGATTTGTTAGAACAAAATAAAATTAAAAAAAATCCTCGTGTTATTTAAAATACCAAACCTCTTAATATTAATATTAAGACCTCAAACTAGAGGTGTGTAGTTCGTGAACGAACTAGTTCCAATGAACTATTCCGGCCCGGGAATGAAGGAAACTAGTTCCTGATTTCTCAAAGAACTAGTTCCTCAGGACCTATTCCAGGATCGAGACTGTGACCGATATATAATAATATGCGACGGCGACGGATCGGTAACAGTAGCCCGATGCTAGGCAGGAGCGAGGAGTGCCAGCCGTATGTTATCGGATCCGGACCTAGAGGAACTAAATAAAAGATTAGTTTACGTACGGATTGGCCAGCGCGATCGATGCTAGGCAGGAGTGGGGAGTGCCAGCCGTATGTTATCGGACCCGGACCTAAAGGAACTAGAGGAACTAAATGAAAGACTAGTTTACGTACAGATCGGCCAGCGCGATTGATTCTAGGTAAGCGTGGGGAGTGCCAGCCGTATGTTATCGGATCCGGACATAGAGGAACTAATTAAAAGACTAGTTCACGGGAATTTATTCTGTCGGCAGATCCGAGATATAATACAAGGCGACGACGATGGATTCGGCCTTTTACCACAGAAAATTGTCGTGGATACTGTTTTTGATTTTTAGTTTGTTCTCTAAATATTTTATGAGAATGTTTCACTTTAGGTCCCTAAAATTAAGAAATATCTTATAAAACGAAGTAGATATTCTGAATTTTTAGACAAAAACAAAAAGCTTGAAGTGAGGAAAAATACAATTTTTCGTAATATTTGCTCCAATTGATTTGTGATATAGTTTTTTAAACTCTCATTTGAGTTTCTTTTTTAATTTTTTTGTATCTGCAATAAAACTTACCTATATGTTTTTAACATACACAATTACACGTCTCGTTATATTTCGTACTTTATAAAAATTATACAGATCATACTGTGAATAGTTCTGACTGACAACGAAACCCATTAGCAAACAACGGGGATGTCAATGTTAGTCGGGAACTATTGTGAACTAAAGACCTAGTTCAAGGAACTATTCCTCTGGAGGAACTAGAATTCCCACCTCTATCTCAAACTATACCAGATTTTTTTTTTCATCATCGTGAACGATATTTTCAAGGTAATTATTTTTTTGGTGTACCTTAGCTGCCCTTAAGAAAAAAATCAATCATTATTAAACTACTTACGCATAACGTTGGGCACTAATTTTGGATCAAAACTCAAATTTGGCGGATTTGAAAAATTTTGGTAAGTCTGATTATCCATCTGGTTCATGGCTGAAAAATTCCCCAAAATAATGTCCGTGAGCCATTGGACGTTCACTGTGGGAATCCCCCATTTCTTAGCATGGCTGAATTTCTTACCTTCAGTCTTACCACAGATCAAAAGAGTGTTGTGCTTGGAGAAGTACGTAGTACACTATCGGAACATAAAAAAAAATATATTATTATACAGGGTGATTTTTAAAACTCGATCACCCTTATAACTTTTTTATTTTTTATTAAGAAAAAACGATGTTTTCATAGGACATAAATCAGGATTAATTGACGTATTCAATTATTTTCGGTCACTTCCTGTTTTACCGGAAATGACTACAACTTAAGTTGATTTTTAATTGGTACCCTCGGTATTTTTTTACTTTATTTTTTTTTAATTTTCATTTTAATTGAATACGTCAATCAAACCTGATTTATGTCATATATACTAAAATGCCAAATCTCGTTTTTTTATTTGAAATAATTAAAAAATAATAGGGGTGAGCCACTTTTGAAAAATACCCGGTATTTAAATATTTACCTTTGCCCCAGTATAGTGGATCATTTGCTTCACGATTTGACGTATATTTCCTTCGAATCCACTAATAGATACTAAATGCTTTGATGCGGGTGTTATGTCTAAATATATCTGAGGTAAATGAAGTGCCGTCCATGGAGGTAAAACCTAAATAGAAGAAATAAAAACTAAATATTTCCTTGTTTTATAAATAAATAAGACCCATTAAAATTAGTATTTTATAGGAGATGTGACTTTCATTCTAAACGTCTTATTTAAGTAACTTTTTTACGTCTTTTGAAAAATTGGACCCCTTTTTTTACTCCATGAGAATTTTAATTTTTTAAGCTCCCCTGTATAAAAAATAAAATATTATAGATAGTTCCTATACTTTAATATTTTTAAGAAACCTAAAATATTTTTTCCATACGTGTCAGTTATTCTTGGAAAAACTCTGTACCTGTTTGGTTTTTAAAACGTCACTTAACCATCTTATAGTGACGCACCGCTTAAGGTCTCTAAGCGCTTGCATGACGACACCATGTCTCTGGGTTTCACACAAAACGTGGGTAACCCTGTTGCAATATTGTTTTTCGACTTCACCTAAAAGAAATATAAAAAACATATACATATATAATTTTTTTATATATTCCTGTATCTCTGCATCAATATTCGATACCAATTAAATTTTTAGTTACGTAATAGAGGGCGCAATTTTTAAATCCATTGTTGCCAACCCTGGACATATTCGGCGCCGGGCTGACCAACTGGAATTTAAATTTCCCGCTGGGGATTCAGGTGGTAGCTCTGCTGTAAAAATGTCAAGTTGCCACATTTATTTATTTATTTCCCGACATTGTCATTCGTGTTGATACTTTAGTTTTGTATTACGAGGTTTTGGTTTAAATGGATTGTGTTGTGATACTTTAAGCTTAAACATTTTTACTAGCAGACCTTGCAGTCGAACATTGTTCTTTTTAGAACCTCTTTTAGTACGAAGTGTACAAGATAGCTTAATAGCCGTAAAAACTCATCGCAACTTTATTAGAATATTTTGAACGGGAAAGCGGTAGTAATAGCCCTTTATGTTCCTTAAGTGTTCTTAAGAAGGTGAGTTTTGTTAATATAAATACTAACTGTTTAATATATTTATAATTAATTTATTTCTGTTTCTTAAAATATTTTGATTAAAAGAAAATATGTAAATCTGGGCAACGCTGTGCCTGTCAAGCTTAAGCACGTGACTAAAAGTTTATTTGATATGAACTATACGTTAAACTCTTATAGACTTATAACGACTATATGCCTTATAGTGTGACGTCACATTAGTGGACGAAGAAAACCCTTACCAAACAAAGATATGTTCATATTTTTTTTAAAATACAGTATCTCAATTGACAACGTTTTTGAAGTGTCAAAATACCGCATGGCGTCTCTCTACGTAAATAACCATGGGGTAACTTTATTAGCGCATATACGCTTATTATCACATTTTAACTGTCAAAGTTGTCATTATAACGCCTCCCTTAATACCGTATATTGCTGCCATAACTTTTTATTATTAAGGCATCTAGTATTCATTGAACAGTCAGTGAAAGACAATTTCTTTAGTACCTACCTCCATATTTTTCAATTTTCTGTTGCCAGCCCGGCAAATTTTCCTCTAAATACTCTTCAACCTCCACAACCACAAAAATGCATCCAAGCAAGAATAGATCTGGAGGTACTGCAAAGAAAATATTATAACTTATACAGTACAGAAAAAATATCTTAGAAAAACACACATTTCAAGTTTGGATTGTGTCCATAGAAGGGTCCAGCCCTATGCTGGACAGGCACCGTTGCTTTCTGGCTGATTGCAGTTTAGGAGGATCATTTTGAGGAGTTAGTGGCAACGCCGGAACGCCAGGGGGCTTGACAATCTCTCCATTGGGCCCGCTAATGACTCTGCGCTGTTGCAAAGTTATTATCTCTTGCGGTTTGGAATTTATGGCAGCGTTATGTTGAGCCGTCATCATTCTAAAAAAGATTATTTAACTTAGATAGATATCTATCCTTCAGTATTGGAACAAGATTTCATGAAGTACCCGCGCTCCAAGAAGAACGACAGTTTATATTGAAATTAAATTTTGTGAGCATATATAGGTTAATTCAGAGCACTTTTTAAAAATATAGAGAGTTCTACAGAGTGTCCCCAAAAAAAGTTACATATAAAAGTTGTGTTTTTTGTAATGGAACACCCTATATATTAATTGATTTTCGGATCCTGGGAGAAAAATAACGGTGAGTTTTATAAGAGAAGTATATGACTAAAATGTAAGGTTTTTGACATATTTAACATTTTCTAGAAATAAAGAACAATTTTTAAATTACAATAAAAGCTACCTAAATTGGAGTTTACCCGGTATAGCCTAATATGTAGTTAAATTAACTATTGTACTTTAAACCAAATTAAAACGTGATCCAAAAAGTTATACAGGGTGAGACAAAATTAATATTGAACATTGGTCACCTTTAAAACCATGTTACTCTTTTATTTTAAATGGAACGCCCAGTATAATATTCCGATATTCAATGGAGAATTCATGTCTCTTCAAAATACTATTAAGGTTGCCTATCCCTCAAACAAAGATTTTTCTAGATATTTTCGTTTATATGATTCGATCTGACTAGATCTTTATTATTTAATAAAATCTAGGTTGCTGTGATATGTCTGACGTTACTTCAACATACGTGTCTAATTAATCCAACTTTAACAACTAGTTATAATTTTGTGTCAGTTAAATAAAAAAAATCAGAGAAAATTGATATGATTATAAATTTTCTCTTAATTAATTTATTTTAATTAATTAATAGGATACTTTTTATTACTCTTCAGTATTTTACTCTATAATCTTTAATTTTTGTTAAATTAACAAAAGGTATATCACACAGCCACCCTAGATTTTTTCAAATAATAAAGATCTACTGACGCAAAATCATAAAAATTAAAATATCTAGGAAAACTTTTGTTTGAGGGGTAGGCAACCTTAATAATATTTGGAAGATATATAATTTCCCCATTGAACACCGGAAAAATATACTGGGTGTTCCATTTAAAATAAAGGACTAACTTGCTTTTCAAAGTGACTAATGTTCCATATTAATTTTGTCTCACCCTGTATAACTTTTCGGGTCAAATTTCAATTTGGTTTAACATACAATGGTTACTGTAATTAAATATCAGGCTTTACAAGGTCAACTAAAATTTAGGTAGCTCTTATCGAAATTTAAAATATACTCTTCATTTTCACAAAATGTGAAATATGTCAAAATCCTTAGATTTTAGGTATATGCTTCTTTAATAAAACTCACTCTATTTTTTTCTGGAATCTGAAAATCAATTAATATATAGGGTATTTTTTGGGGAACACCCTGTATAACTCTATATATTTTTATAAAATGCTTTCAGTTAATCTACATATGCTGGCAAAATTCCATTTAGATATAAACTACCGTTCTCCTTGGAGCTTCCGCGGCCTATGAGAAGCGCCACCCTGTATGTGATCGCTACAATATCTATTAGTTACCTTAAGGTACCAGCAGCAGAGGGCTCTGGCAACCCTTCAGTTCTTGCCGGACCTATAGCTCCTCCACTTTGGAGCTTAATACTCAGCATATTAGCCAGTGCTGTCTTTGTCTTAGGATTAACCTGAACCTGGGGATTGGTAGTAGAGTCAGCAACAGCAGGCTGACCAATAGTTGGTCTTACTGGAGCTTGCGGAGTCAATGGACCTAAAAAAATCAGTAATAATTAACCAAATTTATAGAGAAATCAATTAAAGTTGACTGATTTTCTTATAAATAATAAATTACTATGAATTATATATACCTTGCTGATTTAAATGGTTCTTTTGGGCTTGTTCTCTTTGTAATTGTAGTTGTTGCAGCCTAAAAAATATAAAAAAATGTTTTAAAACAAATATTCCCTTGTTATAATGTTAACCATACTTATACTGCCTTAGTTGGGCTTGGTCACCAACGAATTGTTGGCCAGAGTTTTGGTTTATTGGACTCAAACCTGGAGCATGAGGCGATTGAGGTATTGAAGAGGAGGGTCCTGGCTGAGGTGTGATGGTTCCTGAAATATATATACACTCAGATGAAAAAAAACGCAACAGAAAAAAGTTTAGTCAAGTTTAAAGTGCTCCCCAATTAAAAAAACTAAATTGTATTTGGCTTATTATATGGTTACAGCGCTTTCAGATGGAGCGGACCGTACGCGCGGAGCGTCCGCGTCTACGTTTTTTCAATATAGCTTATCCGGACGGAGCATACGCGACCCATGTGAAATCGTTCATATAAACTTATGGTACTTGCTCGAAGTCGCGGACGGTCCGTCGCGGACGCTCCACTCCATCTGAAAACGCTGTTAATCAAAGATATTTTTTTTAGACCGCCTAACAGTTGAAAAGAAATGCCGCTGTTAAAAATGTATCATAAATATACATAAAACTCTGACATAAGTCATTTATAAAAAGACTAGGGTGTATTCCGTTGCTTACCTTGGTTATGGTTTTATGTTCCGTTTCTATCGGTTTCCTGAAAGTTTTCTTATTACGGAACACGGTTCCTGAAAAATTCGGTTATAACTGTTACCAAACTAATCAGCGCGACAAGGCTGGTTTTTCTGGTTTTGTTTGTCAATCAATGTCATTTATGTGACAGAAATCAAGCAAATATTAGAAGTTCGAGTGAAATTCTCATTTAATTTCTAAAATTTGTAATAATATTTTGTATTTACATCAAAAAGCAATGGAGGTAGGCAGTAGAGGTAAATAAATTTCATTAACTAAATAGAATTACTTTTTGGGACCATTTAAACTTATCATGCAGCCATTGTTTCTTAAAGTCAGGAACATTTAAAGAAAACATGAAAAACAAGGCAACAAGTAATCGTGAATGTTTTGTAAGCTATAAAAATATAAATATTGATTAGGTTTGTTTATTTATTATTGATCTGTTTTAATATTGGACCTGGAAATTTTCACTTGAGCTGTCTAACGAGTTTAACAGTTCATTAATAAATAATGGTAATCAATAGTAAACCCCATTGAAAAGAAGAAGCAAAGATAAAAGCAGAGAATAGGTATATTAAAAATACATAAAAGATAAATTTTATAATAGAGGTATTGAAATTTAGAAAACGTCAACATTTGACGTTTCTAGTATTTTACTAAACCGTTCCGTATCAAACCGACATTTTTCAGGAACCGTTTTTTACCGTAGTTTACCGGTCTGGTTCGCCTGGTTTTGCAACGGCATACAGCCTTAAATCTTTTTAATGACTCAAGACTGTTCTAAAAAGCCTTTTTATAAAACGCTTAATTCTTTTTCCATTTCACAATAAAGATTTAAATTACATAAATTTTAAGTCATTGAAATAATTTGTATAAAAAAGTTTTCTGTGAATTTGCAGCTCTTACAAAAACTAACCTGGAGTAATATTTTGTTGCAAATTGGGTGGCAGCACAATTCCCTGTTGCTTAGCCTGTTGTTGTAACCACTGAACCTGTTGTTGAGCTGTCAATCCAGGTGGAACATTACCTAAAATAATACGTAAAAATATACATCATTTTGTAACAAATAAATCTGGTACTCTAATACCTCTAATCAGAATATGACCTCCAGCCCTTTGAGGTACTTGTTTTGCCAGCTGGAGCTGTCTCTGTTTCTGTAACCTTGCCACAAATAGAGCTTGTTGCTCTGGAGGCATCTTTTGAAGTTGATTATGAGTGTGGGCATCTAAAAAAATAATAAATATACAGGGTGTTTCAAAAAACAGGTACCATCTCTCGTGAGGTCCCTCATGTAAAAATAAGGTTTATTTCTTATATAGGTCCGATTTTGCTTTGTTTCGTAACTACAGGTATGTTAAAACCATACAATTCCATACCGATGTTTATAGGAACTTTTTTTCATATTTTTTGATGAGGAGTCAATAAAAATTTATTTAAAATTTTGGCCAGTTAAATAACGACATTAAAACTTTTTAAAGGTTGCTATTAGACTTGTATTAAGGTAAAATAATAAAATTGCGTCTTTCTCATCAAGGAGACCGAAATTAACCAAATATCAAGAGACAACTTTTAATTGGCATTAAATAACCAACACAATTTTCCAAGAGGAAAAAAAAGTCAGTGACGCACATGTTTTTTTTTCAATTCATCACCCTCAAAATTTCATTTGAGTCGCAATAAAAGCACTTGGAAGAATATTATAATAAATCGAAAAAAAATAAGATTAAACCCCCTATATCTACGAAACAAAGCAGAATCGGACCTATGTCGATATAAAAAATAAATCTTATTTCTACGCGAGGAAATTCCCCAAGAGAGACGGTACCCTGTATCGTATTAATGGACAAACACTGTAGTCTCTCAAATATGTTTTGACTGTGATGTATATGTTACAGTAAAAGTTGGAAATCAGTGATTGTTAACAATTACTAGTAAAAGCCCACATTCACTGATTTGCTAAGACTACGCCAGTAAAAGTTCAACAGCTATTTTTGAAACCAACTTTTACTAGTAAATGGTAGCATCAGAGTAAGTAGATCGCCGAGTAGCGACAGAAACCGTCGGCTCTTTTGATGTGGTGGGACCTTTGAATAAGAAGACTAAGAAAGGAGCATATCAAAAATCTTAGGTACACCGCGATGGGCCTCAAATATGGCCGACTTAAATTCCGGTTTATCAGTGTCGTTCTAATTTAAAAAATGTAAAACTATGATGTAGGGTAGACGTGGGGTAGACTCAATAATTTGTTGTTTTATTTTACGTTGTGAATAAATGTTGGTAGTTATTAAAATTGTTATAAAAATATATAATTCTAATAAAAATAGATAAGTTATAATAAGTATTTATTAACACAAACATCTGATACGCTACTGAAGCAGGTAAGTCAAATTAACGTATCTAAATTCTTTGACATCTAATCTTTGACAAGTAATAAATAAAAGCTAAAAATGCAAGAAAAATATATAATTTAGTTAATTTAAGTGAATTTCATAAATGATCGGTTTACTACACGTATGTATATTATATAGTCACTTACTAGCGAAAAGTTGTTCCATTATTTCACTCAATTTTTGCCGAGATCTACCGCACGCTACACAACCAACTATTTTAGAGTCTTTTTCGATAAATCGCGATAGTGTCACTGTTAATTTAAGTTCTGCCACAATTTCCATCTAGATTTACTACCTTTATACAACTATCAGTAGTAGAATAAATAACATAAAATATGCTCCATAAAGACTGACAAATCCACAAAATTTCAACAGTAAAAGTTGGAAATCAGTGATTGTTAACAATTACTAGTAAAAGCTCACATTCACTGATTTGCTAAGACTACGCCAGTAAAAGTTCAACAGCTATTTTTGAAACCAACTTTTACTAGTGAATGGTAGCATCAGAGTAAGTAGATCGCCGAGTAGCGACAGAAACCGTCGGCTCTTTTGATGTGGTGGGACCAAATTTTCTTTCTCTCTCTTTTGACGTGTTTGACAGATAGACTACGTATTTAACTGCTCAGCTTATTAGGTGGTCCTATAAACATGGTATACACTGCTCATAATTTGAAGTGGAATTAAATATATAGTTTTATACATATTTTGTTTGTTTTGTTTTATCCTTATTTCTAAATTTGTATGTATAAAATATCTTACAGCTAATAAATAATTAAAAAAACGATTCGTTGCCTGAGGTATACTTGAAATAAAGTATATAGAGATATTTGATAAATGGCAACAGTGGCAACTTCGCTTTTTCATATGACAGTCTTTGCTTTTTCATAATATATGTCGCTACTCGTCGGTTTACTTACCCTGGTAGCATTCCCTGGACGATAGCAGTGAATTTGAAAGATTCAGTTAGCGCGGTTGCCATATGTAGTAAAATATAAGGATAAATAAGGATAAGTTGAATAATAGGCAATATAAAGATAACATTAAATTGGACTAAACTTGGGCAAAGTTGACAGACATCTGACGTAAATTCGCTTTATAATTATGTATAATTGTCTGTTATTGTTGTAAAAAGTGCTGTGAGGTATTTTCCATAAAGAAGAAATTTTCTGTGAAAAATTAGGGTAAGCAAGAATGTAATAGTGCTTGTTTTTCATTTTTGCAATATAATGAAGTCATAACAGAAGTTAAGCCTGCAAGAGAAAAATATACTAAGGAACCTAGTGACGATGAACTTATTAAACGTTTTGATATGCTTGAAGTAGCTGGTTTGAAAAAAATGAATAACTCCCGTTGAAGAAAATTCGGGCATACTTTATTTTGTCCACGATAAAGAACTTTATTAAAAAAAAAATTGTACCACTAGTAATCTTATGTTTATGAATGTTTTATTTTAATTGTTTTGTACCCTTTAAAATGTTTACTATGTTTTTCCTTTTAATATTTAGAAGGTTATAATATGTCGTTATTTTCTATAATTTTTACTAAAGAAGTAAATTGTAATTTTAAGATATGCGGATCAGCTTGGAAATTGAGTTGATACAATATTCTTAAAAGTTTTATTTGTTCTAACTTCTACCAAATATCCTTCGTCACCACACTCGCCCTGTACGATAGAATACTTTTACTGGCAACCTTTAGTAGTTAATGTTACTTTCAATAAAGAATGTTACAGATTACTAGGAAAAGTCGACAAATCTCTTTAAAATACAACATTCACTGGTCCAATGCGTAATTGCTAGCATTTCCTAGTGAATGTTAACAATCACAGCATTTCCGACTTTCACTGTAACATATCCAACAAAAATAAAATCATGCACCTTATAAAAACAAACTTTTATAAAAAACACCCTGTATAGTCACTAACCGAGTTGAATAAACTGTCTTTGGGGCATCCCAGGCTGTTGTCCTTGCGGCCACTGTATCCTAGGCTGTCCAACATTGCCGGGCTGTTGAACGGCTACATTCACAGGATGGCGGATTATTTGTTGGCCTGTAAAAAAGAATATTTAATAAGAAGAAAGAATTTTTTAATATTTTCGATAAAGCCAACCCTCTGTTGTACCGTCACTAGATTGATGTTCTTCGTAGTTATGCCAATGGATTTTTTTGGTACGCATTTTACATACAATATTATAATATGTAACGTATTAAAGAATATATTATGTACTTTAAAATACATAGAATAGACTGTCTCACGAAGAAGCCAATAAAATTATCACCATATATTTTTTTAAAGATATTAATTTTTTTTCAATAAAAAAATCATCAAAAAAACATATTTCTTTAAATATATTTTTTGTGGAGTAAAAGTAAATATTTAGATTAAAAGAACATAAATCAGTTAATTTATTTTAGTCCAGGAAGCAGTGAAGATTTTTGGTACTTATTTTCCGAGTCAGATAGAATTATTCGTTATTTAAATTTCATATATAGGGTGGTCCGAACTGTATTCCGGAAATTTGAGTTTAATTTATATCAATTATGACAGGTATTGATAATTTCGATTCCAAATATCTCGAGAACCATTACCCGTAACGATTTTTACCAAGAGACCTTTTTTTGCGTAAAAAACGTCGTATATGTATATTTATTTACTAAGTTTGGTTTTATACAGGTACGGACGAAAAGTTATTACTCTTCAAACCAATTAAAAAATATGTAGGTGGCGCCTACAAATAGGAGTCATATTGACATCAAAATCAAATTTCTCATGTCAAAAAACTCGCAGACACCAATTTTCATCTAAATATTGACGTGAATTCAAAAGTTATTTGGAAAAAATCGAAATAAAACTGAAACTTCTACACCCTGTATCTCTAAGAGATATTTTTTACGTGAAAAGTCGCAGAGATGTATATTTTTTCCCTCTGTAGTTTTATACAGGTACGGACAAAAAGTTATTACTCTTCAAAACAGTTAAAACATATGTAGGTGGCGCCCTCTATCAGTAGGAGTCATAGTGACATCAAAATCAAATTTCTCATGTCAAAAAACTGCTAGACACCAATTTTCATCCAAATATTGACGTTACTTCAGAAATTATTTTGAAAAAATCGAAATAAAAATGAAACTTCTACACCCTGTATCTCGAAAACTAAGAATTTTAGGACATATATTTAAACGAACTTTTTTACTTATTTTGATCTGCAAAACATGCTGCCGAAGTTTCCGGAATACAGTTCGGGCCACCCTGTATAAGTACAGATTAATTAATACTTACATACATATTTTAAAAGAGTTAATTTTTGAATCTTTATTCTATTTCAATTTTTAAATACATCAAAACATAAATAAGTGAAATAAAAAATGTAAAAACAGTATTAAAGAAACAAAAAACAACTTACCTTGTACAGGATTTCCTTGTTGTTGTTGCTGAGCCCAAATCTGTTGCTGATTCAACTGCGGTCTTTGAATTGCACCCTGAGAACTTTGCTGACTCTGATTTACCAACAGCTGCTGTTGAAACTGTCCTCGAATAACTTGCTGATTCATAGTCGAATTTATTTGTCCTTGCTGATTTAACGGACTCATACCTTGCTGAGGCAAATTCGGTTGTGAGTTTAAACTATTTTGCTGGCTTAATACACCCTATATTTTGACCTCCCAGTCCCTGTTGTTCAACAATCATTCCTTGCTGATTGATACCACCCTGATTCAGCGAATTTTGCTGGTTTTGCTGCATTAATTGCTGATTTAATTGCTGACCCAAATTTTGACTGTTCAACTGCTGGTTAAGGGCTTGAACGTTTAACTGATTTAATGTTGTTTGACTTAATTGATTCTGGTTGTTTTGATTTAACTTTTGTTGTTGCAAAGAATCAAACTGTGCCTGACTCACAAATTGTTGCTGGTTAGTTAAGTTTCCTTGAGTTTGAATGATTTGTTGTTGCTGGCTTGTATTAATTTGTTGCTGGACAAGTAGTTGCTGTTTTTGAGATAGTATATGCTGATTTAAAGCTTGCTGACCAAAATTTTGGTTTATGTTTTGTTGTTGAATAACTCTGTTATTTTGTAGAAGTTGTTGGGACTGACCAATTAGTTGTTGATTCACTAATTGCTGACTCTGACTATGCATGGGTTGATTCTGATTCTGACTCTGACCAGAAATTCCTTGCTGACTTAAAGCCATATTATTCTGACCTATAGTCATGTTTTGACTCTGACTTCGACTCAGCAACTGTTCCCTTTTCATTTGCTGTAATTGTTGGATTTGTTGCGGGCTCAGCTGATTTAAATGCTGATTTTGGGATAAATTTGGCAAATTTAGTAAATTAGCCTGACTTGTTTGATGCTGATTCTCCTGAGACATAACCTGCTGATTTAATAACTGATTCGATCCAATTACTTGATTAGACTGGCTAGTTTGACCAGGATTTTGCTGATTTAAAAGCTGGTTTTGCTGATTCAAAAACTGATTTTGTGGACTTAATATCTGATTTTGCTGATTCTGAGACAAAACCTGGTTCTGGTGGCCTAACATCTGATTTTGTTGAAGTTGCTGATTTAAAAGCTGATTCTGGCTCATGATCTGACTCTGAGCTTGAGAAGTAACTATTTTTTGTGGTGATTGCTGACCTAAGAGATGGTTCTGTAAGGAAACTTGTGTCTGACTGATCATATTACCTTGTGACTGATTCATTAGCTGACTTTGTAGTCCTTGACTGGGAGATTGGTTAGATATCTGACCTTGATGTTGACTGATTAGTTGATTTTGCTGGTTTTGGATTTGTGCCTGGCCCAAAAGCTGATTCTGTTGCTGATTTAACATTATACTTGATTGATTTTGGCTGAGAAGTTGAGATTGCTGATTGATTAATTGTTGGTTCTGACTGGTTGCCTGACTAATCACAGGATTTTGATGCTGACCAAGCATCTGTTGGTTTGACTGATTTTGGTTTAGCATCTGTTGCTGATTGGAGGACGATAGCTGATTCTGTTGCATTCCCATCACCTGATTTTGTACCTGCATCTGCTGGTTTATTTGGTTTTGCTGATTTAACAAATTCTGTTGTTGATTGTTTAACTGACTTGACTGACTAACTTGCTGGTGTTGCTGGGACATAATCTGATTCTGAGCATCCTGATTTAAATTTTGTTGAACATTTTGCTGACCAATTAACCCTTGCTGATTCATTAGTTGATTCTGTAAAGCTTGTCTTTGTCCCTGACTTAACTGTTGCTGTAACAATTGCTGATTGATATTGATTTGGCCCGAAGACGTTCTCTGGATAATGTTTTGTTGATTGTGTTGTTGAATTCTTTGCTGCATCAATTGTTGATGAATCTGAGATGTATTTAACTGGCCTTTTAATGACTGTAGACTATTCGGTCTTGCTGTAGCATTTCCTATTAAGCGATTTAAATTTTGTTGAAGAGTTGACTGTTGATTTGGTTGACTATTTAGATTGTGATGTGCAACAGATCTGGGTATTTGATTAGATGACTGGTGCCCTGTTGATCCAAAACTAGGCAGCATGGAAGCCTGTGATATTTGTCCTGTAGGTCTTGTAACACCTTGGACATTTTGACTATGTTGCAACTTATTCAAAAAACTAGGAGCCACAACATTAGGAGGAGCTACAGGTTCACTACTGCTAGTAACTGAAGTACTTGAGGTGCTAGGGGGCTGATTCCATGGCATACGTTGTTTTAATTTCTCCAATAACGCTTGAGTTGAGTTAGGTATAGTTTTTTCTTCACTCTTTATTTCACAGTCAGGAACATCTGGATCGAAACCTGTAATAGCCGTTGTAGATTCTTGTAATTTCAACGGTTTTGGCCAATTTATTAGATTAGGATGAAATAAGGCTGGATCTGGAAAACTATTTATTTTAACTGCTTGTACAATCCAATCCGATGTTACAATTTTAATGCGTTCAGGCCCTAAGGATTCAGCCTTTTGATATTTAACACTATCAGTTACATTAGTTACTAAAAAACTACAATCTCTATTAAGTTTGTTATAGACAAGTCCACCATTATATGTTATTAGGCCCCATAATTCATTTCGATCTTCAGAAATGTTAGAGAAACAGAATATATGTCCAGTAAAAAGTCTGGGAGTTGTTGGATATAAATAAGGAGTAGTGTCTAAACGTTTTTGTAATCGGACGCACATAAGAACCCATTTTGGTGTTATAGCAGGTATTTCATATAAATCATTAGCATCAGTAATATCGTTTTCTTCGGGGTTATGCCCCACTATAAGATGCGTAACGTAATCTGAAATGTAGTTTTGATGTTCTGCACCTCCAAGTTTTAATATATTTACAATCTAAGTAGAGAAAAATATAACTTATAATAGATAAATAACTACACTTCTAATTGTCTTACCTTATCATGAACCTCCCCCGTTGTGTAGTATCTTATATCTTTGAAGATTTGCTCCGATATTTCTAGTTTTAAGAATATATCATCGATATCACTCATATTGTTGAATTTATACGCGAAAATGTTATTAAAACAATGCAAATAATGATTTGTTTACATCGCCGCCATATTATGTATTCGCCGACACATGTCACATACATGTCAAACGTCTTTTTTAGTAATTAATACACAAATGCCAACCTAAATTGTACAACTTTTCTGTTTATATATTTTTTTAATATATTTAAGGTTTTTTTAAGCTACTAGGAAAATTATATTTTAGCAGATTTTAGTCTAATGTTAAAATTTTTCGTTATTTCCAATTAGGTACGTGTAGTTTATTGTTTAACAAAAATAAACGCATATTAAAATGAAGTATTTGACGTAGGGAATTTTTCGTCGCACTGTTGTCAAATTTAGTTCCTTCCGTAAAATACAGATAAAAAGTTCTTGTTTTTGTTTTCGGGGCTCGTATTAATTCCGAAAATATCCAGCCCATCTCCTTATATTTTGTTAAAATATAGTTTAAAAGTAATCTAAACATTTCCATTCAATGGCGGAAGCGGACAAATTGAACATTGACTCGATCATAGCGCGATTATTGGAAGGTAAATTTTAAAGGTCGAGAATATTTGCAACTAAATATGGCGGCTTCGCTTGATATTTCGGTGACGCCTTGTTATGTGTCAAAGAATAATTTGATAATGTTTATAAAACGTTTTTAGTTCGAGGTGCTAGGCCAGGAAAAAACGTACAGCTAACTGAAAATGAGATCAGGGGGTTGTGTTTGAAGTCCAGAGAAATTTTCTTGAGTCAACCCATTTTGTTAGAGCTGGAAGCTCCTTTAAAAATTTGTGGTAAGTAATCTATATTTGGAAAATCTGATAAGACCTAGATATGCTCATGAATACGATGTTCTTTATTCGGTTTGCTCATATTTATTTATTGATTCGGATACAGAGCTTCTAAATGTATTAACTTTTAGCATCATCTTGTTACATAAAAATATTTATAAATAGTGAACAACTTCACATCTGTCTGTTAACTTTTATTTTACTATGAGACTACTTAACGCCGTTCGCTACCAAGGGTGTATTTGTGTACCAAACTGAACTAGAGACTGAAGCAATATTTTTTGAAAAATTGCAAATCTTTAGCATTAAATATATTAACTAATTTTGTAGGTGACATTCACGGGCAGTATTATGATCTTCTACGTCTGTTTGAGTATGGAGGTTTCCCCCCTGAGTCAAACTACTTGTTTTTAGGTGTGTGCTTTTCTTTAAATTAATAGCAGATATCAGATTTTAATACTTTTTGCTGTATAGGTGATTATGTTGATCGTGGCAAACAGTCTCTTGAGACGATATGTCTCCTTCTGGCCTACAAAATCAAATACCCAGAGAACTTCTTCCTGCTCAGAGGGAATCATGAATGCGCTTCCATTAATAGAATATATGGATTTTATGATGAATGTAAAAGAAGGTACATATATTTTTTTAAATAACTTGGATTTTGGTAATTATTTTTATTTTTTATTTTTGTAGGTATAACATAAAGTTATGGAAGACCTTTACAGACTGTTTCAACTGTCTTCCTGTAGCTGCCATAGTAGATGAGAAGATTTTTTGTTGTCATGGAGGTAAATACATAGTGTTAAATATAATACAGTGTGTTACACAAATAGTACACAAAAATTACACATCAAAGTTGTGTTTTTAGAATAAAGATGAGTTTGGTTGGAAAAGCATATGACTAAAATGTAAGGTTTTTGATATATTTTCTAAAAATTCTCCACTGAGTATCAGAATAATATGGGTCTTCCAATTAAAATAAAAGGGTAACTTGCTTTAAAAAGCGCCCAATATTCAATTAAATTTGTCTCATCCTGTATAATTTTTTCCGTCAAGTTTTAATTTGGTTTAAAGCATATTCAATAGTTATTTTAACTGTATATCAAGCTATACAGGGTAAATTACAATTTAGATAGCTTTTAATGAAATTTAAAATTTGTTCTTCATTTTTATATATTTACTTATCCATAATCAAACTCGCCTTTATTTTTTTGCTGGAATCTGAAAATCAATTCATATATAGAGTGTGCCATTAAAAATACAACTTCAATGAGTAACTTTTTATGGGAACAGCCTGTAGAACTCTAATATATTTTTAAAACATGCTCTAAATTAGCTTTGGAGCCTCTACGTTGTAAGAGAGGCGCCACCCTGTATATTGAATATCGTTTTTCAAGTTTTTCATATATTTATTCTCTAGGATTAAGTCCCGATCTCCAATCAATGGAACAGATCAGAAGAATAATGAGACCTACCGATGTACCCGATCAAGGGTTGTTGTGTGATTTGCTTTGGTCTGATCCGGACAAGGATCAGATGGGATGGGGTGAGAACGATAGGGGAGTTAGTTTTACTTTTGGAGCTGAAGTAATAAGTTATATGAGTAAATAGAAAGAACTGTATAAAGCTACGGAGTTAATTTTTTAGGTTGTCGGTAAATTTTTGCATAAACACGACTTTGATTTGATATGTCGAGCCCATCAAGTTGTCGAGGATGGTTATGAATTCTTTGCAAAGAGGCAGCTTGTCACTTTGTTCAGTGCACCTAATTATTGTGGTAAGTATTCTTAAAAAAATGTGTGTGCAGTATGTGCACATATTTGAAGTGAAACTTCTTATTAACAGCTATAAAATTGAAGGATTTGAAGGACATGTTTGAAAAAGTCTAGTTTAAAATGTTGAAAAAGTAATAAATTAAAAACATATTTTTTTACGCGTAAAAAATAGTTTTTTTGGTGTAACAAATAGTTTTTTACACGTTAAAAGTAGTTTTTGCATGTAACAATTAGTTTTTTACGTGTAGCAAATACACACACCGGAAAAATCTAGGGATATCATTTTATTAAAGTTAAAAATAAATGTTTTGAACAACCACATATTTGTGGGCCGATTCTTTCTACTTCGATTGAAACGAAGTAGTCACACTAGTTATTTCTAAATTTGGGATATTTGCAGAAGTGTTTGTGCATTTTTTGTCAAATATATAAAAAGCACCTAGCATCAATTGTTCGAATTTAACCTGTACTGGCTATGTTTTTATGATAACTGACCAGAATTCATTCAAATAACTCTGTTTAGTATTAAACGACATTATGGAGCGTAGACATCTTAACAGAGACGAAATGCTAAGGGCCATGGGTATGCTCGAAGCTGGAATGCGCCAAATCGATGTAGCTAGAGCATTAAATACAACGCAAAGTGTAATATCGCGATTAAGTACACGGTACCGTGAAAGTGGTGATGTTGCTGAAAGGCACACAGGGCGACATCGCATTACTACCCCTCAGCAAGATCATTTTTTACAATTAAATGCTCGACGCCGACCGACTCTTACAGCACCATAGCTTAGTTTAATTCTCCAGGAAACACATAATGTAACCGTTAGTCCTGACACTGTTGGCAATAGATTAAGAGAGGTTAACTTAAGAAGCAGACGCCCCTGGAGAGCTCAACCCTTAACGAGAGAAATCGAGAGGTACGATATTTGTGGGCTCAAGATCATGTTCAGTGATCGAATGAACAATGGGCAAATGTTCTTTTCACGGATGAGTCACGCTTTGGAATTCATCCAGATTCGAGAAGGCTTAGGGTATGGAGAGAACCGGGAAATCTTATTCGGTTGGATCATGTTCAGGAAGTGCACCCTTATCAAGGTGGAACAGTTATGGTCTGGGGAGGAGTTCAGTTAGGCCGAAAAACCGATCTTGTTTTTCTTGAAAGGTTTCTAACAGGAATCACATATCGTGATTTAATTCTTGAGCCTGTCGTGTTACCATATGCCATTGATTTTGGGAGAAACTTCATTCTCATGCATGACAATGCACGGCCTCATACAGCCAGAGTGGTAAGTGAGTTTATCAATGCTCATCAATTAATCTTACCCTGGCCGGCACAATCTCCTGACCTCAACCCCATCGAGCACGTATGGGACGCGGTCCAAAGAAGAATTTTGAGAATGGGTATGCCTCGTGAAACTCAGAGGGATCTGGTTCGGGCCGTGAATGCAGCGTGGCAGGTTGTACCTCAAGAAGAGATCGACAACCTGATCAGGAGCATGGAGAGACGATGGAGAGACATACTCTTTATTAAGTAAAAATGTTTTTTTCTTTTTTTTTAATTCACAGTTTAGAATAAAAAAAAATGTGTATATTTTTTTGAGTTCAATAAAAATCAAGGAAAAATTGAAAAATTCGGTAAATTTCGCATTTTTATTTCCAATAGGTCCTGTAAACTATTTGTTTATTTTAATTTTATTATATCAGAAATGCAAATAATAAAATTACTGACGATGGCTGGATAAAATTGTAATATCCCTAGACTTTTCCGGTGTGTGTAGTTTTTTACGCTTAAAAATAGATTTTCAATAATATCAATTATAATTTTTATATAATATAAATGACCGGTTGACAGACAGGGAGGCAAAATAAAAAGCGGCATAGAGTGTTGCCGGTTTTTACGTGTGTAGAGTAAAATAAACTATTTTAAAAACTTTTATGTATACTATTTAAATGAAGATAATTATCTAAAGGCGCATTCTCACGACTCGTGTACTTGACAAACATTTGTTATTGGAATATACTCGCCATGTCGTGATAACGGTTTCCTTGGTCACGCATCGCGTCCCCACTCTCTGTCGGTAAATATAGCCCGAGTCAATGGATCACAATAATTAATTGTACACTTGCCAAGTGTACTTGGCCAGCCTTGTGTATACTTGCCGAGACGCAAAAAAACGACTGCGCAAATAATTGTACTGTTATGAGTATGTCTTGTTTATTTCCGGATCTTAGTGTTTTTCGAGTTAATTGCGGATAATGTAAAACGTTAAAATAATAATAGATTATATATCAAATTTACATTAATAACTTAAATATTGGCGACATACCTAAATTGTTCTCATAGCAATAAATGGAGTGGACAAATGAAGACTACACGGGAAAAACCAGATATGTCACATTTTCATAGAAACTAAGATAGCGATACAACTTTATAGACAAATGTTAACATCATTCGAGAAAAAAGAAAGCAATAATACTCTTAGTCCCAGAGATATTACAGCTTGGTTATTGTGCCGTACAAAGGAAAAACCAGAGTAGTACACGCGTAAATGGCAAAAACAAGAGATGTCCTTACACATGGGCGACAAGCATACATCTTGCAATTAGTATTACATGTAGTAAATTTATGTACTCTAATAAAAACCTACTTAAATATTAATTTTCTTCCTATAACAAAAAAATAATAGTTTATGTTTAGGTTTTATACAACCTTTAATTGGACATCCCTGGTTTATCCCCTGTTTTGTTTTGCATTTTGACATTTTTATTTCGGTATTTCAGAATATGGCCATAATTAACATTATTAATAATTCAGAATTGGTAGTAATATAATTATTTTTCTAATTATTCAACCGAAAATAACATATTTCTTTAAAAGCACTAAATTGCATTTTTCTCGGCTCCAGTTAAAATGGACAAAACTGGTTTTTCCCGTGTAGTCTTCAAATGATGCTGTTTTGGAATTTATGGATTTATACGAAAATGAGGTCTTCATAGGGATGGCCAAACATAAAGAACATAGAAATCGTATTGCAGTGTACAGTAAATTAATTTAAAAAGACACGTCGTGTGAGCGCCACACTTGCCAATGGTGTTTACAAAGTGGGGATGGAGGGAATACTTGCCAAGTACGCCAGTATTGGTAGTACGTTTAAGGGCTCTAACTCACTGACGACCAGGTCGCAACGACCTGGCCGTCGGCTGGCCGGATGCATTGCGTTTATAGCTGCGGCCAGATGAACGACCAGTTTCAACAGAGTTGTCAGATCTAACGGTTTTTTACGTTTTACCAATTAGAAAATATTGTTTCAGAAATGTTAAAATATCCGAGTTAATAACTAAAAAGCGAAGTTGCTATTCATGAGCTTATTAAATGTTCTAATATTAAATAATGCATTTAAAATATTCTTGGGTTTTTCGTTAATAAATACTGGTGTGGCAAACGGAGTAAGTAAAATCTCCAACCCCGACTACACGATAACGTCGTTATTTCCATGTTTTTCAAATCCGCAATGCCTGCTATTTCATCAGTCGTTTCATAACAGAATATTCTACATCCTACGTCTATGTAATTTAATATGTGTAGAGTGAGACATGTAACTCGAGAGATTTTCAGCATTATATCAATAAGGGACAAAAACAGTATTGTTCCTAAAGGTGCGTCTAGACTTGAGCATTTTAGCCCGAACTAACCGAGCGCGCACGACCAAAAAGAACAAATAGGCCGAACAAAAAGCATTTTGTAGGCGTGACCGACAAAAAGGGAGATATTCTGTTTCTTTTTTCTACTGATATGGACTTCTGCTGATGGCTCTAATCGACTTTAGAAGTAAACATATTAGGGCCATCGTAAAAAAAGGTCGTCAGACACTGGCTCTAAATATAAGCAGGTAGAAAGTTTAGCTTCCAGTTATTTCAATGTTTACAATATAAATTCCTCTTTTTTATTGTTACTGAGAATCAGTATAATAAAAACAGCAATTACTTCTATTTTTATGAATGTTTAAGTTAGTTTTACTCTTAATTTTTTTAAAAATAATGTACCTAGTAGAAATATAGTGTAATGAACCCTGTTTGAAAAACGTTAAATTAAATAGAATATTTAAAATACAGTTGTCCTCCTTGTACATGACTACAATACAACTAAAAAAACTAATTTAATAAAAAAACAAATGGTTGTAGAAAAACTTTAAATATTATTTTTTTTATTTTTTAACATCGAAACTCGAAGGTATAATAACAGGTATCATACCAACCATAAATAGAGTAGGTATGTCATATAAAAATGTTTTGAATTTTTACTAGAATCGACCCTTGGTAAAAAAAGGGTCTAGATTTAAGTTTCCCTTTGATCCAGTCTGTATACTATTTCTTTGGATTTTCTGCACGTGTGCAAAAACTACACTAAAACACTATATCTAATAGAAAATAAAATATTGTGCGTTGAATTTGAGGGATTTCATCTGAAAAATTATTAATTTGGAAGAAAACCGGCAACAAGTGGCAGAAAATAATATTTTAGTGCAGTCTACTGGTCGCAACGACCAACGGACGGCCGGGACCATAAAGTAACTAAAATAAAAGAGTGTTTGAAAGGTTGTCTAACTTGGCCATAATGTTGCATAGTTCAGTTAGGGCTCCAAAGCGTCGCCACCTGCTACCTGTCACGTGTCATTACAAGAATGACAAGTGACATGACAAGCAAATTATTTGTATTTTGCAATTGTTTACAATTTTGTTTTGAGTTTTGGAATTTTGTTATTATTTTTGTAGCAAAACCAGTTGTGTAGCATAAACATTGTTTGTTTGTGTTGTGTTTGTGCGTACAGAAATTATGGACGAAGTTTTATTTCCCGAGGAACCAGATACCTTATATTTCTCTATGATTTGAACTTTATATTTTGTGCTGTGTTTTGCCATTATCATGTAATATTTTGTTCAGCCGATGATGTGATTTGAACACGATCCAGGAAAGGGTATCATGCAAAGCAAGTTCGATATGTAAAGACATTGCCCATCTCTGAACTCTGTGAACGTAAAACGAACTGACTATAAATTTAGGCCTTCATTTAATAGTGTTGAACATTTGCTACCTCAACTGAAATTCAACTGCTGACTTAAAGGTGAATTAATTTTTGATGATGTCTTATTTAAATCTTTATCTGTTATAATAGCATAGATTGCCTGCGATCTTATATGCTTTGTTAATTGGCGTTGACAATACGTTTTATAATACTATAGGTAAATCGAAGGGTAAACCGTTGGTGTATTTTGGTGGTGTACAAGATGTTGGCAATTTCATTGGCATTATTGGTATTAGTAACTAAATTATTTGGCATTAGTGTACAGAAATTCATCACGAGTTTACGGATCGAAGTTAATTCAGCATAGATAACTTTATATTATCAAATTTAATTTAGCATTTAACTGTAAGCATTTGAAAAAGTGTACAATAGTTTATAACTTAAAAATTATTAGAAACTTTTTTTAGTAAAATAAATAGATTGGTATGGGACGCCATCTGCTTTTCTTCTGTCATCGTCTGTCGAAATCTTACCTGAGAAAAAAAACAGAGTATAGACGGGGACCGAACGCATGCGGCCGTTCGTTCGTTCGTTCGCTCGACCATCCGTTTCAAGTCGGTACATCAAAGGCGTTCGCCAACAAATGCCTCCGGTCTTCTCTAAGGTCTTCTCGTGCGGTCCTATCGTGCGGTCCCCGTCCATACCACTAGCGAACATTCGTTCGTTCGTTCGTTCGTGCGGATAATGAATACGCACCTTTAGTGCAGTCTACTGGTCGCAACGACCAACGGACGGCCAGGACGTTAATGTGCGCTATATCATTTGATTTAATGGTTTTAGAGGTAGCAGCGGCCTGGCCGGTGCGACCTGGTCGTCAGTGTGTTCGAGCCCTAAACGGTAGAATTAACAGCTATCACATTTTAGAACTTGCTTGAATTTTGTCTTGTTTTATGATAATAAAAAAACCGGGCAAACATTCCTTGACCCAAAAATTTTCAGATTTTTACAAACTTATTCATATTTTCACTAATAATAGTAATTTCTACCGACATTTTGTTCTGCAGTAAGTACTATAGAATAAAATATATTGGTGACCGATGCGATGTGGAAAAACGACACGCGCCGGAGACATGTTAATATTATCGATATCGGGTAGAGTTACTAAGTGAGAATAAGTCAATATTTAGTTAGAAATCCGATTTAAATAGAAAATTGATTAAAATTAAAAAAATCCGATTAAAATAAAAAAATCGCTTTTTAATTTTTTTTAAATCTTGATTTTTTTACTCTCTGCAACTGAGAAAGCAAAGTAGCGCTCTAGCGGTGCAAATATGAACGTGCACTTACGGTATTTTTTGTTGTTATCAGGTGAGTTTGACAATGCCGGAGCTATGATGTCGGTGGACGAAACCCTGATGTGCTCCTTCCAGATCCTGAAGCCAGCCGACAAGCGGAAATTCCAGTACAACATGAACTCGGGCAGACCCGTGACGCCCCCTCGCGGCGCCACCAACAAAAACAAAAAGAAGTGAACTAAGCGCGTGATCAAGAGTAATTTATTTGCGAGATATGTGTCCTAGGGTTAGTTAATACGATCTTCATTCAACTGACATTCATATTATTATTATTATTATCATTTTCCGTTGGTTTTTAGTACCTTGTTGGTCTTTGCGTTGTTCTCAATAATTGAGGTTGTAGTCTATACAGGGCGTTAAAAATCAAGCGTTATTTTATGTACCGGGTAATGCATCGGGTCAGGACGTACAGGGTGGCGCATCTCATTCGTAAACGGAAAGATGTAGGAACAAAATATTTTATCGGTATATGTGGGAAGGTAATGTGCATAATTTTACATTATTTTGAAATGTACAGGGTATGTTAGAACTAAGATCCACACCAAACTTATATTTTTTCTTATGAAACACCCGGTATTTTATTTCATTTTTGGATCCTTGACACAAAATAACGCATTTATATATAGGTTTAAATATGTTTACAAGCTTTTACTTTTGAGATATTTAAATATGCATGCTAAATAAAAAAGATTGTCTACACCCAGTACATTACTTTTCAGAATTAATTCCAATTTGAGACGAAGAGGCAATTTTCCTCACAAAATAAAAATCACTAGTAACATATCCATTCTTCGCCAGCAGATACTGCTTTATTTTTCTTGATAAAATAATATACTCTTACTTATTAAACTATTGTAGGTAAATTTAAGTAAACTGCTATAAATTTAAATAATAAAGTTCATAAACTAATGTCGATTTTGAAAATAGTTACTAACTGTCACTAGAAAATTGCCATTGTGACATCAGCTATCGCGATTGCCATTTTATTGAAAATGCGCTTTTTTTTCTTAATCTGAGCTAGATACCCTAATATAGTTTGAAAGAGCATATACCCATAAAATATTTTGTTTTTACGTCTTCCCGTTTTCGTATAATCAATCGAGGCGAATGTACCTGGCGCCACCCTGTATATCGTCCCCTTCCACACAAAATATCGCCACTAACATTTTGAAAGTTTTACAGTAGAGCGAAAAACACGTCTTTTAGTGTGATCTGACAGTCACCACAGTGTCGTAACTGTAACAATACTGTCTCTTGTATTGTAGCAGACAAAATAAATGACATATCCAACAAAATTTAATTTTTCGATCATACTAAAAGACGGTTTTTTCGATCTACTGTAAAATTTTCGAAATGTTAGTTATGACACTTTGTGTGGATGTCAAAGATATACTTATATGAAATCCCTTGTAAATTTTAAGGGTGTTGTTTATTGACTCTCCTACTGATTTTATAAGAGCCTTTTTTTAAAGAACTTATAATTTTCAATTTCAAAAGTACTTTATTGTTTAAAAAATATACAAATTTTTGTTAACAAAGCATAAATATTCCTAAATCTAAACCTAAAATAAAAAAAAATTGTGTAAATATAAGATAGAAATACATCCATTTAAACAACAAACAGTATTCAGAAAAATAGGTGTAAACAATTAAGTAAAATAACATATACAATATACAGAATAAAGAGAAAATTAACAATAACGCTAAAAAGAATAAGTCAGACTAACAAGCAATTCTGGACTCTAAACACTAATATCAAGGGAGCCCCGGTAGAATTCGTCAACGCTGTAAAATTCCCTATTTAAAAGTTCCCTTTTCAGTAGTCTCCGGAAGGTTTTTATGGAATTAACCAATCTTAAAGCAACCGGCAGATGATTAAAGATCTTCATCGGCCATCATATATTATAGATCTTTTGACCAATGTGCTATTTGGAAGTGGTAAGGGCAGATTCAGGGTTTGGCGGGTAACAATATTGGGTATAGGACCCTGTAGTCTGAAACGATTTTTAAAAATAAGGGATGATGTTTCCAGAATAAAAAGACGTGGTAGTGTAAGAATTTTTTGAGCTTTGAAGTGTTGTCTACAGGATTCGTTAAGTGGTACATTTACAATAAATCGTACGGCCTTTTTTTGTAAAATAAAAAGAATGTTTAGTAGACCCTGATTGGCCACACCCCAGAATGGTATTCCATACCGTAGGTGAGACTCAAACAAACTAAAATAGACCGTCCTTGCCACTTGTGAACCTAGTTCTTCCTTAATTGCCCTAACAGCAAAGCATCCAGAAGACAACTTGCCACTTAAGGCCAGAATATGGTCTTCAAATCGCAGATTTCTATCAATAATAATTCCTAGGAATCTAGTCTTCTACTCGAAATGTAGATTTGCGATGTCAAACCTAAGCCCAACAACATGCGTCTTGGATAAATTTAAACAAAGGTGATTTGAGTTAAACCACTCTTTAATGAAGGATAAGTCCTTGCTTATGATTCCCTTAAGATATCTTAATCTCTTATATATCTATACAAGGGTAAAAACATTTTGGCCACCTACTTTTATTAAACTATGACAAGTTTTTTCTAAACTCAATAGGACAGGCAATAAACTACACCCTTAAAATTTAAATGGGGTTTTCTATATATTTCCCGAGCCCTGATGCATCATCCTGTATATATTTCCCATATAAATTCGTGAACAATCAATTGTGTCAGGAAGGCATTTTAGCTACATTCTTTATATTATTATTAATTTTATTTGCAGACCTGTTTCTTAAAAGAGCCTGATAAGTTGTAAACTGTTTTATAGGTTAAGTGCATTACGTAATACAATGGACAAAAGTATGAATCCATTAATATAAGGGAATTAAGAGTCTAATTTACTTGTTTTTTTAATTATTATTAATAAAGATAATATTTATTGATGATTTGGATAGATGTAACCTCACAAGTAAAGTTACAGAGTCCATTCTGTCTGTTTATAAACTAGCTAGCAATCTTGTTGCTTTGAACGACTGAAACTAATAGAGCTGTCATAAATATTATCCAAAATCATACAAAGTTATTATACAAACTAACTAAAATAACTGGTTAATATTAAAACTGTTATAAAATCCTGACATTAACCAAAAGGAATATGTAGTTTGCTTACTAACTCCTGGTTATCTACTATTTGACTAATTCTTTAGATTTTGTTTTATGAAATAAGTATATTTTTATTAAAACTTTTGAATTTTAACAACAAATTTATTTGAAATGAGTAATAATCAAGAAATATTTTTACTATACGTAGTTTGTTAATTTGTTATAAGTATTATTTATTATTAATGTTTTTATATCTTATAATGTTAAGTAAAGTTTGTCCCCTGAGTTAGGGAAGATTTCGACAGAAGTGAACTAAATGACAGTCACAACTGTCACAAGAGGGCAGACAGTAATAGATGCCTGTAAACTGTCAAACAAAAAAAAAACAAATGAGATTTGTACATGGTGTCCCACTAAGAATAGCTCTCGGCTGTATCTCGGAAAGTATTAGTCGTAGAGCTTGCAGAAAAAAATATTTATAACTAAAGAGGGTATGAGAAATTGCTGGAAATTATTTTCAAGTTTGTAGAGCGGCCGCTAGAGGGCGCAACTGCTATTAAAAATAAGAAAAAGGCGTTTTACACAGTTTTGCCTAGATAACGGCTACTACAAATAATAAATTCATAATCTTCAGTAATTTTTATATATTTTTTTTTGGAACCATTTTCCACTATCTTCTAAAATAAAGTGGTGGGGGAAGGCGAGATCTGTTTTTATTTAAAAGTTAATAACTCCGGACTGGTTGATCAGAATCCAACAAGTGAGGGCTCGTTTAAAAGAGCGTTTCTTACTCTATCTTATACCGTATTAACAATAAACATAAGCTTTTGAACGTAGACGCTAGCGGGCGCTGTCTTACAATTTAACAAACATTACGAGCTTTTTCGAAAAAGTTAAATGCGATAAAATGCGATGTAATTTTAGCTGATACTAAAGAGTAATAAAAGTTTAAAAAATCAGCGAAAACTGCATCTTGATATCTTTTTTCAAAACAAAGTTATTAGCAAAATTATAATGAATACGAAAAAATAAGCCCTTGGTTACCTTATCTTTCTAACACGGTATCCCTAGCCCTCTTGATTATGACCATTCTAATACAAAATAAGAAAAGATTATTTCATTCAAAAAATCGACAATGTACCAGAATACCATAATATTAGGTGTATAAATATCTAATAATTAAGATATCAATGAAAGTGACTAAGAAACGACGCCTCAGTGAATTCATGGTAGGCTTTGGAAAAAAGTTGCTTTTAAAGAGATAGTTTAAACTCAAAATATTATTATATCAACAATTTGATAGTCTCAGCAGCGTTTTTTTATCTTTTGATTGTATTTCTAAAAATGCCTTTCTTCAAAAGAGAAAAAACGCTGCTAAGACTATCAAAATGTTGATATAATAATATTTTGAGTTTAAACTATCTCTTTAAAAGCAACTTTTTTCCAAAGCCTACCATGAATTCACTGAGGCGTCGTTTCTTAGTCACTTTCATTGATATCTTAATTATTAGATATTCATACACCTAGTATTATGGTATTCTGGTACATTGTCGATTTTAGAAAAAACTAATCGTTTCTATCTTATTTTTTATTAGAATGGTCATAATCAAGAGGGCTACTGTAACCGTGTTAAAAAAATAATGTAATTAAAGGCTTATTTTTTCGTTTTTATTATAATTTTGCTAATATCTTCGGTTTGAAAAAGGATATCAAGATGTGGTTTTCGCTGACTTTTTAAGCATTTTTTACTCTTTACTATCAGCTAAAATTATATATACTATCGCATTTAATTTTTTTGAAAAAACGCGCAATGTTAGTTAAATTGTAAGACAGCGCCCCCTAGCGTCTACATTCAAAAGCTTATTATTATTGTTTGTACGCTATAATATAGAGTAAGAAACGCTCTTTTAAAAGAGCCCCCGTTTGTTAGATTCCGTTCATCCAGTCCGGAGTTATTAATGTTTAAATAAAAACAGATCTAACCTTCCCCCGCCACTTTATTTTGGCAGATAGGGGAAAATGGTTCTAATAAAAAATATGCAAAATTTACTGAAGATTATGAATCTATTGTTTGTAGCATCCATTGTCTAGGCAAAATTGTGTGAAAACTACATTTTCTTATTTTTAATAGCAGTTGCGCCCTCTAGTGGCCGCTCTACAAACTTGAAAATAATTTCCAGCAATTTCTCATGCTCTCTTTAGTTATAAATATTTTTTTCCGCAAGCTCTACGACTTGGTAGTACAGCGATTAAATTTGTATTTAGTACAAATTTCATTGGTTCTTTCTGGTGTCGCCAGCGACAGCACATAGTTCTGAGAACTAAGCTTGACAGGAAACTGTCACTTACTAAAGACAGCTGTCATTGTCACTCTCTCGTGGGACAGACTTTAGGTATTAATTTTGGAAAATAATATTTTTAAATCTTATGATTTTATTGCTGGTTATATATCTATGGTGATTTATTATTAGCTCATTAAGAATGTTACATCATATTGGTGATAAAGGATAGTCAGCTGTGATTACAAAAAATTGATAAGGAACAATTTTTTAAATAAATATTTCAAAAAAACAAGTAAATTTAAACTCTTATATATTTTTAATATTTCATTTCCTAATATTAAAACAGTTTTTTAGTCTAAAAGCTACTCTGTA